AACCCAAGCAACGAGTGCTGTAAGAGACTCGAAGCAGACACAGCCAAATAGATTAGCATTAAAACAGCTCCACCCATAACCCGAGACATCATCCATCTGCGCTCCAGGCAGGGGTTTCCGTGTCATCACGGAGATTTTCATGCTGCCAGCCGGAATACCACTTGGCACCGCATTACCCCCCTTTAGGGGCTGGGCCGTGGCACAGTGCCAACCTGTGGCAGCGCCAATGGAGGCAACACCGAGGCCGTTGTAATTAAAATGTGAACAACACCATGAAGCGGACAAAGGCTGCTGGGCATTTATTTGTCTGACAGAGCACACCCTCGACGGGAGTCGGGAGCGTTTCCCCCGTTTAATTTTCAGCTTTTCAGATGATATCGGGCCAAACAGACAGAGGGGCACAGCAATCAAAAGGCCAACAGGTAGCCAGCTCTGTAGTTGAGAAATGGCAGTCACGAAAAGTGGCGGGAATGAAGGATGAAAGCCCTCAAAACTTTCCTCCATTCGACGTAGAAATAACTCAAATTGATAAGCCAGTCAGTTAATAGCCACTGAACAACACTATGGCGTGAGGCTGGTGGTAGCTCTTAATGACCAGAAGGTGCCGCTGCAGCATCAGTAGTGCCACCAGAAGTGGAGTCAACTTCAACGCCAGCTTTGCCTTCGTTTTGTTGTGTGGCGGCATTATCTCTTTGCTGGCACTTTAAACCCGTAATTAGTTTACACTTGCGGTAATTGCGGCATAAATCTTCCAGTTGCCAAGTGTCGTAATAGCCAACAGCCAAGCCAATCCTTATCTGTGTCCCTATGGGAGTGTGTGCGAGTTTTGTTTTCTTTCTGCCAGCAATTCCCATCCCACACAGACACTAGTTGAAGTACGAGTACATCCATCCACATATAACTTTATATCTACATCCCATCCCCATCCCCATCCCCATCTCCATCCCTTCCCAAAACTTTATTCCCATTGCCTGCCCTGCCATCTGCCGCAAAATGATTTGTAGCCTTAAGTGGAAGGCAGCACGTTCGTCGTGCTGTTAAAGCCATGGCCCATGCCCGGGGCCAGGCCGCAGCGCACCGCAGCGCATCTCTGGCTTGTGGAGTCCAAAAACTGTGAAGTGAATTAGTGGCCAGTGGCCCAAGTGGAGAGTCTCTTTTTGTGGCACGGTTGAGCTGGGTTGTTGTCACGCCATTTTCAAATAAACCGCTCCAACAGTAAATATCATTCCAGAACCCCGTCTCCCGTTCCCATACGAATGGCTCTCATGACGGGAATAATGGGAGCTATCATCGACTCGGACCCCATCTCATGACCCAGCAGCATCTCCGACCTTTTCCAGCCTCAATCCCTCCTTGGGTCTTGGGAGTGCGTTCGGTGCCTTTGTGGATATTGTTGCTACGTTTTATGGAGCTATTAAGGTGTCGTCTGCTGTGTTGTGTGACTTTTGCTACTATTGTCCCATTGTCTGCCGTTTACGGAAATGTCGCGTGCTACCAAAGGGGCTTCCCCCAATTCGTTGGGTTTTTGTTTTGCCCTCAAAGAAAGAGTCAATAGAATTATAGGATTATGGTAATCGGGGAATCGAATATAGGCATCTGAACATAACCTTTTGTACTGTATTGCTTTTGGAATAATACTTTAAGATTGAATCAACTAAAAGGGCTGTAGTGCTTAATGGTTAGCCAAAGCCTTCAACTCCTTCTTGTGCTGTTCGGTTTCCTCTTTCACGATTCCGGATTCCAGAGTTTGTAAATTGAAACCACAACTGAAGGGCCGAAAAACGGATTGGTTTCGCTGAGTAATGAAAGATGTTAGCACAAGACTATCAAAGAAAGGAAAACAAAAAATTGGCTGGGAAAATTTATTTTGGCCATTTCTCTGGCGAGGGGTAACCAAAAGAAATGCCGAAAGAAGCATGCAAAAAAAGAGCACTTTCTCTCCTTTTGCCCGAAAAACAAACAACGGTTCTGCATGTTTCGTACACACAGAGACAGCGCGGAGCGACACCAGCAGAGACGACACGATGCAATGTGGCCATGCAGATAGATGCATCCGTGAGCTACAGATAGAGTGTATCTGTTGTTCCCCGAGTGGTGTTGTGGAGTGAAGTGTGGTGCTGAATGTTTGCCGTTGGCCAGCAGCAGCATCGCCCCCAGTCCGCTTAATTAAAACGTGAGCAATTGCAGTAATGAGTGCTCCGGTTGATTAAAGTCTCCCAGCCAGGGGCACCGGCACGCACTCGAGGTGCAGTTGCAAATGCAGATACAGATACAGATACAGATACAGATACAGATACAGACGCTGCTGCTGCATCGGATGCACGGCTCGCCATTGGGAGATGCGTTCGTGCGAATGGCAATTAGAGGGCGGCGCCTAACTGCCTCGACAATGTGATCGTTTAGCATAACTGCGTAAAAGTTTTGCGACAAGCATTCACCGTTGCAGCGGCGTTGCATAAGCAACGGGAGACTTGGTGCCACGGTGGCACACGGAACGCATCGTTGCATGCATCCACGAGATACGCGCTCGGGCTTGCATGTGTGACCGAAATCCAAACATAATCCTAATGCTAATGGCACTGCCAGCCCCGCCAGCCCAGCCAGCCGCATTGGCCATGCATTTCAGGCTTCCACTTACCCATCTTGACATTTGGAATTCCCTTCCCTGTGCATATTTTTGTGGTCCTCCACGCCCATTCAGGCACATGGGAAATCATTGGACACGCTGTTTACTGCGAGGAAAATGAAACTGGCTGGCTGATAGCTTTTCCCAGCGAGCCCAATCGAAAATGTAATGCCAAAATAGGAAGAGGAAAAAGAGGAAAGCCATAGGCCAGAAATTGGTTGCAAGTTGAAGAACGTCGGCCACTTAATCACAGATAACGTTTCAACGACTGTGGCAAGAACTCGAAGAACCAGTTCTGTAAAAGCTGGCAAGAAGTAGCTTGTCCTTTCTGCATACTACCAAAATCTCTGCTCTTCATAAAACAATTGCAAAAGTTGCAAAGGAAAACGTTTTCAAACGGTTTCCTGAATTACACCAAGAGCTTCCAATGCCCCGTTTAATGAGTCACAAAAGTTGATTATCCCACAATTAAAATTGTTAGCCATAAAAGATTCCGTGCAGGTTCTCATAGTAAACCGATTACTATTCCAACCAAGCAATGAAAGAGTAATCCAATTAAAGGTGATTTTATGCAAATCATAAACATTGATGAGAAACGACACTAAAGCAAAGTAAAATACTATATAAAAAAGTGGTAGTACTTATGAAAAGCAATATCTTTGCTGGTAAATTTCTGGCTGTCTCCTGCTGCAGGGCAAAGTCGTGGCCAAATTTATCTCATACTGTACGAACTATACGATTAGTCGTATCTTGTATCTTGTGAATGCACTTTGGATTTTGGATGGGGCTCGCCTTGGGTCTGGTGTTATGCCAGAGCACTTCCTGACACGTTTCCCCATTCGAAAGGTTAAATGTTCAGCGGGTTCCTTCGCCTTGGCCAGACCAGACCAAAAACCAGACTGTGGACTGTGATTTTGGCAGGGGGATTGGTGGGGGACTGTGGGTTGCCGGCAGGCTGTTGCAAATTCGTAAGCCTGCAACTGTGGCAAGGTCTACAAGGTTACAAATGGTCAGCTCGTTAATGCGACCACTTGCGGTTTCGTTTCGTTTCGGTTCGATTCGATTCGTTGTGGCAACTACGGGAAAATCCGCGAATCCGTGGCAGCTAGATCGAAACCAGTTCCACCAGTGACCTTTTCCGTGCCTCGTGCAATTTTCATAAGCCCCTAATCGAGCCGCGTGTCAAGTGCGTGTGTCTGCCTGTCTCCCTGTCTTTCAATATGTGTGTGTTAGTCGATGATGATGATGTGTTTTGGGGCGGATCGGCAGTCAGTAGATGTATCTAAAACTCGAAAGAAACTTGCCAAATGTTTATACATTTTTCACGCAAAATAATGCCCCGCATCCGTTGGCCTGCCCCAGGTCCGGTCTGGTGTCCGCGTCCCTCATCACACAACGGACATCGGACATCTGTGCGTGAGCTGCCATGCCAGGTGGCAAAGTGCCTTGGGACTTATCGCTTTGGAGGTGTTTAAATTGCCTGCAATTTGGTGTTTTATGATTTGGCCTTGCCACAGAATACGCGCTCTTTCTTTTTTATGCCTCAGGCCAATGATGTAAGCCCCTGCCTTTTCACTATCTTTCTCCCCATTGATCATCTTTTCCGCATTTCCGATGAAGTCATTTTGGTTAAGGGACAATTATCACCACATTGCATACCAAGTCGTGGCCGCCCCATCGCCTGCCCCGTCGGGCATCGTCAACATCTCGGACACGTTCGCTCATTAATATTTGCGCTGCCAATTGAAGCGGTTTCGGAGTGCTTTAACAACTGAAACGATGACAACACCAGATGCAGCAACAACCTCAGCAGCAGCAGCAGCAGTTGAGGCAACAGAAACAGGCAAAACAAGCAACGGCAGCCACATTTGCATGCAAATACACACCAAATCAAATTACTGATATAATTGAAACCCAAAAATCACCACGAGAGGTGAATACCCTAGATATATATGTACTGTACAGGTGTAATGGGAGAGGGAGGGAATAAACATTACACTATCTAAAGATTCAATGTTCCATACTCACATCAAAAATCAAAAATTTCCAAACGCGCGAGTTTTGATTCGCAAGCGACCAGTGTCGCGGGTCTCCTTACTTGAGATGTGCCCCCAGATCTTCATACCTCAGATGAGCCCTCCCAGCAGTTATCAAAGTGGACATGTAACCCTTTCAATGTGAACAAGTGCCTGGTACAAAATCCTTTTCCTTCGCAGATAAATGAGTAATGCAACTGCCACTCAGAGTGGCATATTCAGATCCCGGCTAAGCATTCACATTAATTACGAGTCTCTGCAAAGTGAATAATATTGGTCGCGGCCAAAGACGGACAAAACCCGAAGAAATACAGATATAAAACAGGCATCGTCTTCAGCCGCGTCTTAACCGCAAAAGCGAAAGTAAAGTTCGCCTTGCCAGTTCCGATGGGAATCTCAATCTCTGTTTGAAGTCCGGGACTGGTCGTTTATCTTTGGCTCAATTTACGCTTCGACTGGCCGCTTACCTAATCGACGAGGGCGAGGACTGCAGCGGTGGTTCGGGATCGGGTTCGGGTTCGGGTTCGGGGGCCATGCAGATGTGGTGAGGGAGTTGGGGGTGATCGATCCCGGCAGCCGGTCTGCGGAGTGAATCCTTTTTGGCGCGTTTGCCACGCGTTTTGCAGTCGCCATAAATCGCATTGATTATCGCGCCGCTCTGTTGCACTCTGTTGCTTCAATCGAGGCAGAGACCACTGCCGCAGTCTCTCATCTTTCATAACTTGATTCCGATTGCATCCTGATGGTGGTGTTGCGTAACCGAGCGATGGTCCACTCCAATCTTTGATTCGACTGTCATTTGTCGGCCGTTCTTTCACTTTTCGGTCTGTCAGTGGCTGAGGGTGCCCTTAATTGATTTTAACAAGTTTTTTTTTTGGGCTTCCTCTCTGTGTATTTTGGTCCAAAGTGTTTTCCCCATTGGCCTTGCTCCGCCCCCGCCCCTCCTGGCCCTGCCCTGGAAACGAATGGCTTTGGGCAATGGCATGCCTTCGCTCAATCAATCTTCTGACCTCAGATTTCCGTCTGTTGTCTCAGTCGTGCCGTCCTCAAAAGTGTGAAAACTGAAACCCATTTGCGCAAAATATGATTTCATGTTTCGCATCTTGTTTACAATACCAATACTCGTACCCCTCTCCACCCTAAACAAAAACCAAACTTTTTGCTCTGCTGTCAACTTCAATTACATTGTGCCGAAACTTGTTGGAGAGATCCTTGGCTCCTTGCTGCGCGATGGTCCGGATGAAGCAGATTTTCATGGGCATTCGAAATTTAATAGCAATTTAGAGCGGGGTGGGGCGGGTGTCGTCGTGCTCCCTTCACTCTGGTAATGCTTTTCCACTGGCAAACTCAATTACAAGGCCCTTAAAATGATTTCAACAAATGAATTCAAGGCTCCAAACGCATACAATGACAGATTCTGAAAGTCTACTCGAACGCTTTAAGGAGTTCAAGGACTGTACCCAACCACAAAGATCTGTGACATCAGAAGCAGAATTGTGGAGAGGAATGCAGTGACCACTTGAGCGAGAAGCCAAGGAAACTCTGTTGCCACACGCAACAATGGAAAGATACAAAAGATACCAAGATGTACGTAAAGATGGTGCCTGGTGCTAAGTCTGTTTTTGGGGTGCCGCAAAAGTAAAAGGAATGCCAGGCACAGGCACAGGCACTGGCACTGGAGCTGGCACTGGCACTGGCCACGCATCTTTACATCTTCGACAGCGCAATTTAAATAATTGTGGTTTCTTCTGGCCACAAGACACACGATTACATAAGCCGGCCAATAAAGTTGCAAATCCAACTCTGCGCCTAATGACCATTTGCATTATCTTCTTCCACAGTTGCCAACGCGCCAAATTACACAAAGTATCCAAGACTCTAACTCTAACTCTAGCTCTGGCTCCAGTCACAGACCCATAGCCAGCCCACAAAGCCAACTCCAGCGGAATTGGCCACGTTTGGAGGAGGAGTACTCGTAGATGGCTCCAACGGCTGACGCTTTGTTGAGTTATTTCGACAGATATGCAAATGCAAAGGCAATGTTGGATCGATGGGCCGAAAATCGCACGTGACGGAGTGTCTCGTTGGGCTTGGGGCACGTTGGGCACGTGCAGCTGCTGCGTCCAAATTTGGTTCCAGGAAATGCGCAAACAAATTTGGAAAACCTTTTTGATGTCACCAAGCGATTGTCACCCATTAAATATGCATTTGGAGAGGCACAATCGCCTCAGTGACCGCAATCCCATACAGCTTAACCCACCCGCCCCATGGGATCCCCAGACCAAAATTACACTACAATTGGCATTATAAACCCAATTCCAATTTCAAGATTTCTCTTCAACTCTAACTTCCACAATTTCAACTTTTTCGCTGCATATTTGCGGGGGGTGCGGGGGGACTCCATGGGAGCTGTGAAACAGAGATATTTAAAATTCCATCTCCGGCTGTGACTCTCGACTCCGAGTGAATCAATTGCAAATAATCGTGTAGCTGACGAGTGCAACACAATTTCGACAAATGCAAATCTGTGTGAGGGCGAACCTCATTGGTATTCAATGCATAATCCATCCGCTGGTATCTTTTGTTGCCGCAGACACAAGTCGTCCTTCATCCGGGCAATGCGGCGGCGTCTCAACTTGATTGTTTCTCCCTCAATGCTGCCTGACTTTTACGATTTCATTAACTAAACTTTTACGATACGGGCAGACATAAAGAGCAGGCTGGAGCACAATTGGAATAGCAGCTAAAAGTTTCTTTTTCACACGTTTTCGCTTCGAGAGCGACGATAGCGACGAGAGCCTCGGTGGCAGCTTCCAGCCTTGCGCCTCGAATTGCACTTCATTTGTAAAATTACGCATACGACATGCTGCGCGCCCGTTTTATGAAGCCATTCGCATTTATGGGCGGGCGCCTCCAACGTAATGCATTTAATTGCAGGCAACACCGACCCAGATTTTCCCCACCGTTTGCTTTCGATTTGGATTTGAATTTGAGTTTGGGTTTGGGTTTGGGCTTGAGTTTGCTTTTTGGCAGTCAAGGCGTGCGCCTTCGGTAGAAAGGAAACCAAAACTCGTTTCCGTTGTTGCAGCCCGCTCGACTCGGGGTCGTGTTACTATGTCAGCAAAAAGAGTCAGGTCCCAGCTGGCTGCCACCTCAACTCCTGGAGAACTGCTGCTCCAACTTTGAGCTCTGGATAAGTTTGTGGTGCCAAGTGTTTGCCAGCAACTTCAAAGACTGCCAAATGTGTGAACTGCGCGGAGCTTCCCAAAAGGGGAGACATGTGGCACGTGTGCAGGGCAACTGCAACCGCATGATTAATGTGTTTGCCGCGCGACACGACTTTTCCATTTTCCATTTGCCAGTTAGATCCTGAAAAGGTACCGAAAAGCTGGAAAAAGTAAGGCAGGCAATGGTGGGATTGTCGCCTTGTTGTCTCCTGCAAATGTCAGGGGTGTCCGTACACTGGCGAGCAAATTGGATGTAATGTAACATTCAACGGAAATTGCAGCCCATTAGAAGACGAATGCATATTAAAAGTGCGCTGCCCCATCACATGGCCAAACGGCCACACGACTACATCCCTCAATGGCTGAAAGTCATGCAAATTTCAAGCAGAAATGCCCGGCGCCACACGAATGAAATGTGCTCAAAAGAATACTGGTCTGCCCATGTGCACCATTCGGTTACACTCACACATTCACGCTCACACGTACTGCAATTAAATTAACAGCTCCTTCTTGTGGCCCCTGAAATGTGAGCAAAAAATTGCAAGTCAGCAGCTGATGGTGGGGGCCATCGAGGAGACCAGCTCGAAGCCCTTCCCAACTGAAAGGAAAGTGGGAAAGGAAAATGGTTCTGCGAACCATTTGCTTATAATGGAATTGGAATGCGGTTGGATGGGCGAGCACAGAGCACAGAGCAGGTTCAGAAGGCAAATAAATTGGATTTTACTTTTATCCAAACATCCTGTGGAACTTTAAGCTAAAATTTAGAGGACCTTTATCCCTTAATTTAGGAGAAAACTATATGCAAAGTTAAGCCAACATCTGTTGAGGACACAAACTAATCCAAATCCCAAATTACTTTATCAAGTCACACGAAACAACTTTTAATTGCCGGCTGTGAGCGAAGGTTAATGACAAACGGTTTGAGCCAAGCTTAAAGACAAGGCTTGAAGTGATATTTCGGGTGTCTAAGAGACACCGGGCCGAGTGTCTAAGTCTCTGAGGGACCATTCCGAGTGGCCTATTCGTTATCAGACATAAACATTTTCATTTGCCGGTGACCTTAGACAATTTGCTGCAACGTGGCTTTCGGGGCAACTCTAAATTGCCAAATGGTCAACAGTTAAGCGAGGAGGCCGAAACCGAAATCTACAGCAAAAAGTCGCTGACACTAATTAGCATTTAAAAGTGAGCGACCAGCAACGGCAACAACAACAGCAACTGCAACAGCAGCAACATTTTCAATTGAAGCGAACATCGAAGACAATCGGAGAAACAAACATACAATAAATAATAAGTCTGCAAATCTTGCCTGAATCTTGCCTATCCAACGATGATACCATCGTGGACAGATGGGAGATGCATTTGGCGCCAGCGGCAACATCTACAACATCTGAAACATCCACAGCGGCAGCAAGGCAGCAGAGGCCACATCCAGTGCCACCAAAAATGTCAAATGTAAAAGCGAAGCAGTCAAACGGCAAAAACCGTTCATGCTGCAACCAAATAAAAAATGTACACAAAACTTAAACAAAATTCGTATTCAACAATCAAAAAATTTGCACGTTGCACGTCTCTGTCTTTGTCTGCGTCTGCGTCTGGGTCTCTCTCTTGCTCTCTTCGTTTGCTTAACAAGCAGGAAGTGGCGCTGGGCAGACGGAGGAGATGCCACCAAAGCCATCGCCAAAGCCATCCTCCATCTTCGCCCCAATCCCCGCTGGCAATAACAAGCGACAATAGATGCAGGAAGCAACAACTGTCGTCGTCGTCGTCGTCGCCAGCTTCCTACCCGCCATCCGGCAGCCACCATCCACCAGCCACCAGCCACCATCTACATAGCAACCACCACTATCCATCGAAATCCCTCCCGTTGCATAGGGATGAGCTAAAGCTGCTCCCGTTGCGTGCGCCGAGCGTGGGGCAGCGCTATCTTTCAGTGTCATGGAAACATTGCACAGTCAGCCGAAGCCGCATTGCATCTTTTATGCAACAAGCATTGCCTCCCTCCCCCAGGCGGCAGCTCTCTTCGATTAAAGTTCAGCCATCTGCAGAGCTGTCGGGGAGCACTTTGCCGCGGCCCGGCGGCAAGTCGTATTTGCACAGTGGAGAGGCAGAGGTTAAGCGAGATAAATTTGCATAGTAATTAAATAAATTTACCATTTAAACCTCCCATAAATACCACAATTATAGTCAACTAATTGCCCTTAAAGATGGTACATATATCCCCAAATACTTCATTGGGCCCCAGAGCCCCGATACTCCCCATTGACGGTTGGCTCTTGGCCACATTGTTGAGCGTGAGATTTATCGCCAGCGTTGCGGTTTCTTTTTCGGCGATTGGTGCGCTGCGCTTTGGCGCTTTTCCCCCAATGGTATTCGGAAGTTTAGGGGAAAGAAAAACCATTTGAGTGGTGGAAATTCCTAACAAAAGCCACAGAAAGCGAATAAAATTAGCCAGCCTTAGCCTTGATCTGTACTTCAAGGCAACCGCTTAGCGTGGAATCGGATGCGAACTCGAACTTGGATCCCGATTTGCATTCCCATTGCTCCAAATGCCTCCAGCCTGCTCTCTAGCGCTTTGCGGGTGTTCGGCCTGGCTTTAATTTCGACATTGAATTGCATTCCGTTTCCCACATTGGTTCATTGCAGTGGAGCTATTTATTTTGGCTATGCAGCAGCTTGTACAAGTCTGTCAATACACGAAAAGTCGCTCGATGTTCGCCGCTCGTTAGCCGAAAACGGTTTTTGCATATGGCCCGGCTGGCTCCTGGCCTGGTCTGGCCGTTGGCTCTGATTTGGCCCGAAGCTCGGCTCGGAGCTTTGGTTACGCAAGATCTGAGAGATTCAAGGTGAAATCTGCACTCTGCACGGGAATTGTTGTGGCAGGAAATGCTGCGCATGGACGAATCTCATATCCATTTCCATTTCCATTGACAGCTGACTGCAGTTGCCTTTTAATTTTATTATTATTAGTTTTATGATTCCGATCGACAACGGGTTTCAGCCATTTGGCATCTTAATCATAAACTGAAGATTTGTTTTCCCTCTGATGGATTTACGAGTCGGGCGCTTGGGTGATAATTAGATAGGCCCGACCCGACCCACTCTATCCAATCCGCAATGGTCGTTAGTCAAGTGCCGTTTATAGCCATGATAATCCGCTAGATTCAATACCACTCGCAAGTAATTGGCCGGATTGAAGAAAGCCCCAATCCATTAGCCACGAACATGAGTAATCGAGTGGGCTGCTGAGAGGCGCTCAAGCACTCGAGTGTCGTCGAACAAAGACTTGTAAAGTGTCAAAAAGTGAAATACATTTATGTATTTGTGGGTTGTTTAAATTTGGGGCTTATTCCTAGTTGCTTTTCAATCAAAACAAGAAACAATCCCATCATTGTACTCTTCTTGGAGACTTCTCGGCTTCATTTCTGGGAAAGGCAGAGTTTTTTAATAAAATTAAAAATCTCATCTCAACCCATGAAATTGCTGACCCTAAAATTGGCAACTAATTGAAAAAGCGTTCGGACAATTTGCCTTTCTTCTCTCACCGACTTTATCCCACACCTTTCTCGCCATTATCTTCGGTTCATTGAACGTTAAGTTCGTTCGATCTGCCAGACCACTTCATTAAACTTAACGCAATTAACCGACTGAATAGCAAAGAGTGAATGAAGAATACAAAAGATGATTCAAGCAGGAAAAAGCCACAAGAAAAAATCGTATTTTATAGGTATTATATAGAGATGAAAATAAGATATAAATGCTGAATAAATACAGGAATACCCCTGGAGAAACACTAAAATCTATGTAATTGTTATGGCAAAGGAAGTTACGAAGGAAGTGTTTTTTGACTAGAGGCTAGTCCCAAGGCTAATCCCGTTTGACAATTTATACTTTTGTACCCCAGACACGACCAACCCAATTTTAATGAATTATCTTTTCGGCAAATCTCTGAATCGTAGGCCTTGCACAGTGGCACACTTGCACACTCATAAAAACACTCACAGGCACATTTACATTCGCATCAACATCTACATACACTCATTCCAGTCAGTCATCTATCATAGCACGTATTCGCATTTGTCATATGAAAATAAATTCCCCCCCACAACACAATGGTCCCAGAGACAACCCAAAGACAATCCACAAACACTCGCACAAGTCTCGAAAATTATTCAAATTGCCATTGTTAGCGTTCGAGTGCAGAGCACAGCAGCAGTATCTGGGGATTTTCTTTTGATTTTCACTTTCCTCCGCTCGTGATCGTGAGCGTGTGCAGAAATTTCCAAGCCAAAGGAAAGCCAGAGTCGCCTGCTCTGTTGGCCAGCTGACGCTCAAGTGCGGCACCCGAGACCCAGTCGAGATCCCAGTCGAGGTCCCAGGCCTTAGAGCCCAGCGGTGAGAGCGAAAGTGCACGACATTGGGTACAGACTAAGACTGGAGCAGAGACATAGCCAGAGCCAGAGACTTGGCCAGAGAGTGAGAGTCTGGCACAGAGTCTGAATCGGACTCTCCAGTACATCCGACAACGGGAAATCAACGTTGGTAGAGCGAAGTGAAGCTGTTGTTGCTGTGCTGTAATAAGTTGATTGTGCGGTAATTTCGGTTTCACTTGCCAGCAGCCTACACAGACAGACGCCAACGTTAACCCCGATGCCAGACAGAGGCACAGCCACAGCCACAGACACTCGCACTCAGACTCAGAGAGAGAGAGAGATGGCCAAAAGCAGAGTCTCATTATTGGCCAGCTCGCTTGGCCTGGCCACGCATGCGCAGTGCCCAAAAGTCGCATCATCATCAACATCATGATGAGCATAGCAAAAAACCCTCTCGCATCCATGGGGCCTGCGAATGTGTTGGAGTTGGTGTTGGTGTCCGCTGTGCCGCGCTCTGTGGCAGGCAGCCACAGCCGCCTCTGCCGGGCTGTGCATCTAGCTGGATTTCTGTATAAATTGATGATGCGGCTGCAGTGGTTCGTCAGTGAAGCATTTGATTTGGTCTAATAAACAACATCCGAGCAAGCAGTCGAGGATACAGAAACGTGAGGCTCTACAACAGCAATCCTGCAGTGTTCCAGCATCATCGTCCTAACTCGATACCTCTGTCTTGTCTTCCCCCAAAACAACCCAAAAACACACTCGACCACACACACCACAGACCTAGGATTACTGTGATAGTGCCAGTGCAAAGTGTGTGCGTGTTAGATCGTAACCGAGAATCAGAGAATCCGAGTCTCTAAGAACCCGTGACCCAAGATCCAAGAGAACCCAAGCAACGCGTCTTTTCCGTCCACTCAACCCGTGACTAAGCAGCCATGAAAGCCTTCATTCTTATGTCCTGTCTGGCCCTGGCCGCGGCCCGTCCTGAGGCCGGCTACAACTACAACCGTCCCGGAGGCGGCGGTGGCTCCAGCGGCGGATTTGGAGGTGGCTCCAGCGGCGGCTTCGGAGGTGGCTCTAGTGGAGGATTCGGAGGTGGCTCCAGCGGCGGTTTCGGAGGTGGCTCTAGTGGTGGATTTGGAGGTGGCAGCGGCGGCGGAGGAGGCGGTGGCTTCGGAGGTGGATTCGGCGGCGGCTCTGGTGGCGGAGGAGGAGGAGGCGGTGGCTTCGGAGGTGGATTCGGCGGCAGCTCCGGTGGCGGATTCGGAGGAGGTGCGTGAGAAAAGAGTGCATCTTCGATTCCGAGTTAACTATAATTTAAATTCACTTTACAGGCGGCAGCATTGGCGGATTCGGAGGTGGAGGCGGCGGCGGCGGTGGCACCACCTTAGTGCAGAAGCACATCTACGTGCATGTGCCGCCACCAGAGCAGGACGAAGTGCGTCAGCGCCCCAACCTGCCAGTTGGCCAGTCGCAGAAGCACTACAAGATCATCTTCATTAAGGCCCCCTCCCCGCCCTCGTACCAGGCTCCAGTCATCCCCCTGCAGCCCCAGAACGAGGAGAAGACCTTGGTCTATGTGTTGGTGAAGAAGCCCGAGGACCAGCAGGACATTGTCATCCCCACACCGGCACCCACACAGCCCTCAAAGCCCGAGGTGTACTTCATCAAGTACAAGACCCAGAAGGAGTCTGGCGGTATCTCAGGTGGCATCTCCGGTGGCATCTCCGGCGGCGGCAGCGGTGGCTTCACTCAGTCCAACTCTGGCAGCGGCTACACCACCGGCGGCGGCGATGGTGGCTTCACCGGCGGCGACAGCGGCTCCATCTCGGCCCCGTCCAGCAACTACGGCCCACCCGGCAAGTCCGGCCCCTACTAAGAATCTCTCCATCCACCATCCACCATCTACCATACGAACTTCGAACTCAACTTCGGCTCAAGCTGCTGACTAGTCCTGTCGTTGACACGCCCCCCACTCTCACACAGAATCTCCACCACATCGACATCAACATTAACCACACATCAGCATGACCACCAACACCACAAACACTGCGACTTGACCCGAAACGTGACGATCTTCTACCACACATGTGTCCCTTCTTCTGGTCCCCGACACAGCCACATGCCCTTAAAACGGGGCTAGTCTCCGCTCGGATCGCTAGCCCCAACCACGCCCGCAAACGGGATAGTGCTTTCCGCCCATGTCTTTTGTATATAATACGTTTCCAAACTCACTTTCTCTATCCAACTATACTACTTTCCATCTCTTTCCATCTGTCAGTCGCACTTCGTCCGACCAGAGTCTGAAAACCCTAAACTTTGCCCTGAAAATTCTATTAGCTAATAGGCGACGAGTGCGGGTTCCTTGGATGGGAACCTCGCTTGGGCGCCCGAAAGAGCGATGGCAGAAGAAGATAATAATGATGATGATAATAATGATGATGATGATATAGAAGATGATTTAGCGGGGCTTGACACAATGCTCCATGCATACACATAAATATATATATATTTTAATTATACTAGAATAAGTACTTTATGCTCAATAAAAAAAAACAACGGTGACAAAATTACGAAAAAAAAACAACAGTGGCTTGAATTTTTCATTTGAACTTTTCCACCCAGTAGCACTCATCTTTCATGGCCTTTTGGTTGAGTTCCCTGCGGATTATACTCGAACTTCTCTTTTTTTTCAACTTTCCCTTAACTAACTTTCCGCTGACCCCGTTTTCACAGTTTCCTTTTCCCTCAAACAATTAGGTTCCATCTAATCCAGTTATTCGCTAAATTTATGCTTATCCCCAACAAAAAAGGGAAGTACAAATAATTGAGCATTTTAGGGAAAAGTTCTTGGGAGACTTGCGAAACTAATTAAGAAGTAATTTCTTCACATTATGAACATAATTCTCTCTAGTTTGCACACTTCTTTGTGGGATTCAGTGGGCAAAAGTGCCACAGCTGACCCGCAATAGCCATCCGTTTAATTAAATTGAATCGTTTGAATGGCAAGTTTTCTTTCGAACCCCCATTTAAGACCGCAATTGTGGGAATGCCATGGAAAAAGTGTGAAAACTTTAAAACTCTTTAAGTATCTGTAGCATTGCGCTTTTCCGCCGCACCCGACCTCGCCCCCGCCCCCACTGAGCACTGGAAATGTGCAAAATTGCAGAAAGTTTTTCTTTGAGTGAGGCTTTTATCTTTTGGCCAACTTCTAGTCGGTGTTTTTTTGCGAGAGGAATACTACTACATCTAGCCAGATGGTAGCTGCCAGAGGAAGATCTTTCCGCTTTAGTTTGTTAATGACAAACTGTTGCTTGTGCTTTTGTTTTGCCTTTTGTTGCATCTGCGTTTAGTTTAATTTTACGTACTGCCTGTGTGTCTTGTCTTTCTCTGGGGTACAATGTTTTAATGCCTTAAGTATACAGCAAACAGCAGACAGCAGACAGCATTGGCATTGTCATTGCCGCTCGAGCTTCTTCCTCTTTGCTGCTCTGCTTTGTCACTTTCACTTTTGTGCGGTTGTTGGCGGTGTTACTGGTGTTACTGGCGATGCTACGGTTTTGCCTGCTACCTTTAACCGTCTGCTGCCGACTGTCTTGGTCTTGGCAGCATCATTCGGCTCGGTTTGTGCCGCTTGTGCCTGTGCCTTTGTTCCCAGCATCATATTTTACGGGCATATGGTTTTGCTTCCGCCTGTCTGGGCCAACACCAAACACTGGAGGCCCATTGCTCGAGTGGCTCGAGTGTTCGCACAATCAATGGCAATCCGTCATGCACGGCTTTGCCCTGCCACACAATATCCGATTGAAAGCCGCATGATGAACCGACAGATGTCCATGGTTGCCACTCTCAGGGCATTCGCATTCGCATTCAAGGAGCTTCCATCTTTCTAATTACTCCTCTTCGGACTTGTACCAGACGTTCGTTGTTGAGCCTCTGCCCAAGTGTGTGTCCGTTGGTGGTCGTAAAATACGAGAGAAACAATATCATTGATGCACTCACTAAAGTTGCCATGCCGCACGGTGCACGTGGAGCGTACTCTGGGCACTCCGAGCCGGCTCGTAAAAGTTCGAACGTGTTGTCCGCCCAGCGTATTGCTGGACAAAAAGACCATAAACATTGCTTTGCATGTGGGGGTGTGTTCCGGAGGACTGGGCAGGGCTGGACAGTACAGCACCAGGACAGGACAGAAGCGGGGGCAGCCTATAAATCAAACATAGGAAAAGCCTCAACACACGAAACACACACGCCCACATTCAGCTGAGGCAATTTGTAAAGTTTCGGGGGCCGCAACATTGTCCCAGATTGGTTCAGGAACGGGGATGTGGCCCACTCCCTCCCCCCTTATTGTGGCAGGATTTAGGTCCTGCATTCTTCCGGATAGCTAGCCAAATTTTTCTTGGGCTACATGCATTTGGCACTTGAGAACCTGAACATTTGCATGCAGCTAGAGGAAACGATGTACAGAAACCGCAAATATCTATTATGCGAGTATGCAGGAGATAACAGCCACTGCGGTAGTAGTTGGACTCAAGTGGAAGTTTCATGTGGGAGAAGACAACAATGTCACCTTTGAATTGAGATGAGTTCCAACTTCAGCTGAAGAGGACAACTTGTGCCCAAAGGATTCGTCTAACGAGTCAACTTATTAGTCTGCTTTTCCCGGTGCTAGTCGCCCCTCCAATAAAAAAAAGACTTTGCAAGGCAAATGATCTGGAAAAACCCTCGAAATGTATGTCAGCAGAAATGTGCATAAACCCCAAAGAGGGCAAGGACCAGGCCGAAGTAAAAGCAATTTATGTGCAAACGAAAATGTTTAAAATTCAATTTGTACGCGGCCATAAGGTAAATAAATATGAAAGGCCCGACTCGCGGACACGAAATTCTTTTATCGTAAGACCCTAACCCCTCCGCCACCCCATCTTATCCGAAAATGCTGCGGCATAAACGAACAATTTTATGACCTTTATTTTTCACTCCCCCACTGTGGCGTCGAGGGCTTTTTTTGAGTGTTTTCCCGGCTGCAAGTGACACGCCCACAATAAATCGCAGGCACAACACTTCCGTGCGGCCAACAGAGAAAGAGATAGCGAGGTAAAAAGGAAAAGAGGGGGAGCACAACATGGAGCACAAGTATGGGTCAGTCCTCGACTTTCACGGTTTCGGTTTCTTCATTTAATTGACAGCTCTTGCAGGGCTTCGCTGCCCCCTTGAGTCCCTGGTTTATGACACTTTGGACGCTTTAATTAATTGCGCGTATTTCTTGGGCCGTTTCCTGAACCGCCCCTTCACGCACCTCACACCGCACTGCACCCATACCGCTCCCCAACGCCACACACCGCCCACCGAGCTGTGTTAATTATAATGTATGTCAGTCGTAAAAGTAAAAGTCCCCTCACGTACGAGTCCGCAGACAAAGCCCCTCTTCCCCACCCGACTTCGACTTCGACTTCAAAAACTCCGTCATGGCGATTCATCAAAACCCGTCAAATACTTCTTGCCTTTAATTTTATGTGGTTTTATCGCCCAATATGGCTTACCCCGAAGGCTCAGCTCAGGGAGCTCTTCCTTTTCCCATTCGCAACACTCCCGGCTACCATCTATTAGCTCCTGCTTTTGGAGGTCAATGCCTTGCTCTTGGCCCCATAAACCTCCTTGGATTTAATTGAAACGTAGAAAAATTCCATTTGGTCTCCTCCTATTTTTAGTCGGTTTCGTGTTTCGTTGTTCTCGTTTTTATTTGATTATTTTTTATGACTTTTGGATTTTAACGATACTTTGTGGCTCTCATTTAAGTAATTCTTGAACGCCATTATCGATTTTTGGCTTAAAGAAATGCCATATAGGAGCAACAAAGAAATTCAAAATTTTTTGGATAGGTTCAATATTTTTGACCTTTCACAACAGCATTTAATCAAATCTATCTTCAGGAATACACAAAATATTTCTAACTTAAACATTTCACATATATTTACTAAATATCAAACTACTTAGTCCTTGAGCTTTCAAAGACTTCAAAAAATTTAAGGAACATTTTTGAAAAAAGCTGTGTCAAAAACTTATTTAAGTTGAACCCGCGCCACATTAATTTTTCCATTTCTTGAGAAAGACAAGCCACTAGGTTTTGAGTGAAATTGCTGTGCAAATTAGTTGCTGATTAGTTGAGCTGCCCGTCGACGGTATTGTTTAATGACCGTTTGATTTTTGGCTATTTCATGGATAACAATTTGAGCTCCGGTTGGGTTGCGGGTTGCAGGTTGTGGGTTTTGGGTACAGACATTGTTTCACCTTTTCACCTGGCACTTTCGCAATTGTCTGGCAATTAAATGTGGCTTCAATTACCGCAGCTCGCGGCGGCATGCGGGTCCATCCGCAGGTCAGTTCCAGAGTTGGGCAAGGGACTGGGACTGGGACTGGGCGATGGACCAGCCAGAGCCTGGGGCACGCGCTAATCGATGAGCCAAATGGATTGATTAATAGTCGTAAACAGATATCAGCGGGTAATCGAGTAGCGGACCCATGCCGGATGCCTGTCGAATGAACTAGTTCCCAGTCGTAATTATTAACTGGTCCCGACACGCATTTATTTCTGGAAACTGGTTTGCGTCTGGCTTTGGAGGCACTGTGTAATCGTAATCGTGTTCGCAAGGCAACTCCCACGCCAAAAAAGAGATTTCCAATTGTGAATGAAATGCTGCTTTCAATTTTCGGCGAACTGTTTTTATATACCTTCCTACCCCCCCGAATTCAATGGCATTAAGCTGAACACAGGAAAAAACCCAGCGACGTACGGGTAATAATAAAAATTACGAGACCTGCCCAAAAGTTGCAATCAAAATCGTTTAATGCGCTTACCGCGCCTTTGTTGATTGGACAGCTCACCGCTTAGGGCCTCTTTCTCTTGAGAAACTAAACCAAACAACGGCAGAAAATTAAATCTTGCGAAAAGCCAAAAGACCAACATAAAACTACTTACTTTTTACCCATGGTACTCGTTCGTATTCGTAAGTTGAAAGTTTCGGCATCGTAACAAACATTTTGCATTCGACAACCGGTCCTCCTCCTCCTGCCATGGGCTGTATGTAGGTATAAATCAAATTCTGTGCACTTAAAAAGCAATCAACTTTGGCGCCCTCCTCTCATTAATTAAACAAAACGAATGACAGTCAGCAGGGACAGGGACAGGCTTTGGCCTGTCCCCGAAAGCAGAAGCCATTTGGTAGTCGAGGACGTGTCAGGAAATTTAATTAGTGAATTACTTGGCGAAAGAGCAGAACGCTTTGCACCTCATCGCGAAGAGTGGAGAGGCGTCTATTCAAATCGAAATATCATTCAGCCTCTGGGGGTATTCTCTCCGAGACAGAGTGGATCAAAATTCATTTGTCAGCCTTTCTCTCCTCTCACTTTCATGCCCCAGTTCCTAATGTTTTCGTGGGTGTGGGCTGGGGTCCCTACTTAAGCCGAAATCATTTTGATGAATTACAGCACGGTCTGGACTGTACTGGACTACTGGAGCTCATTTTTTATGTAAGCCTCTGCGCGGCATTAACTTTGATGGGCGGGCATGACACTTGTAGTACCCATAACCGTAGTCGTAACCGCAGCCGAAGGAGAAGCGCTACCACGACCGCTAACCGGTTCAAAACCAAAACAAAACCAAGAAAAGTAAAACTAAGTGTGATATTATTGTGGCTAATGCCGGCAACGAACGCTGCTGCCAATTAAGTCGTGAGACTGTCGAAGCTTAAAGACCAAAAAACAAACGACCAAAGAGATGAAACTAGAGCCGCAGGCAGCAAATTCCAAGCAGCTCATACGCCACATGAGTAATGGACTTGAGTATGCTGTCTCTACAAGAGACACCTCAGCTGCAGGCCAGCCATTGATACCCAAACCCATGGATGACGTTGCAGCTTCCACCCACAAGCCCGGCTGGATTGAGGGAAAGCTGTATGCACAGCGGACACATGCCCCGGCCAAAGGTCACAGACGGAGAGGCACACGCAGACAAGGTCCCAGCGGAGGCGTCAACAAAAACATATTTGTATAAACATTCATTACCAGCTTAGTTGGCTTCACTTTGTTTGCGTCTCGTGTTTTTACGCCTGAACAGCGGTGCGTATACTTAATGTTTGCATTGTTAACACTCAGCCAGCCAGCCAGCCAGCCAGCCAATGCGAGAGCGAACTAACGAGGCATTAAAACGAATCAAATGGCCTCGTTGAGCACTCGTTTATAGCCGCCTGGCAAGTGCAGTTCGAAGGGAGACCAGGACACTGTCCCCCGCATTAGCTCCATGAGTAGCTTTATAAAAATGTCTTAAAATGTGTTGAAAAACCAACTGTCACCAGATGCTGACTTTGGTAAATAGCCGAGGATATAGATTCGAGTTCATCCGACCATTGCATCAATTCATAATCGCTGGCTATTGAGCAACATTCCCTTGGCAGTCAGATATTTATCTGGCCAATAATGCGATAATATCTGCATGGGAATCCAATTCCTTTGTGCTGCCATTTCCTATCAGAATTCAATAAAGGCTTCGCATATGATTCGTTTATTGGTACTTCGATACCCTTTGCATCATCAGCAGCGTCAGCGTCAGCGGCAGCCATTCTGCAATTGCTCTTTTCAGTCTCGTCTATCTCTGGCTCTGAGATGCCGTCGTTCCCCTTTATTGGCCAAGTGGGCAACTGGCTTTAACAACTTTATCGTGCATTCGTTTTGGGCCGTAAACCTTTATGTCATGTCTAGCTCAGGTGGTCACGTGAGAGACGTGCCCAATGAGTTCATCATAAAACTAAATTATGCCGTCATATTCGAGATTCTGCTGCAGCCCGATGAAACCTAAAAACCTAAACTCTTGGATTAGTTGGGTAACTTTTTACGGCATTTGTGACTTAAATTCGTATAGATTTTCCACGTTTCCCCTGCCAACGCGCACGGGTAGTTACCTTCAGCTGTCACATGTCATCGGGAATTCTTAATAAATAAAACAAAATCCTTTCGAATTTTTTATAGGTATTGTGCGTGACAAACAGGAATCGCAGCGTATGGTTGCCAAGGGGTGGAACGAGGAAAGGGGTTCACTTTTTCCAATAGACTACACAGACAAACTGTGATAAAATACAACAATCAACGACCATAAACGGTAGAACAAAACAATATTTAAAACATACTAGAGATATTATTTCCGTACACTGTTGGCCAAAAAGTGTTGCATACTTTTTAGCTGACGATAACGTGTCACATACATGTAGATATTTGTAGGAGCTATGTAATAATCATGTAGAATTGCATTTACAATTATTTAATTTTTGAGAAACGCTCTTTAAAGACGACATAACTCATGACAAAGAAAATCCTTATTAGTCGCCAAAGGTCATGTACATTTTCCGTAGGACAAAACTCTTTTGCTGTCGAACGACTTAAAGAAGATGCTTCGATAAAAATTAGTTTCAAGTGGCCATAAAAGCGAGTCATTGGCCCTTGATATAAATAAAGTTATATTCGTTTTATGGATGGGACTTCTCCAGCCATAGACTTTACGGCTTGACAGATGGCTCGAGATAGGGCGAAATGTCGCCACATGCGACACAGTCAGAGTCAGAGTCAGGCCCGGCAGGTCAAGGTCGTAAATCGTGAATGGATGTGGTGTGTGCCCGAGACCAAGAGACTCAGACCGCAGTCCTATAAATAGACTCTGTAATTGGGTACGGTATGGTATGGTGCATACATACATATACTCCACTTGGGCTTTAGTGTCACACATAAATTAATCATACTTCCGTTTGCTTTATGTACTTGCAGATGATTAAGATGATGCTGACGGTTGTGATTGTGTTTACCATCTGCTGGCTGCCATTTAACATTCTGCAGGTGGGTTTGGAGTTCATGGATATCTTAATTTACTGTCTACATCATCTGTTTGACAGCTCCTGCTCAACGACGAGGAGTTTGGGAAATGGAAGCCCCTACCCTATGTGTGGTTAGCCTTCCACTGGCTGGCCATGTCGCACAGCTGCTACAATCCCATCATCTACTGCTATATGAATGCCCGGTTCCGTGGCGGCTTCCTCCAGATCATGTATCGCGTGCCCGGCCTGCGTCGCTGCTGCTGTCTGCATCGGTATCTGCGCAGCCGCGGCGAACGCAGCTACGAAGCAACCGGTGAGATGACCTTCAAGTACCATCGCCGAAACGGTGATGGTCTAGTCAGGAAACCTAAAATACGAATTAGGTGCCACCCCTCTCTCTCTCTTTCTAGTATCTACTTATTTTGAACATCTAATTGTCATCTAATTTATTGTCTCTCGGTCTGTCTGTACCATCTTCGAGTATCTTTCTATCTGTCTGTCTGGGAATGCGGTTCTTTCTGTCCGTAGTAGCCTTAGCTTTGTTCCTATCATTCTGTTCTCTAGCCTACTTACGAGTATTGCATGACACTCAAGAAGCACCTTTTCGCATGACCAGCACCGCAACACTTGACTGTTGATTTGTAATTTTTGATTATGTATATATAGAGGCATACAAAATTTGCTAACTTTTTTCGTTACTCTTGTATCTACCCTCCGCTGGCTGCTGCATCATCGACGAAGGAACCGAAGAGGCCTTCCACCTGCATCGTGTGAACACCTGCACCACATACATCAGCACAAGGCGAAAGTTACGAGCGAATTCTATGCAAGCGGTACGCATTAAGCATCCTTAAGCACTGCCTTTACTCATTACCTTCTTCATATGTTCTTCCCCTCGAATTAGAGCCAATTTTCATGTGCAGAGACCACAGTTTTGCGGTAGCTGCCCCACCAGAGGAGGCACTGCCTCTGGCAGGGAGACTGCCGGCTTCAGGAGAGTTTCATGTGAGCGGAGGGAACGGTAACTGCACGGAGTTCTAAATGGAAGACGGAAGATGACAGATGTATGCAACCAAAGAACCGAATCTCCCACAGACACCTTGTCTGTCCGTATGTCTGTATGTACGAGTATCTGTGTGTGAATGTGAATGTTTTAAGTGTACTATTGTAAATGTCGAATCGTTGTAAATTTAATGAATGTATATTAAAGATAATCAATTAAAACGAGTATATACATGCAAAATGAGAGACAGTTTGTATATAAATATGTGTGAGGCGGATCCCTAGAGGGATAGGGAAATTGCAATCCTAAGTACTGAGAACTGTTGAGAAGCATTTACCATTTATTGCACAATCGTAAAGAACCGTGCAATAGACACCTGTATAATTGATCTAAAATCTAAAACCTAATCCTAGTACAAAGATGTAGAAAAATCACTTGACTGTTCCTGTTTTTCCCCTGTTACCCCTTACGAATCAATCTCATGGGATCCCATCACCAAATGCGGCACTTGGGCTGATGGGGATTCATGGCCGTGCCACGTGCACACCTGAAGGTTCTCGCAAACTCCTCTGAATTGGATAGCACTCCTCTTAGTCGCATCTGTCCGGGGCAGTGGGAGTCGCTGAGGGCATAGCGGGAGGCGGCTGGAGTGTACGTCTCGCACCAGAGATTGCCAAACGCAATAAAGAAGAGCTGCTCGTGCGTATAGTGCTCCAGGCCTGGGAGCTTCGATCGCTCCCGTCCCATCTCCTTGACGTAGAGGCGGTAGGCGTAGTAGGCCTCCCGCATCCCTCCATTATCGGCAATATTCTCGCCCAGTGTTAATTCCCCATCGATCTGGGGACAATCACATAAATGATTCATATGAGCCATGGCCATAAATACACACAATACTCACGTATTCATCAATGTCCGCGAGATGATATCGACTATACTGTTCCACGAAGCACTCTGTACGGTTGACGTACTCGTTGATTGTCTGGTTGGACCACCACTCGACCATGTTACCGTCCCTGTCGAAACGCCGTCCGCTGTCGTCGAAGCCGTGCGTCAGCTCGTGCCCCAGGATGGTGCCAATCGAGCCATAATTCAATGCCCTAACAAGGACACAACGATTCAGATGCAATTTCAGAAAGGCATTAGGTTACTACTAGGTGCTGGGGATGGTGGCTGGAACATGACAGGTGCTGGTGCTCGGTGGCTAGTTCATTTCTCTGTGCAAAGTAGGAGTGCGGAGTGCTCGGCGTTTTTGCAGTGGAGAGACTTACTCGAGACCAAGGTCATAAAACGGATACTGCAGAATGGCAATGGGAACCGCTGCAAATGAAAAGACAATAAGGATTAAGGGCTCGGCGACAGGACGGGGCCACGCTCACTTATAGCATTTGATTGAAACGTGTGGAAGGCATTCACATTAGAGGGCGACGTTGCCCATCCAATTGGCTCCGGCTTATCCATTTCGTTCAGTTTCTCCATCATCTGCCAGTGCACGAATCCCATCAGGTTCTCCAGGTGCATGCTGGCATTCACCTCCGCCCCTTCGTAGTATGCATTCAGAGCCGTGCCATTCCTCAGCCACGAGGGAAAGCCAATGAAGCTCTTCATCTCGGCGGACTTTTGCATCGTCTTTCGCTTGGTTGCCGCATCCATCCAGGCTGTAGAGCGCACCAGGCGATCGAAGGCTCGTCGTATGTCGCTCAGCATCCGCTGCACGCGTGGCAGCTTCACCCTGGTGAACTCCTCGTCGGCCAGGACATAGCTGACGGCCATCCCGAAGAGGCTGTTCACTCCATTGGCGCAGTAGAGGGATCGTGGTGTGCTACCCTCAGTGCCGATGGCCAGCCGCATATACTCCGAATGGAGAAGACGCATAGAGCTAGTGGTATGCAGCACCAGCTCCTCGATGGTGCTCAGCCAGAGATAGGATTCAATGTGGGACGGTGGAGTCTCCTCCAGATACTCCACTACGTTCTGCAGGTAGAGAATATCCGCCTGACTGGTGATGATGGTCAGATTGGTGGTCATTTGGCGGTTTTTCTCGTGCCGGGTGCCCTTCAGGATGAGCTCCATGTAGCGCATCCAGATGGGCAAAGTCTTCGGGGCAATGTTCTTGTCCGTCTGATTTTGCAGTTGCGTCAGCGATATATATATTATATCGTCTGCGGGGTTCTTTGAAGGCTTCGTTGAGTTTTCAGCATCTTCTTTCAACTGGAATTTGGTATAAGGATTACTTCTGGCAATATTTCCTTCTGCGGTGCTCTTACCTCGTGGATTTTCCGGGCTACTTTAACGCCTTGCTTCACCAGCTGCGAGATGCCCACAGTGGCCTCCTCCTGATTCACATAGGGATCCACGTAAAGCAAATACTTCTCGATGACCTTGCGAATATAGTTGAGGTAGGCCGACATCCCAGAGGTCGTCTGTTTGGCCGCTTCCTCCTCTTCGCTCTCGAGATCGTCCTCGCTGTCGTCCTCGTCGCTGTTCTGCATAAATATGGTCTTTCGGTGGATCTTTCGCAGCAGCTTATGCGAATCATCATTGTTGCTGCCACGAATGATAAAAGACTCAGGGATTCAAGACTCTTTCAACTAAATGATATCCTTAAACTTACAAGGGAAATGCTGATTCTGTTTCGGGGGTGCCCAGGGCTATACGATTGATGGAGCGGTTGAAGGGATCGGGAAACACATCGAAGCCAATGATCAGGTCCATGCTGAGATGCTGTTTGATGGCCACCATTGACTCCAGCCAGTTGTAGCTGGCATTGGCTACCTGCGCTGTATATTTCGATTCACTGCCCAAGGTGAGATTCAGGGATGTGGGCAGGAGGGGCAGCTGGAAGCGCAGTAGATAGCCCACCAGGGGCTCCAGATTTCGCTGGTCCAGCTGCTTTGTGTCCATGCAGGCTCCGTACATGGTCTTGGCCTTGCCCACAGCCTCCGGCTCGGCGCTGCTGATGTTAGATCGAAGGAACTCCCGCACTACGCGCATTATATGCGCCTGTCGCTCCCGGAACCAGTCGTTGGAGGTCACGGAGTCCGGACGCGGATGCTCCTCGGCCCAGCGGCCGCAGGTGAATTTGTAAAAGTCCTCGCAGGGATCAGTCTGTTCATCCATCGCATAGATGAGGCTGGCCGCTGAGCGGATGCACTCCCGGCTGCGACAAATTGGATTCGATTTCTTAACTGAAAACAGAACGAGGATCAGAATGCGGCTGCTAGGATCCACTGAAACTTCCGACTACTCACTGGATACGCTTAGGACTATGATTGCTATCAGCAGAATAATTACCAGTGCCAGCAGTGCACCCAGCACGACCTTGTGGTAGTAGCTGCGTCGAAATCTGAACGGGAGAGCATAGAGAAGATAATTATAAGGACTTCGGGCTAGGACCTCGCACTCACCTCGACTGGATCCCAATCAGATTCGGGCTTATTCGCTGGTAAGGCAGTTGTTTGCCCTGATCGCTCTCCGATGCCGATGCCTGGCCATGGCCATTGGCAGCGCCAGTGCCAATCCCGTTCCCGTTCGCACTGCCATTCCCATTCTCGCTTATGGCACGAACAGGTGCGGACAATAGGCTCAGAGCACCTGTAATGGATTGTCGGACAATTTCCGATGAATATAGGCACTAATTGGCGTCTCCCTCTGACGCTGGACGCCGAATTGGCTTCGAGGAATGTGTTCTTTGAGGCACGTTTTATTAACGCTAATTAGTCTAATGCTGTCAATATTTTTCTGTCACAACAACACACTCCCCCACCCCAACGCCATGGAGCTTCGTGTTTTTTTCAGCTGTCGCTGTGTGGCACTGTCCTATCTTGATCGGGGGCACAGAGACAGCAACTCCGTGCGTCATTCGCTGGACTTGCGAGTGTCCCGTTAGAATGACCTGCACTTTGGCGCCCTTAATCGCCTTTCTAATGCATACACCAGCCACACGTCACGTGGAGCGTTTGCAGAAGTGCATAGAGCCATGGGTACAATGGGTTCAATGCCCTCTACACGTTTTTGCGTGCCCAGCGATAGTTTAACCCATTTTAAATCGTTTCTACTAGATAATGCACACCAAATAAAGACTGAATATCCTGTTATTATCTGTCATGCTTCATTCATTCATATTTTCAGAGTACCCCTTAGGGTTCCCCAGATTTTCAGTAAAAAAATTCAAAAATTTGGGTTCAGGTTTTAGCGTTGCCCAAGATGTGGTTTAACATGACAACATTGGATATGAACATGTTTGCCATGGCCGACGATGTATACAACTTGATGGAGATCTTCGATGAGGCGTCCAGCTTTGAGGGCAGGATAATCAAACGCATAGAGAATGTGCTCGTCATCTGTGATATTCTGGTTTCCGTGCTGGTGGCCACCATAGTGGGTCGCTATCTGTTTCACAGTTGCTTCAAAAAATTGCATCGGTCTGTCAAACGGACCTCGTATCTTCCAAAATTCATCGCCCAAATAAAGCAATTCAATCAAGAGATGGGTGTTCAAGGAAGCAGCGTAAAAAGCTTGGACTCTATTCAACCAATCAGCCAAATGAAGCCAATTATACAGAAGATGAGTGTTCGAGGCAGCAAGGCAAAGATCTCGAAAACCGATGTGGAAAAGGACCACTGCGTGCAAAAACCAAAGAATGGCCAGGACCAAACTGTACAAGGTAATGCCAGAAATCGCATTGCGACAACTAACTTCATGAACTGTAGCATTGAATCAGCGATAATTACAGAAAGATCCTCGATTGAAGGCATTGATGATGGGGACGAGGTCACCATGAAGGCATCGGAAAGGGAAAACTTCTCAGTCAAACTGATGGGAACGCAAGAGTGGGCTGCCAATTATTTGGCCACAGGCGGACGGACCACGCCATAGCCTTCGATGCTTCTAAGACGCTCAACTTCCCTAAGTCTTTTATTAAGTGAATTACGTTCTACCAACCCCCAATGGGTCTGCGGTTAGTGATTCAATTCGGATGCTCAAAACGAATTCAATTCCATATTAACTTACCTAATTATACCCGAACCAAGTTTTATCATAACTTATAAGAAATACAATATTAGCACTAAAAAATGACTCACTCGATTGAATATTTGTTGAAATACTTCGTACGAGTATTTCAAAGAATATAGCCCCTGGAGGGATGGTGGGTGTTGGGTCTCTGGGCTCACCTGGCGTCTGCTGTCGTTGAAGGGGCAGGGGCTGCTGCTGGAGATTCTCGTGGAAGAATCCATGATTTATATTGCCCGTGGTCCAGATGCGATTACGCTCATCCATGTCGTCAGTGGTCGTGTGCTCTGATGTGCCCCTGCCAGCCATTCGAATGACTCAGTCGACGGATAAGTGCATTCTGTGTGATTTTTCCAAGCGCTTTACGGCATCTCAATGAGCAGCGATAACTGAACACTATTCATCTGTATACACGTCACATCGCCCACATGTTGCGCACTGCACTCGATATCAGTGTGGATTTACAGTCTTAGAGGAACTGAGAACAGTTGAGCGTCTTTGAGCAATTCTGATAGTTTCTAGGCCATTGCATAATTTGGCATAATGCAAGCACAGAGAAGGAAAAAAGCCAATGCCACAGCAAGGAACAACTCTATAAAAATCGACTCAAGTGGAGACAGTGCTGCAGGCGACTGGACGGAGCTGCCGACTACCGGCGTATTGGAGCCCTAGCGTCGTCAACAGAACGTATTTATACGCCACCAATACGGCAACAGACACCAGCACTAGTGCCAGCAACCGGTATAACAACAAAAGCAGAACTACAACCAACAAATCAGGCAACCCCCATTAACTCCTTTGGCCATGCAAATGTGCCGCGGCAATTACGTGGAGCCCAACGAGGACCCCGCTCTGCCGCCACCATCACTACCATGGCCCAGGCACAGGCACAGGCACAGCTCTGACAGTGTCTGACTGTCTAGCATGTTGTCCCTATTGTTGTACGTTCCATCACACCCCGTAAGGGAAAGAGTCCATTGATTTTCCGTAAGAATAACACAAGAACAGTGTAAATAAAGCTATCAAAACAGGTTCAACTTGAAGTCTGTAAGACCACAACATAGTCTTCCCACTCTGAGACGTTCTCTTGTATGAATCCTCTCTAGGGTATACCTCATTTCACTCTGAAGCGTCCCATATTTTCTTTTGTGAATCCAAACCTCGCACGAACAGAGACCAATCGACCACAATCCAATCCGATGGCCAAAGTCCAGTGGCGTAATGAGAAAATAAATGACATTGCAATGGGAAACCATATATATTAGGTATTACATATGGAAAGATACTATGGGTAGTTGCTAATTGATATGGACTTCCACATACTGTACACTAGCTTATAGCTATTCGGAGGTTCATGATTGATGACCCTGAGCGATTCCCCAATGTCTAGTTTCGATCAGGCCACGGCACTGACTTCTCTCTCTCTCAGTGAATAACGTGGAAGAATACCTAATAATAGTAATTAAATGGCGGCACTTTGCCCGCCCACTGGGAATCCACAAGCATTTGCATTGTTAGCCCTAACTTTGACATAGTTTATTGTGGAAAATCGGAATCGATAAATGATATTGATTTCTACATATGAATGCAGTAACATACATAGCGCATACGCCCCGCTGTTAGCCGAAACTCTATTGCAATGTAGTGTGGCACGGGTGTACCACCTTCCCCGCCATATCCCCGGATTGTGTGTGATGTATTTGCACTCACTACTGTGTAATTGGTTTGCCCAACGGGAGGGCACCTACCAATATGATTATTAGTATTAATAAGTAAATAAATTTGCCACCAGGTAACCTCCTACGTGTGCCGGGCCCTGCCATGGCTTTTGATTTCCTGACGGGTTCAAAGAACTTTACTTTGTTGTCATGTACTTGCATACATTTATTGTACATTATATTTTTTAAACATACATTTTTCTAATGATTTCTCGTACTCTAGGACTACAATATAATTGCATGCAGCTTAGCTTAGACACTGGACACAGGGAAACCAGTCGCGGAGATATGACACGAATATGTTTACACTGACTCGATGAAGAACGAAATTAAAGTGCCTTAACTTAAATCGGACTCTGCCTTGGATCAGCATTATTCCATGGGTGGATTATACATATGTTTTGTGCATTAAAATACAAATTATAAAACAACGACCCCTGGACAGTTTGGCCTGCCATCCTGTGGTGGGTGAAACTTTTGTGCTGCAACGAAAAGAAGAATAGAAATTTCAAATTAAACGAATATTTCAGGTTTGGAACATTTTCCTGATCTAGCAAGCCATGCAAATTGTCAGAAATTGTTATATCAAAATCTGTAACATTTTCTTCATTCTGTGAAATCTGTTTCAACCATTCACACGTAAAACTCTCTTTTATTTTTTGGCTTCCAAAAGTTTTTGTTGCTACGAGTAGAACAATCCCCAAACCAAACAATCAGTAGTTAATTATTTTCTTATTCAAAAGTTTGCCGTTTATCAGCCCCGACTGTTCGTGAAAATGGATCGCTTTTTCGGAAATATTGAGAACATGTTAAAGACCAAGATGAAGGTGGAGAGCAAGGGAATGGCCCTGAAGCTGGTGGGATTCTACGCCGTTGGCTACACCCTGCGCAAGTTAGTCAAGTAGATGGCCGGAGATGCAGTGGATGCAGTGGCCGTCCCCTAGTCCAGATGTTCGTCCGTTTTGTTCCAGTGTTTCGCTTAATTTCTAAATTGCAATGTTCCAACCGTTTGAAGGATAATAAATTGTGATCCTACCTCCAAATCACATTTTCGCAGCTACTCGAGCGACTCAATGACTCGCTTAGAGGACTTTGAGCACACACTTGCAGCAGGAGGGTATCTTGAAGGACTCTTGTCCCACATCCAGCTCGCCGCTCGTATTGCGGATGCTGGCCAGCGTTCGCAACGCGTAATTCTGCTTGCAGATGGGCTTATATCGCTGCGGAAAGCTCAAGGAGTAGTCACAGGGCATTTCCTCGTTCCTGAAAGTGGATTCAACATAGAATATTTAATTTATGAGCGGGGGAATGATTTGATGTTTGACAGGGGCTTACTCGCACTCTTCGATCAGTATGCCTTGCTTGAACTCATCGTTGTTGACTATGAACTGCCAGGTGTTGTCCGACTTTAGGCCCGACTTGGGGTACAGGTACCTCCGACGGCTCCTGCACAGGAAAACCTCATCATTGGGGCCCAATCGCGAACTGATATCCACGGGCACGGGCTCGGGATCACTGAAGAAATTGGAGAAGTTCTGCGACAGTTTTCCCTTGATGAGCGACAGATCCGGATAGTTCTCGACCTGGGTGCAGAAGGATTTGGATTTGTGATTGGCTTGATCCTCGACGCACTGCGGTATATTCCTCTTGATCACCGGCGGCGTGGTGGTCTTCATGTGGTGCATGACTGCTGAATCGGGAAAGACAATAGCTGAAGTTAGGCAGCGCCAAAGGCAATTGGCCGTGAGTATGGGATCGATTTAGTTGTTAATTGTATTGCGGGCTTGTATTCGATTAATCGAGTATAAAATGTAGCTGAGCTGGGACCACACCCCACTGTACTGGTCTACTTACGGTTTTCTGGCGGCTGTCGCGTCCTTTGGGCCTGATCCTGTTGCTCTGGCACCGTTGTCGGATTGGTCCCCTGCAAAGAGACGAACGTATCGTTAAAGACGAGATTCAGCTTGCCGTCCGGTGAGCGCTGCACTTTGAAGTATTGATCTTGTTGGCTCAGGCTGTGATATTGATGGTAATGGCTGGGCTGTGGCTGTGGCTGTGGCTTAGACTGTGGCTGTGTCGGTTGCTGGGGCTGGGACTGGTGGTCAATCATGGTGTGTATGGGCATGAGGGGTGCATTGTCCGTTATCGTTGTCTGTGCAGGTAAAATTCTCGTGTTAGTCTCTCCAACCAAATACCAAAGACACACACACACACACACACACACACAAACAGAAACAACCCAACAAGTGATGTGATGAAATGGAATGGAATGGAATGGAATGTGGGGGGCACGGGAAGCGCTGGGGAAGGACACACTTACATCAAAAATATGTACACCTGCGTCGTCGGTCACCTTGAAAATCTCAGTAATGAGTACATCGAGATCCTTGGCGGGCAACTGAAGCGAAAATGGCAAAAACAGAAGAAGGAAAAAACGCTTTATTCTCGATTGGCAATTGGCAAACTGGAGGGCCGCACTACACACTGACACAACACAACAGAAAAACAGAGGACGAATGGGGATATGGATTGGATTGGATTTTGGAAGGGATTGTCGTTGTACGTGGCACAATGTGACAGCATCTGCCATGGGTTCACACCTCCTCCGGCCGCAACTGATGATCCCTTCCTTCCTGTATGTCTGGATGCTCCTTGGCCATGTTCCGTAGGATGTCCAGCAGATTATCGGACATAAAGTCGGACATATCTGTGGAGTTGGGAGGGCCTCCGCCTCCCGCAGCTCCGGCAGCTGCCATGGCGGCCAATTCTGCAGCTGCAGCCGCTGCCGCTGCCTCAGCTTCACGTCGTTTCGATATTTCGCTATTGATACAAACTATCTGAAAGATACATGTGGAAGATTTGTGTTTGCGGTTCATCAACATTGCCAGGACAACGTAGTGTGTTGGGGGAAAAGTAAAGCTCTGTAGCACGGTCGATTGTCTGTCTGTCTGTCTGATTGCCACACTGTCTCTCTCTCTCTCTCCGTCTCTCTATTTTTTAACACTACATTTTGGTATTTGAACATTTGAACAGCTGTTTTCTGGGCAAGCGCAGTTTTCACTCTCTCTGTGTCGATTGTAGTCGCTGGAACAAGTACTTGCCGTTCAGTTAGGACCCGAACCCTAGGCAACGGCTGACAACAGCTGCTCGGGTTCAAATAGAGATAGCCGGGGCTAGGGCTTTACTATATTTAACCCCCAAGTCTTATACTGCGCTTATCATCGCTGTCCAAAAAACGTTTCGTTTAGTGTCGTTTTGCAATAGAAAATGTTTTTTGGGGTCTGAACAGAGCGATCGTGAGCGTGTGTAATCAGCAGAAGTGAGACGCAATGAGAGAGGGGCATGAGGGTGATGCAATGAGCTTGATAAGAATGGGATGAATAAGCCGAGACTAAACTCATAGAATGAGGATAATGTATCTTCACAGCCCAAAAAATGGCCCTTGCCATTCAGAATTTACCCAAAACAATGTGGGACTTTCACATAAAACCCGATCTTAAATGCCACCCAACTTGAACTTGATTATATCAGAGCTTTTTGCACATTTCTCGGAAATGTTTTTTCCCCGAGTATCTCGCAACCGTTTATCAAATATTGGATAGTTTTTCCATCTCAGATTTTAGATTTTCCACGAACCGAATGGAATTAAGAATGCCTGGTTGATCTTTAAGCCGTGCTGTGACGTGTAGTTTGTGAATTTCCTGGAAAACGTATCAAACAGAAGGTAGCAGAAGCGCTAGCGCTTCAAACACATTTACTGACATTGAATTCAGCAATTTGTCATTAGTTCCGAGTAATTGCCCTTAGCTAAGGGGCTGTTCTCACAGAGATTGGCATCGCATCCCTTTGTATTACGAATATTTGCCAAGTAATGTGCAGACCATATGGAATTATTAATATCAATTAATATTATTGCAATGTCAATGCTATGCATTTACTACCGGACTAGAGAGATACATGGAATAGAGAAAAGTGCTCATGAAAATTGCACATACAATAAATTGTTGCTGGCATTGTGAACAGGTTTGCTACGATTCCTCTAGAAAACAGACTCGAGGATGCCCTTCGCTGCCAAGTATATGGAAAAATCTCAAGTAACCCCAAAAATGACACAAAATATGAAGTGAGAAAACCGAAAAACCATATACTACGTATGTGCATATGTATGAAAGACTGTATGTGATTGTATGTATGTGTATCCCAATGTGACGCATGATAGTATGTGAAACAGGAAATGCTCACAACACAAAACAGATATTATAATAATTTCGGAAAATAATGGCTTACCGTGGTAAAGAGGGCGAAGAGGAGCACCAAAATTTTGATCAGCTGGTACCACATGGGCGGCATCTTGTCCGATATCGGCTCTGTATTCTCGTACTCCTGTATGGTATAGGGGATTATGTGGACGGCTCTGGGGGGCAGCCGTCTGTGTCGGGTTTTGGTATACAGGTACAAGTGTATATAGCGGCGGCGATGATCGCTTGGTCTGGGGCTTATACCGATTTTCTTATTGCTTCAACTTTTTGTTTTTTTTTTCCGCAGTTGTTGTAGCTGCTTTTTATGAGCTTGGCGTATACCCGTATATAAAATAAATAAACTGGCACGACTAAATATTAATGCCGGGCTTTTGTTGGTAGTGGTCGTATTGTTGATGATGATAATGACGATGTTTTAGTTGTAGTTGTTGTTGTAGTTGTTGCTGTTGCTGTCGCTGCTGCCGTCGTAGTTGTCGTTTGGTTAATATATTTATAAATATTTTGTGCGGTGGCTCTTTGGCTCCGATGGGCTTTTTATTCCGTTTTATTTGTTTCCCTTGCACGCTTGCGAAACGAAGAGAGCGAGATATGGAGGGAGAGTGGAAGACAGGCACTTCAATTAGTCGGTTTGCTTTTCACTTTAGTTTCTGATGAACCGTTGTTGTTGTTTCGGTTTCGAGTCCGAATTCAGCTCTCAGGCTTAAGTTTTTGATTTGCTTTGATCGGAGAGACAGAGAGGTTTAATGTTGGGCCTATGCCTGTGCCTGTGCCTGTGCCTTAGCCGGCGTAAAGTGAAACCAATATCGCAGCGGGCATGCGCTTTTATGGAACGAGAACCATCTGCCTCTGGGCTTTTCCGATCCGTATCGGATTGAAGAGTTTCACAATGTAACGCCACCAGAGTGCGCGCGCGCGTCTTGGGGAGTCTTTGACATTCAGTTAATTAGCCATATGCACACGAGCGGAGCGGAGCGGAGTGGAGCGGGTCGATCGGGAGGGAGCGAAAGCGTCTAAGAGAGCGCGCGACTGCGAGGCAACTGAGCAAAAAGTTTGACAAGACATACGACGGGCGCCCCAAACAATTGTCAAGTGCAGCTTTAGCCAGAGCTTAATCGCAAAGAATGAGAGAGTGGGCCAGAGAGAGAGAGAGATAGAGAGAGAGCTGTCATAAGAGGAGAAGAGCCCAGACCTAGAGAGTACAAATATCTTGGATTTTATTTACAGCCGACAGCAGCCGCCACTGTGTTAATTGTTTGGGTTTCGTGACAAATGCAAGCTATTGTTAATCAATCATTAAAGATTAGCAGGAATTTTGGAATACTTTCGAAACCCAAAGAAGAAGAAAGATGGACTGAAACAGGTTAGACAGTCAGTCGACTCCTGCACTTGTAGAGTTCCCCGCAGTCGCCTAAGCTCGACTTTCGTATGCGATCAGCTGTGGCCGCTGAAAGTAAAAGTGAAGCGTGAGCTTTTTCCCAGAGCTTTCGGCGCTCACCTGCTCTCCGAGTCTATTAGGCGTCACCACCTACTTTGTATGCTGGGCGGTGCGACACACGTCAAATCCCCCGGCGCACGCGTCATGGGAGTCACAAACTCTGGCCGATAATAGCCCCATCTGGCGCGGAGCGTGGCTCAAGCGGCGGGAAAGACGCCGATTCATGATTCATGGGTATTTCCAAGAGTCTCGGCCAAAACCGCACAGTCCAGAGCCGGCATCCGTGCATAATCTGAACAATAAAAGTAAGACGAGATGTCGTGGCCCATGCACGCCTTGAACTTGCCTTGGCATAGGGCATTAATCGAGGTTTGAGATATTTAAGAAATGACGAAGCCTGACTAATAACGATTTCAATAAATTGTTCTATATTGCAATACAAATATCGTGTACAAGAGCATTTCTGATGGACATTTTATATCAACTAACAAACAAACTGACTAATTTATATTATGTTTGAATATCACTATCAATGTGTACCAGTATAAAAGGGTTCTTTCTGGAGAGTTAAAAGTTCTTGATAGTTGAGTCATGGCTGGAATTCTTCCATGTGGAGTCATCGCATCTAAAGATAATCCACAGCGGAGTGATAGCGGAGTCCCGATGACGTCATATCAATAGAGTACTCTGCAGAATTAGTTTTTAAATTTAATAGAGTAGTAGAGTATTTCTAGGAGTACTTTTAAAGTTCAAGTTGCCAAAACAATGAAGTTCATACACGGAAATAATCCGTTGAAATTTGTTTCAAACCATTTAAAGATATTTCATTACATACTTAAGGGATGGAAAAATGTATTGCATATTTCTAGGCCCCTTTTGAGATAATAATTTCATTATTAAGTTCTGTATAGAAATCCCATTTGAAAACTAGATATTCTGATGAAAACCTCTGTCTGGATTTAGATCAATTGTTTCTGGGCATTTTTTAGCATTTTCAGCTGCAGTTATCTATGTTCCACTCAGATTTTCTTGAGAAAATCTTAATTTAAACATATATATTATGCAATATTAATAGGACTACATCTATCATTTTTGCCATAAATTAATTTCCATAATGGAAACAAGTTATACACGCTCATATTTAGTTATCTTTTTTGGTGAGAGGTTTTTCGAAAGGAAGTCGGAAAACTAACATGCATACTGTAACAAGATTTGCACACAATTATGAATAATTTCCAACTAATTTAACAAAAGTCAATAAAACGAAATGTCAGAATATTAAGGATATCTAAGCTTATCTATCTCAAATTAAAAAATACTATATTGCTATTAAATCTACCAAAAATCAAGGAAAATGGCTAAACTCTAGAATGGAAACTGGTTGCACTCACAGTGAATGGGTGTCTATCTCGATTTCTAGCGCTTTTCGGCTCAAAGATTATGCAACATTAGCCACTCCTCATATAGCAGGGGACCAGGCTAATAAGAAATCTACGCGTGCAGAGAGCTGTGGTTGTAAAGTGGCTCTCATTTTGCCAATGAGTTGATCCAATTAATTTAATAGTTATTAATTGGTGGGGAAACAAGTTCATTAGAAGCACCACTAATTGATGTGGCACCTTGTGTGTGGCACGGCCAAAGAGGAACTAGAGTGGAGGCCCCAGAGATTGGCTAATCGACCGGCGGTGATGTGATGGCACCAAAGTCATGGCAAGTCAAGCGAGCAAGCGGCTCGCTCGGATCCCGGGTCAAGTTAACGAGAAAATGGTGAAATATATTTAATGAGAGCCTGCCTACGAACGTGTGTTTCTCTGTGTGTGAGTGGATAAATAATGAAATTGCATTGCACATTCAATAAAATATTCAACTGGCCGCAATTAAAGCGGCAGCGGGGAAAAATGTGGACGCACCACTTCATCGTTTGGCAAATGCAATTCCCGGCGTGACAGCGCCACAGCCACGACATGCAACGCTGCACATGCCACCACCACCTGGAAGGGAGGGGGGTTTCTTATGCGTTGGCTCCGAAAATAAAATTCGACACAGGCCACCAGGACCAGCAGCAACAGCAGCAGCCGTAGTCGTATTCGTAGTCGCACTACCACCTGATATTACTCAAGCACAATTTGTCAGGCGATTGCATCACGGCCATAATCCCAATGAATGCTACTCGGGGGTCTCCTTCTGCCACAAAGGAGGGGAGCAAGATAAAGATGCCCCGCACATTCGAGTGCTAGACAAATATCGGTGCAGAGCTTCACAGGCTTTCACTTTTCCTTTGCCATATCCATGACCATATCCACATCCAGATCCAGATCCCCTCGACACACTAAAGTGCCAAATTGAATTGAATTATGCCGAGCAGTTTCCGCCAAAAAGAAACAAAATAAGAAGACAGCGAAAATGCCGAATAACTGGTTCACTTCCGATATGGATTGAAAATATTTTGTCGCCTGCTCCAGCTGCAATAGGGGCAGCAGCAGTCGCAGCAGTAGGGGCAGTGGCAGGGGCAGCTGCGAATTTTGAAGTTGAAGTTCATTGCGCAACTAACGAGCGGCAACAGGAAGTCCAGGAAGCGGACTCTTTGGTGGCTGCGGCTGCCCCATGCTCTGGCCGGGGATTTTCTAGCATTTCCCAATGCGCAACGGCCTGTTATCGCATTTCACGTTACACTCTGAAAACTTTTCACAACACATTTTCATTTTCATTTCGCCTGTTTATTTTGCTTGCCAGCACCAGCAATTGCCCCACGTCAATTAACAAAAAAAGGAAAAAAAAAACCAAAAAAATAGAGGAAAGCCCGAGAAAAGTGAGCGAAAAATTAATAGTACATGTGTGCATGCTGTTCGGTCTCGGACTTTGGCTGGACGCGATTTAAAACCCCATCTCGAGCCTTAATGCCAGGAAGTGGAACTCTGGCTGAAGACATTTTTTAAATTTATTTATTTATGAGAGTACCCTGGACTCCCATTTTTTTTGCTGTAATATAAATCATACAACATGTGCCAGATGCTAGTTCTCATAATTGTGGCGGTGGCGTATACGCAATAGAAGACACGTAGATCTCAATTCCATTTGATTTACTTTCTGCGCAATCAACTCGAACTAAAGTCGGTTCATCGGAAAATTGTATTAACCACAAATTATTCAAAGCAAAGAAACATTCACAACTCGCCGCCAGGTTGACAGTCCCATAAACAGTAGGCAAAACAAGCATTAAAAAAATTATTAAAACAATTGATGTTGGGAAAAAATGTGAGTGCTAGGAAATAGGCGAAGTTCGGAATACCTTTTCCATTCAATTAAAACATCTCCGGAGAATATTAATACCAGTAGTAGCTTCGTAAAGATCTAATTTTCGAACAGGATATAAACAAAGAAGATAATTTCTTTGTGAAGAGTTTTGAAGCAGAAAAAATAGGTATCTATTTTAAGTTTTATAAGGCATCCCTTTGGTTGCCTAACTGAAGACAAAAACACTTTACTTTGTGGCATCTCCAACCCCCAATCGGAATTACAGTGTGTCCCATTAGTATATATTCGCTGACTATTACATGAGTTGGGCTTTTACTTATATTTTCATTTTCAATTACTGTGCTGTTGTCTGTCTTGTCCGCCTTCCTTCTGCCTGTTTTCCTTTGCATTTTAACAAGTTTACAGTTTGTTAACTACGAGTGCTTAAGTATTATGTTTGGGCTAAGTTTTCTTCATGCTCTTTTCGCGTTTTGCATTTATGACTTTGCCTCGCTCTTGCAGTTGCAGTTGCAGTTGCAGCTGGAGTTGGAGCTGCAGCTGGAGTTGGCATTTGCAGTTGGTCTGTCTGTGTCTGGGCCCATTTCACTTTGGGTTAGATAACCGCTGTCCACAGCTGGGAGTGGATGGGAGTGGGGTGGAGATATTGTACGTATGTGGACACAGCACTTGTCTGCGTAGGACTACGGTTCCAGAGCCAGACAATTGTCAGCTCTTTTCAGCACGGAATATGTTGAATGCAAAGTGGAGAAGGTAATCGCCTTTGCCTTGTTTGCCTTAATTGTTTGGCTCATTTACGAATGAACTGCTTCTGGCAGCAGCCTCTGACATACTGACAGTGAACCTTCATTGACAGTTGGGCCACAATTTGTGGCAACATTAGATAATGGCTTGCCCCCGGGCTCGGTCGGGGTCTCCGTTTTTTTCGGATTCTGCAGTTGAAGGCTTGAGTCATAAGTGAGCCCACTGTAATCGGTCTGGGTTCAAGGTTGTTCTCTCCCAATGATCCCCAGATGAAATGTTAAGTGAGCTTCAGGCCAAGAATATTCGCATTTGAGGGTTACTCAAGGTGTTTTTCGAGAAACAGCTTGTGACTGGGGAAGAAAATTCAAGCTAAGAGAGATTAAGACAAACCAATTGTCCAAAATATCTTAAGTTTCATTCCAAGAACCAAAAGATGACTTTAACACCCAAAACGCTATAACATTTGACTTAGGCCGAGTGGATCTTCAAAAGTCTTTCTTTGCTTTGCAACGCTTATATTTGAATTACCAGTATTTTTCTCGTGGAGTCGTATAGTCATCGTGGCGTCAAAATTATTGGTTCACTATAGAAATTACATTTAACAAATACTTATTTCAGAACATGTGGCTTTTGAATATATCTGAATAGTATGATCGGCATTGGACTACTTCATCACATAAGAGTTTTAGGCTTCGTTTCGCCAGAGCCAGCCCTCCCGTTGTGTTTAGCTCTAATTTTCCTTTTGCAGATCTTCAACCGATCAAAAACTATTCAAGTTCGTTGCCTCAGTCTTTTGATTGGGCCATGTCAGTATAACCAAGTCAGCGGCGGTGGATTTGCCTCAGCCGAACACGTTTTGGGCCACAGCATTTAATGAGCCGCATTGCAGTTGGTAGATTGCAACATGGTGCCGGTGCCATGCCACTCGAAACGCATTGAACTCGCTCATGTCGGTGTCGGTGTCGATGTCGATGTCGACTCACGCACATTTTTCTGGCCAAGAGGCTGCCTCCACTTTTTTTGTTGGCCCCCACTCTCTGCGGTGTCAAGCTCAACAGCTGCCAAAAAAAAAAAACCAATAATAAATTGTCAGCCAAAAAGAGCATGAAAGAGAGCCAACTCTTTGGAGTTCAGCTAAGAGCAAGGCGAAAAATAGCTCAAAATGCAGTCGCGCCGGCGCTCTCAGCGTTTTCTTTAAAAGAGCCCAGACCGCCGGATCCCGAGCACAGTTCGAGCCCAGACGTTGCCGAGGAGGGAGCCCACTTACCATATACCAAAACAGCAGTAAGCGGGAGAGATATACGAAACCGAAACGGAACGAAACGAAACGGAACGAAACGCAGCGCAACGCAACGCAACGGTGAAAGAAAGTCGCGAGTGAAATTTCAGTGTGGTTTGTCTTCTCCCCGAAACGGCTGCGCGAATGCCGATGACAAAACAAACGTGAAGCGTGGTAAAGAGTGGTTCAATATCAAGTGTGTGGTTGCCATTGAGGCCCGCCCGAGTGCCAATTGCCTGCAAGTGGTGGTGGAGTGAAGAAAGTTGCAGACGCAGACGTCATAAGTAAAAGTGAATTTATTTTGATCTGGATTAGTAAAGCAGCTAATCGAAGGCCCAATTTAAGCAAAACCTACCAAAAAACAAATAAAAATAAACTCAAGCCGAGGCACAATGAAGGTAAGTGGAAGTGCCGTCGATCCTGCAGTGAAAGTTGCCTCAGATATTGGACTAATTAGTGCATGGGTCTGCCCCTCCCCCACGACAGCCATATCTCGTTTATGCAATTTCTTTGGCCAAAACAAGTTCAAGTGCAAGGCATTCTGTGGGGAAACCCGTTTTATGTTGGCCACACATCGCTGACTTTATTAGCTAAGCCAGACCTGCGTGATGGCTATCGCACTCTCTCAGCCACAGACACAAACGGAGACAGAGATGGTAGCAGCCATGAATAGATACGTTTACCACTGGTTATGTAAGCTCTGGCTAACCCAAAAATCCCAATTGAAGCATCGCTGCACTCAAAAGACCTTCTCTCCTACTCGACATTTGATCGCCAGACCAGACACTCATTCAGATGGAACCTTATGTCATATCCATCCGAAGTCCCCTTTGACCGAGTGCCAAGGTAAAATATCATGCATAATTATTATGTCAGACCCGGTTGGGCTTCTATGTGTCACGGCTGCTTTCCAAAATTGTTCAGAAATTTGAATAAGGCAAAGAAGCACGTAAAAACAATAAACGAGTCCGAAAACTGAACCTACCGCAATTAATGTTTTGTGCTCAAATGAAGCCAAAACTTATAGCTAAAGCTGTAGCCCTGTATTGGAAGTATATCCAGAGTTGAGTAATATAAAATATGCCAATTGAATATGAACACACACAAAAAAAGAGACACCAAGCGATCGGGTGATATGAGAGCCGGCACAGACAATACTTTCACTCTCAGACTCTCGGACGCGGTTAAATATTGGCTACAACAATGAGCAGGCAAAAAAGATTCAAAGGGAAGATGGCTAATGGCTTAAGGCCAATGTAAATATTGGCCAATGGTTCAATATGCCAACGATCTCATTCGGAATGAATTCAATTTTCAATTCAAATTTCGCACTCGCAGTGCATTCAATTAATTGATTTTTATTCCACATCGCCGTCTGTGCCATCGGCAATTTTAATTTCCATCATCGCTGCAGCATTGAAAACTGACTTTCAATTATTATTTTATTACATTTTTAATTGGTTTTATGTGTGCTTATGCAATTGGCGAGAAGACCGCAAACACAGAAAGAGAACAACCATGATGGTTTTTCTTATATGTATTAATTTGTGCATTTGTATGCAAATTTCAATTATTTGGACCCTGGCTTGGCCAATCTCAATAGTAGTGTATAAGAAATCAAGCATACACCCTGTCCGAAACCTCCTATATGAATATGGAGAGTCATAATCGAGGTTGCGCCATCGGGGAAAGGCTGCAAATTTGATTAATATTTCTTTGAGGTGGTTCCACTTAACCCATAAAAAAAAACCAATTTAAAAAGCATTTTTGACGAAATATAAATATCACTAATTGCACCTTGCTCAATCGATTTTCTGACCCGAATTTGATCTCCTTTGAAGATTGTATTTTGTGGAAGTTTCAATCATAATAAAATAAAGACCATATTTTTTGTATATTTAAGGGACGGTAAAGTAATTTTTAATGGGATTATCATTGATTTAAAAAATGTATATCCTGACTGAGTTAGTGCCAGGCAATAGAAAATCAATTTTGTAGGAATGTAATATTTAATCATTGCCAACTAACAATTTAACAATATTTGTCCCACAATTGGCCGGAATTTCTTTTTATTTCAATCTGAATTAATTTCTATATTTATTTTTTGTTTAATGGAAACTTTTTCCCTTTTGCAACAATTTAATTTTAATTCAATCAGAGTTCACACATTTTTTTTGAAAACTCGAAGTGTAACTTAATTTATCCTACAATTTTCGCAATAATTTCATTTAAATTCAATCAGAACACTCCAGTTTATTCAGTTTAAAATCTACCTCCATCAAATGGGGGGAACTTGTGTTTCAATTATAAGCCATTGACAGCTCGATGGGGCATGAAACCGATGCAAAAGCTGGCAAGTCAAAGCAGCCAAGCTGCACCACCCTGGCTCTGCCCCTGCCCCTGCTCCGCTCTGGGCCCACTCAACCGTGAACCACTAGGGGAACACCGCATGCAGAGCGAGGATTATGCATAACATACGAGTATATGCGTTGTCAAAACGTTCAACATTAAGTGGTAGATTATGATTGCACATTGCGACTGTTTCGCTGTTGGTCTGTGTGGGTGACAGTTGACAAATGAGTGCACAGATGAGGAAATCGGGTGGATGTTTTGTGGGGAAACCGCAGCCACTGACTAGCCACAATTCGGCAATTGAATTTTACCTCTTTCTGTGGCCATTGTTTGGCCAGCACGTACCTTTCAAATAGATCCTAACCAGATTATGCAACTAACTCTCGAACATTTCCATTTCCATGCAGGTATTCCGTGTGAGCCTGGTGCTGCTGGCCGCCCTGCCTCTGGTGTGCCACGCCTATCCCGCAGCGGACAAGTCCCTCTCGCTGGAGGACGTATCCTCAGACCTGGACAACGAACAGGGCGAGAGCGTGAAGGAGTCACAGATAGCCAAGCGTTCCGGCAGCTTCGACTATGTGGCGCACCTGAAGTCGGGTCTGCTGTCGGGCATTGGCCAGGCCTCTGCCTCGATTGCCGGTGGAAGCTCTGGTGGCAGCCATGGAGGAGGTGGCGACAGCTACAAGTCCCACGAAATTGTGGTCCATGTAAGTGAATGCCAATCTTCTTCTCTACGAAGCCACTCTACCTTCTGTTGTTTCTAGGGCAACTCCGTGGACTATGATCCCTGGTCGTTCAAGAAGTCCGTGCTGAACACCATCTTCCAGGCGGTCAAGGCCATCACTGGCGGTGTGACTGCTCTCAAGGGTCAGCTGATCAAGGGCAGCGGGTATGCCCTGAGTGCGGGTGGCAATCTGGTGGCCGCCGGCGGCGACAAGGTCACGGATGTGGGCAAGTCTATCATCAACTCGGCGCACATCAACTCCCACACCTACGCCACTAGTCACTCCAGCGGCAGCAGCGGTGGACTCTTCGCCAAGCTCAGCTCCCTGTCGGGTGCCTCTTCCGGTGGCAGCAGCGGCCACAAGTCCGCCCCATCCCCCGTTATCCATACTGATAGTAAGTATCCGATGGATGGTGTCTATTGGGCCGTGAACTCCACGGCGATTGTCATTTGGTTATGCAATGCAGTCGCCGGACTAGATGCATAACAATTAACCAGCCTAATAGGCAATGCATGCCCCATGCCCCGGTGTCCCCCCGATGCGCGATCCAAAACGGAAGAGACAACTTCCAGCTCCGATTCGGTGGCAGCTGCTCCGCTCGGCAACTCGGCAGCTCCACATCCAAAACCAAATCGGAGCGTGCATTGAACCTGGTCGGCAACTTTCGTTTTTGCAGCCAACCCGTTTGGTCTGCGTCTGCGTCCCATTTTGGCTCACCGACTCTGACTCTGGCTTGGCATCTGACTCTGACTCTGACTCTTTCTCGTTGCAGCCATCACCACGTACGAGATACCCAGTGGCCATGCCAGCTACGGACCGCCATCAAAGCCCCCGACCTACAGCAGTGCCACGCACCAGTATCTGCCCCCAGTGGGAGGTAGCTATGGGGGCAGCGGCGGCGGTGCGCCATTCAGCGTAAGCCACTCGGCGGCCTTCGAGGCACCGTCCAGCAACTATCTGCCATCGGCCTATGGACAAGATGGTGCGTAGTCCTTTGAACAATTCAGATAATGCTTTTTGTGGTTTCGGTCTACTGTAAATACATTCTCCTGTACATATATCATAAACCTTATAGAGGTGAAGAGGTCTACAATAATCATAGAAACGATTGATGTGCAAATATGTTAGGTTTTAAAAATGTAAATGTCGTAATTAAGAAATGTCCAAGGACTACAGAAATATCTTAGAGATTAAGGTTATTACTGAAAGTGATTTGGATTTGCTTAAGAGTATACTAGTTTCTTGTTTGAAAGCAAAAACTCTACGAAGGCGAAAGGAGTGAAATATGGCCCTATTGTATAAAGTAAATCTTTAAAATCCGACTCACTCTAGAACCACTTCCGATGCCCCAAAGGTTAGCTTTCTTATAGACCAACAATAGTGTATAGTATCTTTGGAATTTCCACAAGAGTATCTAAAAGATGCTGCTAACAATTTGGCAAACTCTTGACAGCCGCAACTCTTTGGCCAACACAAGGCGTTAACTTGTCTCGTCAGCCTGCAATCGCAAATCACTCAACTTCATTAACATACTAGCTCTCAGTCTGCCCCCCAACCCCCAACATGCCACACCCTTTTCCCTTTCCTTCAACCCACTTCCGCACTTGGCAAACAACGAGACGAAAGTGAAAGCATCATCATCATCGGTGGCTCATAATTCGTGAAGACGAAACAAAAATCACACAAACACACATACATTGTAAATAAATACTGTAAATATTAATACTCGACATCCGAGTCGGAGTCTCCCTCTCGCTCTATAGCTCTCTTTCTCTGCTGGCTATCCATTGAATCCATGGATGGCCAGATAGGCCCAAGAGATTTGTTTCCAGTGCGTTCCAATGACACATTTCGTAGGCTAAGTTTATTCGGTTTTTTAACACATTGCGCAAGCGAACATCGAACAGGGAATCCATGTACATAAATATACATATATACAATAGATTTAAGTATTATTTAATAACTGATCACGTCACATCTACTGTAGCTGTCCGTTAACAAGCTGTAGTACTAAAAGCGTTTGTAGAGCTATTTATAGAGCCATTTGCAGTGGCCACATGTCGCATACTTGATATCTGTGCGCATACCCATTTAGTTAATGGCCCATTAAATGGTCTACAGAAAACCTTCAATGGATGACTATGAATATGGCAAATTATGTACTATTCCCCCCGTTGCAGAGCTCTATAGATCGTGTGTCACATAAAGCTAACAAAAACTAAAATCGGAATTCATCTTTGATCATCAAGAAAAATCATCACACCCCGGAGGCAGGCCGAAGAGCGTGTACAAAAAAAAATGAGTAAATCATGAAAAATAATATCAACATTTGTACAGAAAACTAAATTCATCTAACACCACAAACACATGCATAAATAAACTCATACATACATACACATAAATACACTCACATGAAAAACAAGTGTAAATACAGCAAAAAACAATATTTAATTTGGTAAATCTAATGAAATCTCACTCATTGCATACACACCTCAACTCAACCACCTGAACAACATCTACAACCACCCACAAACCACACACAAACACACACTCAATCCAACAATTTCAAAAACCCATCCCGGCAGCGGACAGCGCCCACAGCAACGACTTCAACATCTACGGGCGCCACACGAAGCTGACGGATGACGAGGCCCGACGGGCGGCGAATCAGCTGCAGGAGATCCTCAATCTGCTGCCCAACGGCAAGACGGAGTACACGGCCTCCAAGACGGTAGATCTGCCCACAGGAGGATCGGGGCTGGAGCATGCGGAGGTCTACAACAGCTATGGATTGCCGCTGCCCAACACTCTGGGAACCCTAGAGTCCCTCTCGCACACGGAGTCGATAACGGCAGCATATGGACCGGCAGTGAAGAATCCCGCCGATGTGTACCACCAGATGGCCAAGAGGCCGAGCGGAGGACAAACTGCAGAGGAGCTGTACATTCAGAAGCATCCCAATGAGGGCTACGACTATCCGCCGCCGGCACAGGCACAGGCTCCAGCAGTAGCCCCACAGCCACAAGCTGTGAACGAGTATCGCGTGGAGAACTACCATGCCACCAAGAGCAACGCCCTCAAGGATCTGTCGCCCATCATAGCCGCCCTGGAGGTGGCCAAGCGGAAGGGGAATCACCACCAGAACGGTCCCGTGAACTACGCCATCGAGAAGCAGGTGCACAAGGAGTTGCCCTTCAACTACCTGCCGCCGGTAGTACAAAAGTCAAAGTATGTGTACAGTGCGCCACCGCCGGGACGTTATAGTCACAGTGGGGGCTACAAGGTGCGTCGCCATGCGCCCAAGCATCCGAAGCGCGTCTTCCGGCCGCAGGACTACGAGATACAGGATCCGCTGATGTTCAACCGCCTGCTGGAGGTGTGAAGAGCAGCCCGGAGACCAAAGTGTGCTAGAACCTAGTTGTAGTCCTCTAAGTCATGTGCAGCATTTAATCCTAGATCGTTTACAGCTAACTTATTTATGTTATCCCTATCGGAATCGTTATCGTGATTAATTATTTATTGAGCTCCCCCAAATTTCTTGGCTAGCCAAATAAAAGAGAGTCCCAAAGCACAGCATGAACCAGACACCGAGCACCATTCCCCCATTTATCTTCGCTCTTCCTGTATTTCCTTTCTGTTTGCACTGCTTGCTCGCACCCACACACCCACTTTTCCCATAGAGCACGTCTACACCGCCTGCAACCACCCATCAAATCAGCCGGATATCCTTCTCACCTCTCACCGCTCTCTTTACAGTCTATCATCAGTAGTCGCCACGTAGCCACGTAGCCCCGTAGCGGACCAGGACCGGGCTGTAGCTGTGGACCATGCCCATTCTGTTTTACAGCACTCTCCGCCTTCATGTATCCTAGCGTTAGTCAAACCGTTCCTGCCCTTCCGCCACCACCATAACTCCTCCGATTCCCTCTCATTCTAAATACATTTCCCGATCCGATGAACCCACTAGAACCTTTTGCGGGTGCCAACCAACCGTGCAGCAAGCACGAATTGAATTGACTTAACCCCATCTTACATTTAAGTATTTAAATTAAATAAATCGTTGATTACAAATGTTTCGATTGTTTTCTTTTCTGAGCTGGAAATCGAGAAGAAGCTGGAGCTGTTAATTTCTAGCAATAAGATAGAATTCTTCATTGTCTCGTATGTGGACTGTTAAAATGGTCTGCCTAAAAGTATGCCACAATATTTTCAAAACGAGAATTAAATTCGTGTGGTATATTTTGGATACAGAAAAACCCATTAAAAATCCAAAGAAGTTTAAAGATTTATTTTTAAAACAAGACTGATTTTTGGAAGGAAAGAGAATTTTAGAAAATATACTAGCATCTAGTATACGAATTATGTGAACTGCTTGGAATAATCGGAGATTCCTTCAGTGCTAAAATCTAACAGATCTAACAGCGAACGAGAGTAAAGAGCTGCGTAAAAATCACAGCATATCTGCACCATGATTTTAAGCAATTTCCTATTCAGTTCGAGATAGAACGTGGTGCCACAGAGGACTAGCACCGTTCAGAACTACCGATTCAGACTAATAATCGTACTCCAAGTCTACAAAATAAACTTGGGTCTAAATTGTGTTAATTTCTAGAGAGGCAATATACACCACAGAAACGTATTTTTCCTACCATTCGATATCCCAGCCAACAATCCTTTTCAAGCAAGCGATGCCGAAAGAATTACAGCCATCATATATGGAATCTTAAAGAGTGCCCATCCTCAATAAAACTCAATCACCTCGATTATCAGTAATGGATTTAATTATCGCTTAGAAAATCTCAGGGGCAGAGTGCACCTGTGCGGATAGGACCTAAAAGCAAGGAATCTCTGTGTTGAAGAGGAGGACTGGGAGGCAGCTGACGTCCTGTGACTGCCATGACAACCAATTTTTTGCTCAGTAGTAGCCGAAGGAGATATCGTGCAGGGGCTGGGCACTTCCTTGGGGCAGGGCGTAGTCGCGGGCCAGCTGATCCAGAAGACTGCTGCCGCCTCCACCACTGCGAGGCTGGGACTGCTGCTGTGGCTGATAGCTGGACTGCTGCTGGGGCTGATAGCTGGACTGTTGCTGCACGGGACGGGCAACGGGCGCCTGAGAGGGACCAAAACCGACGGGCTCCAGAAGCGGACGTCCACCGGAAGCAGGTGCCAGGAAGCCTTGGGCACGAGCACTGCTTGGAGAAGGTGAGGCAGGAGGCAGGGCATAGACGGGGCGGGAAATCCGGACATTAGAGGGTCCATCGCCGAAGCTCTGGGATTGGGAATAGTCGGGCTCGGGACCGGGACGGGCGGGTCGCTGCAGCGGGGAGTACAGTACATCGGTGGTGCGCTGGGCTCCCGGCACTTGGAGCCGTGGTGGCGCTGGACCCACAGACGTGTGGTGTTGCTGGTGCTGTGGCTGTGGCTGAGGAGCATACTGGACGCGACGCGGCGGCTGGGGCTGAGGCTCCACTTCCTCCTCCTCGTATTGGACATACTGCGGCTGCGGCTGCGGTTGAGGGCGTGGTTGTGGGCGTGGCTGAGGACGCTGCTGCTGAACACGCTGCGGGGGAAACAAATTAATTAGAAGAGAAAGTGGCTGAAAAGATATTCTTAGCGTACGTATGGCCTCTGTGGACGCTGGACAGGCTCATCCGCATAGTCGGGCTCCTCCTTGGCCGTCTCATCGACCAGAGTGGGTGGCGCCACAGTGATGCCCTCGCCTGAGGGCTGGAAACCGTACTTGTTGGCTCCATACTCCACCACTCGCACCTTGCCCGTCTCGTCGACATATCCGTACTTGCCCTTCACCTCGCCGGTGGCCAGCTTCGTCTCAATCTTGAAGGAGCCATCGGCTCCCTCATATCCGTACGTGTAGGAGCCATCTTCGTTGTGCCTGAGGAGGAGGAGGAGAATCGAGTGATTACTGGGGAAGATCATCTCCGGGATACGGCGGACGACTCACTTGTTGATCTGCTTGAGGATGGGCACTGGCGTGGGTCTTGGCACTTCGGCCTGGTTAGAAGGACGCAGGCGGACTGGGGAAGTTCGTGGTGTGTTCTCCTGGTAGTCCTGATAGTCCTGGGCACCCACCAGTCCCACGCCAATCAGACAGCCGACACAGAGCAAACGTTGCAGCTACAAGGAAACGAAGCAAATAGTCTGGTGAAATGGTAACCGGTTCGCTAATTGCCACCCGTTCAGTCCATCCGCCCCAATCCTCCCGTTCCGCCTCTTCCTGGGACAGCGGAACACCTTGACAGTGCTGACGGCAAAGAATGCCAGACGGCGACGATGTCTACAAAAGTCTTAAGTCAGGCTGCCTTTCACTTTTGTTGCCGGCCAATGACACCCTCAATGCCAAGCAGGAACCGATAGCCCCCTCCGCACACACACACCACACACCATACACAGATATACCCGTTTATGTGAGTTGCATAAAGTCACAGCCAGAGCCCAGGCCCAGACCCAGAGGGAGAGTGACACGCGATATGGGCAGGGTTTAATTGAATACCCAACAAACAGTGGCAGTGGCAACATAATCCATGGAGAAATGCTACCGAAGATGGAAGACGAAACGGAAGAGGAATGCCAATTTTCGTGGAACAGCCCCCTGACTCCCACACACACAGCAGCCAGCTGTGTGGTGTTGGGTAATCCAGAGGCAGTGGCAGATTCGGAGGACAACAAAGAGGCAGGCACAGAAATTATGTGAAGCTGCGCCAAAGTTCCCACACTTGCCAAACGCCAGGGAAATGTGTTGCAAGTATGTTCGAGTGATGCAGCCGGGGCAGGCAAATGCCAATGAAATTGCCCAGACGACAGGTAATGGTAGATGGGAGATGGACGGGCACTAAGCCAGAGAGAGCCTGCATCCTATACAATAGAGATAAAGCTGCTGCTTATTCCGGCCTGAAACTAGTGCCAATCCCACTTCAGAAGGTTTAGCTCCCTGTCCTGTAGAAGGACGACAACTCAAAGTCCTTCCATGTTTGCTTCTGGCAACAGTTTGGCCAACAGCAAACAAACCTCGATGCCAAGAATCGAGCTGAGGTGCTTTTGTCTCTTATGTACTCCCGTTTGGCATTTCGGACTTTAGCTGTTTTTTGCTCGACCATTCCGCATGCCAAAACCTTTCACTATCCACAGAGCTGCACCACATGCTGCAGCCTTGGCTTGCAAACGGACAGCCAGACGAAAAGATAGACGGATAGACGGATAGACAGACAGACAGAGACAGAGTCAGAGCTGTTGGCTGGTTGGTTGGTTGGCATGGAGTCGTAGTCGGCGTCGGACTCAATCACATGGGGACGGGGACCCAGTGCACCAGTGCACCAGAGGCACAGAAACAGAAACTGAAACCAACTGACCAAAAACTTGACTACCGCGTGTGAACCAGAGCCAGAGTGGATTCCAGCGATTGCCTTTGATATTTTCGCGCTCGAGCAGAGGGGCAAATGAAGGGGCAATGGGCATCGCATTGCATCGCGTTACAGTCTACGCCGACCAAGCTTGTTAGTATAACTTTTCGCTGATTGAAGTTCCTGCAACTATTTGCCCTGCTCTTTTTTGTTGTTGTTGTGGTCTTTTCCCAAGAATCTGCCAAACGAGCCGTGTTCGTCCATAAATTATGTCAAAATCCAGTTACCAAATTGGGTGCCAGAGACAAGAGAGCTTGGAAAATGTCGCTGGCTGGCTGGCTGCTCGACAATTGCGATCGGGGGGCTGGGAGCAAATTAACGGTTCACTCGATTTGCATAGCAAATTATGCGATATTTGCACAACACTCGCCGCAATCCAATGACGTAATCCTCCAGAGCTCGAGCTGTGGCTGGAGTCGTTGCACCAACAACAGCAGCAGCAGCAGCACCTGATTGCCCACTGTCTACAGTGCCACGCATTCAGCACCAAACACCAAGCACCATTTAGCACCAAGAGCCAGGCTCCATCGTGTGACCTTTGCTATTATGAGTGCTTTATGTGTAACCAACCACCCCACCCACACATCCAGTCACCCACAGACCCACATCCACCCACTCACACATACCACTTTCATGTTGTCTGCCGAAGTTGTATCCGTTGGTTGGAACTATCTCGAATCGATTAAAAACTTTTGTGAATGCAATCTGAGAAGGCCTTCGCGGGGCAACACCCAACAATTCGTTGATATCCAAATCCAAGACAACAAAGCACTTTCAATTCCTCTAATGAACCGGGTAGCGGTACTGGAGCGGCACTGGAGCAATCTCGACCGATTCCGTGGAGCGTTGTCTTGGGAGCTGAGCTGAGAGATCGCGTTGAGGCTGGAATTGACTGGAGACCGACGACCGACCGACTGAGCCGCCCAGGTTGTTGTATTTCGCTTTATATACCGCTGGAGGAAAACCTTTTATTTCTCCAATACCAACGGCTAACGGACCAAACACCGACACCACCACCAGCAACAGCAACACCACAAAACTTCACCAACAAGTCAGCGGCGCCAGCGCGAAAGGACAGAGAGCAATCAAGAGCGGGAGAGCTGGAGAGTGGAGATCGGTGAGAGCTTGGACAGCTTCTCTGAGAGAGCTTCTATCTGTGCTTTTGCAAGCTTTTCCTTGGACATTGGATTAATGTAGAAATGGAAACTTTAAAGAACAGAAGCTGGACTTAAAGATTATGGAACTCCCTTCCCTTACTTCTCTTGACAAAACAACCCTCATAGCAAACCAACCCCGATCTGAGCATTTGTACCCACAGCTTGCCGAAGTAATTTCAAGTTTTCTTCCTAAACTAATAACAAAACTCGTCTAAATTGAATTACCACTTGTTATCATTAAAAAGCAGGCAGAAGTTTAATAAATTTAACAAATTACTCTCAAATATCCAGGCAATACTTGTCAGCCATCCGAAAAACTCTAGTTCGAGGCCATGGCAACAGGCAATAGGGCCGTGGCTGGGCCCTCCCCTTACGATGGACATGGACAATTAATCACAAAAATACTAGGCCCATAAATTGTGAAAAATGAATCAAAGTGAAGCACAGACAGGCAACGTGGCTAATGAATGAAAAAGCCGACAAAGTGAAGTGAAATGAAGTGTTGCGAATCTGACGCCAAATGCCAATCCTCCCAGAGCAGAAGCCAGTGCCCAATTGGGTGGCCTCCCTGTGGGATCTGGAGGTCACTTGGATGGCATTTCAAAAGCAGCCACAGAAGTCATCAATCAGTGGTTATTTTCCTATGCGCACACCGTGCGTATGCGTAATGTCAGCAATTGTCGTTTAATGAAAGAAACAACGACAACCCCTGCAACATTCTGCATCCATTTGGAGTGGCCTTGCCGTCGTCATTCCGTTGGAATTAATGACTGAGCAAGTCGCACCACACACACTGTGGCAGACCCTCGTTCCGTTATTGCAAGTCGATAGTTCAGCGAGAAACAAAACTGGTTACAGCACTGCACCACATACTACCAGACCAGGAAACCGCCGGGCCCATGTCTGTTGCCCCGGCTCCCACTGCTGCTGCCTCTCCAACTATCTATCTGGGTTTCAAGTGCCGCCGCCCATGACGCAGGGCAGTGACAGTGCCAGTCCCAGTACCAGTACCAGTACCAGTCTTCAAGTGCGTAAGATCTTTATTCTGTGTGTTTGCTTTGTTACAAATATCATGTTAAAGACAAGTTTCTGGTCAGGTTTTTCCCATGGATTGAATGGGAGAGATAAAGATAGAGAGGGGGAGAGAGGAGACAATTGGGCGTGCACCTGAACTTGTGCGGCTGCGTAGACGCACTGGCTCGCTCAAGGCCGATGGAGGTCGCAAGAATATAGTGGTACTTGGTGATAAAATATTCCTTGAACTTGCCATACTCTTGAGAGTTATTTGCTAAAGAACTTCGTTCATGCAGCGTGAGTTTAAAGAAGAGAAGCAATACTTTTCTGTAGTATTTAATGAAGCAACCCTTCAGCAAATAGATTCAACTCTTCACGGAACTCCCGGAAAAAAACACATTAAACCTACCCAAATTTCCATATTTATTGCCCTGAAAACCATCTTCAACGAAGCATATAAAGTAGTCCCAGCTTACACAGCAGTGATAGAAGCAGAACTGAAGCAAAGAGGACTGCGCAGAAGAGAAGCAAACAGGAGTCCACTTAATTCAGCTACCATATTCCCATCCATTTTACCATTTCCAACAAAATAACGCCCTACTTAAGGCTGTACAATGAGTATGTCTTCCACTTGTACAAGTATTTCACGAGCTCCGGCAAAACGTGGGCAGCAAAGGCAGCAGCTGTTCAGAAGTCAGAAATAACAAAGCTCACAAATTTACAGGAAATTCTTTGGTCATGACAACGAGAGCAGAGCGCAGACCAGCGCCCAGACAAGTTTCAAAGCTACACAAAAAACAAAACAAACAAAAAACCTTCATTTTGCTCTGCAAAATTATATAAATACTGCAAAAAATATACAAATATTTGCTTTGTGTGTGTTATAATAGGTGCAGTCTGGAGTTGATTCTGCGCTGGTACTGGCAGCAAAACGTTTTACATTTTTGATTTGCCAAAGAGTTACAGTGGAATGGAAATTAAATTTAAATTTAATTCGTTTAACTGAAGAGTTTGTATTCGTGAGCAAAAACAGCAAACAAAATAATGGAAAATATGCAATTAAATTAATATCTCTTGCAAGCCAATATTATTAAGTAGCGTAATCTATTAGGCACGTACTTATGATCTTTGATGCTATTACCATTTGAAGATTTCAACGATTGATTGGAATACACGGAAACCAAATGAACCTCTATTAACTCAATTTCTTCCCAATTATCTGTGAACTTTAAGCCACTGTAGGTACACGCCCCTGCACACCCAAAAGGCATGGCACCACCATGTGGCACCACCAAGCACCGCAGAGTAGCAGCTTGGGGCAGCATTCAGCTGGTCAGGCCATTGGCGGCAGTGCATTTGAAAGTGGTTTTGGCCAGCACATTGCATAAGTGCACTAAATTCCAGTCGGAGGTCCAATCCACTTTGGTTTTCTATCCGAAACGGCAAAAACTTTTTACCCGATCATTCTGTGTTGACGTAATGGCTTAACGATTATTGGCCGATGGTCGATGGTCGGGTTGGCTTTTTGCTTTGCCTTTGTCTTCGTTTCGGGGCGGCCTAATTGAAGCGGAACCTGGTGCTAGTTTGCTTAATTGAGTGCCAAATGAGATACTTGGAATGATCGTACTTCTTCAACGCTTCGGCTCTCGAAAGTCAGTTTATTACACATTTACAAGGACATACATTTATTTAGTATATTTTAGTAGTAACCGATGTGTGGGATATTCGGAGTGACTGATTTTTTTGGCAGTATGAAAAGTTGACATGGTCCTCGGACACTTCAGTCGCTATCTCTCTGATGCTGTCCTGATCCCCCGATCCGTCTACTTCCTGCCCGTGTAATCGATGCTGTAGGATCCCGTGTTAAGGTTCAGATTACGCAGCGCTGGATGGAACTGCTGCGGCTGTTGCTGTTGGCCGTAGTAGTTCTGGGCTGGCGCCGGGGGCTGGTAGTAGCGTGGCTGCGGTGCGGGCGGATTATAGTACTGCGGGGTGGGATTGTAGTACGGGCGTTGGGGAGCAGGCTGCGGCGCTGGAGCATAGGACGGCTGCTGCTGCTGGCCACGCCCAAAGTCGCCCAGAGAGAACTTGCTGGCTGCAATGGGGCGGTTGTACTTCTGGTCCTTGTAATAGACGGCTGGATCCTCCCTGTACTGCCCGTCGTCGATCTCGTTGGGGCCCAGTGGGTACGGATTGGTGTTGCTCAGCGTCGGTGGCGGGACATTGATGTGGCTGCCCGCGGGCTCAAAGCCACGCTTACTTGCCCCGTACTCGATCTCTCTAACCTTTCCCTGGTCATCCACGTAGCCGTACTTGCCGTACACCTCTCCGTTGGCGTACTTGGTCTCGATCTTGAAGCTCTTGTCGGCTGCCTCGTATCCATAAGTGTACGACCCATCATCGTTGTGCTTGTCGATCTGTTTGAGGATGGGCACAGGCGTGGTGTAGTCCTGATACTGCGCATACGCACAGTGGGCCGCAAACAGCAAAAGCATCCAACAAATGGACTGTAGAGAAGAGAATGAAAGACAAAGAGTATGTTGGGGCTTATCAGATTGTCTTTATTTAGCTGTTCGGGCTACACCCAGCTGTAAATGCTTTGTTTATGACACATCTCGAAACAATTGAATTGGGAATTAGCTCAAGGACATATCGAACCAATAAACCACCAATTAGTTCACTTTTTATCAGCAGCACCGATCTGCAAACACCATTTAGAGGGTTGGGCGGGGTGTACGGACTCATTGGCAACCGGTTTACTGATGAATGCATTCTAAAAATTCACTGCGCAAATTGTTTTCCACACTCCACCAGACACATTCTGCATTGTAAACATAGTTCAAGGGCTTTTGGGGCCTAGGTTCTGGGTCGGGTTCGGGGTCTTACCAATTTCATCATTTTGCCAAGTTATTATGGTATTTCAATCAATGCCAAATCGTTTTCACCAATCTCTCTGTTGCACAACGAATCACGCAATGTACACTGCAAAAATGATTTATGAAAATGGTATAGAAAATGCCTCTGCACTTGCACTCGAGACTCTGCGAAACGAAACGACAAACTCGAAAGAAAATCAGGGCGTGCAACGCTTTTTATACCACCAGCAACATTTCGCAAAGCCCCGCCAAGGAGGGGGAACAAGAGGGGTAAAAACACTATATGAAATAAAATAAGCTAAAGCTTCGACGGTGAACCGAAGTCTGGAAGTCGGGCGATCGGCGATCAGCTGCGACAACGAAACCGAAGCGAGTGCCTCGGACTTGGAGTCGCTTCAAGTCGGGGCACGAGAACCGACTTGGACCTGCCATGGAATGCAGCATAGAAATCGAAAGCCGTCAGCCAGCTGGGCGTATGAGTACCCACATACCCACTCACACACTCAATGTACACACCCGTAGTATGGCTATATAGTATATGGTCGGGAGTCAGGCGAGAAGCAATTTCCAATCAGGTTATTAACGTCGTCATACAGAATTCTTGGCTCGAGCAGAATTTATGCTCCCACCGCTCACGCATACGCAATGAGAACAGAGTAGAGCAGAGCAGAGCACAGCGCTGAATGCCAATTCTGTCAAGACGTCGACATTCAGTGCACGGAAGTGCTGCACTTGTAAGGTATTTCAATTATGTAAAGCACTTCTCCCCTTAGCCAGCCGTTAATCGATTACAATCACCAGGCAGACTAGAGACCAGCAAACAGCTTACAGCCAGCCGGCCACCCAATTACTAAACGTAATTCCATCAGCCACCACCGCCAGTATGTACATAAATTGTGTGTTGCTTTCGGCCATTTCTCTTGAGCTGTCAAAAAAAAAGTGCAAACAAAATTTGGCTTGTAGTCCACTGACCTAGTCAATGCCTGTGTCTCTGGCAACTGGAAACTGGTTGCCAGCAGTGGGCCAAAAGAAATGAGAAAAAATAAGATGATTTTTGTCTTCTTTTTATGTCTGGTATAATACTCGTGAATTCTAGAAGAGTCAGTTACCTCAGAAGCAAGCTTGCCATAGGCAAAAGCATGACCACTTACCAATACCAAAGATCCACAATTGCAACTGCTCAAAAGATTACTTGCCTGATCATAAGACAAGCCAGCAGTTTGATCAGTAATAGCTAGAACCAATGTTTGGGGAGAGTTCATTAGCCTTAAAAACCGCAGCCTTGGTCACAGCCTAATGCTGATAAGCTTTACTTTAAGCCAGCTTATTTACTTGATTCAACCAATCATCACTTGCAGCAAAGGGTCTCGAGGCAATTTATACCCATCTACGACTACTACTACCCCTAAGTAGATCTATAAAATCACACAGATACTCACTTTACTAATCAACCAGTTGTTGTCATCTATTAATGGTCTCGTAAAACCAGTTGAGCTCTAGCGAAAGTGAGATAATCGCAGGTTAGAATGGAATAGAGATATATCTATATATAATCGTATGTGCACAGAAGCAGGTCTCTAGAGAATCTTGCCAATTACAATCAAGGTAGTAGAGTGGAGTCAAAGGCCTAAGGGTCACATCAAGGTGAGTGCAATTTTCGGTTAGAGGGTAGCAGATCAGATGTCAAGCCACAACTCATTTGGACACCCTGTACGACCACATCAAGTCTAATGTTGAAAAACTTGTTTACTTACTAATTGTACCGAAAAAAGAGAATAAAGATGTTTTCTAAAATATATATGAAACATCGAAACAATGAAATGGATACAAAAGATCTAGATTTTGGCATTTCATTTTGAATAAAACACAAAGACTCCAGACCGAAATCGCATTTCGTTCGGTGCCTTGAAGTCGTGCAAACTGTTTTAGCTTAAAGGTCTAAAGATGCTGGAGAAAATCGCAAAGTTTCTGATCATTTTGGTTGTACTTACTGCCACTGCAAATGGCTCAAAATATCTAGCCCAGAAACGTAAGAAACACTCGCAGATTCTACGTAAAATCAGTCTCCAAATAACCAATTAATTGCAGCTGATTTCCTTACACCGTGCGTTGTGGGCGATCCAAGCCTCAATAGTTGCCTGGCTCAGAACTTGCAGGCGCTTTTCCATCAGTGGAAGGACGGCATACCTGGCTACAATGCGTTAGGATCCTTGGATCCTCTGCATATCAAGAGAGTGAAGTTCTCGCAAGATGCTAGCCAGGCCATAGCCATCAATGCTGATCTGCAGAACGTATATGTGACTGGAGCTGGCCAAGCAGTGATCAAAGAGGCCAGGTAGGATCTACTCCTGTTTATCTACTGGTGAAATGTTAATCCAAGCAAACGTATACTCTTTAGTTTTGACCCCAAACATTACGTGATGAAGGCTTTGGTCTTTGTTCCGAAGCTCCGTTTCCAGTTCGACTACAAACTCAAAGGCCATGTAGTTGCCCTGAACCTCAATGGCCGTGGCAGCGGCTACTTTGAAGCTGGTAAGACTAGTTAGCCAACTGTAAGACCATCTTTAAGCTTATTCCAATCCGCAGAGAAAGCCTTGTTGTATCTGGAAATGGCGGGCAGGCCACGCGTCACACCCGAGGGGGGTTTCGCGGATGTGGACAGTCTGAAAATCTCCTTCCGTGATATCAAGCAATTCCACATCCAGCTGCAAAATCTGTTCGGGGGCAACAAGCCCCTGGAGGACAGTGCCCACACGCTTTTCAACGAGAACTGGCGCGAGTTCTACGAGGTGCTACGTCCTGCTGCCGAGCAAACTGTCGGAGGCGTACTCCTCGATCGCATGAAAAAGACGTTCGCCTATGTTCCAGCCAGCTACTTCATCAAAGACTTCCACTGAGGGAATACTACGCTAGAATTAATGTAACATTATAATAATACGAGTACCTACACAATAATATAATTCTCACTTTTAATAATATTGTAACCGGCGGTTAGGACAGGAAATAGATGAAATTAAACACACAACCAGATGCATTTAGCCCCGGCTTCGTGCTCAAACTAAATGGCTGTAAGCTGCTACCAAATGAGTTTGTGTGTCGCCCAGTTGAGAGCTGTCGCAGCTCGAAACTTGGATCTCGGATCTCGGATCTATGATCTTGAATGCTCGCTGAATGAGAATAAAACTGAAGCCCAGAGCTTGCCGCCAGCTAGTCGGTTGCATGTCGTGACACCGATTAATGTAACTCTGAGCCGCTGTCTCAGTCGCAAATAAAGATATTAGATACAGAAGTGCAAAGATACAGTAGCATGAGCAGCAGCACGCGCCATGGCCGTAGGTCTTTTGGGCTTTGTAGTGGATTAATTGCCATCTTGTGCCTAAACGAGATCGCCTTGGATGTGATGGTGGCAGCCGTCGCCTACTACACGGAGAAGCGTAAGTCCCGTCATTCAAATTGCTCATCCCTACTTGGACTCTATCGAATCCACAGCATCTTGGCTGCCCTCGTGCCGAATTTACGAGCCTGGCTTCACCAAGTGCTCGACGAACAGCGTGCAGAAACTTCTGGACCAAATGAACAGCGGGATTCCGGAGGTAGTCGAGAGCTTTGGTCCCTTCGATCCCATGCGGGTAAGAGACATAGTCTTCAAGCAGGATAACAATGAGGTGGCCACCATAAGAGCCAATCTCACAGAGCTTGTGGTGAAGGGGTTCGCCAAAACCAAGGTCAAGGAGAGCCGGTAAGTGGATGGACCAAGTCAAAAGAACACTCCATCAATAGTGATTCATTTAGTGTCAGCAAGAAGGACTTTAGCTGGCAGACCAAGATCTATCTGCCCAAAATGCGATTGGATGGCAAGTACCAAATGGCCGGAAGGATTCTGCTCATACCACTGAGTGGTTCTGGCAATATATTCATAGAGATCGGTAAGTGTTCTCACTTTAAAACTAAGCCCGGAACTCAGAACATCATTTCCACAGAGGATCTGGACATACTGCTGCTAACTAAGACACAGCTGTATGAGAAGGGCGGCTTCACCTTCGACAATGTGACGTCCGTGCGTGTCCAGCTAAAGCTCTCCCGAGTGCACACCGAACTGGACAACCTGTTCAACGGCCGCAGCCCGGAGGTGGAGCGCAGCACCAATCAGTTCTTCAACGACAACTGGCGGGACTTTTACGAGGCCCTCAAACCGCTGATCGTCGAAACGGTCGAAAACATTCTCTTCGATGTGATGTCCAAGGTGTTCCATCTGATCCCAGCTAACTTCTTTGTGGAAGACATACCCACCCCTCAGGAGTTGTATGGGTCCAAGCTTGCGGCTGGTAGTGATAGTGGATCCAATTCCATGCCAAATTGATAACTGATCGATCCATCTAGTGTATTCGAGAGTATATTCCAGTTTTGAGCTAAGAATTTTGCTGAAAGGCAGTGAAATATTGGCAATAAATGTGTACTATTTTTATGATGACACTCCGTATAGCAGATCTATTCAATCAATAGCAATCAGGTCGGTTTTGCCCAACAAACAATTTGCAATTCGAATGAGCTAAACATCTAATCATGTCATTCATACTATAAACTTTATTTAATATTGAGAGAATTGTGTGATCTTAAAATTAAAGATTAAGCTCGAATGACATCTACCTTATTTGCAGAAAAGTACACTCCAAATTGTTTTTCTGAAAAAAAAAAATATATATTAAGAAAAAGTCAGATATTGTTCGGGTTTCTCACCGTTCTTGTCCACTCGATAGCTACGCTTCTTGTAGATATAACACATCAGAAACGCAATGACAATGGACAAAACCACCGCAACGATCCCGATCGCAATGAACAGCCATTTCAATCGGTTTTTGCCGCTCATCTGGCCATAGGATTGCTCCCCCGTGCCCGATCCGTCTGGATGCTGGCACAGGTAACCGGCAGCCGGCTCGGCACCATCGAAGCAAGCACACATTCCGGGAAACAGGCAGTACCCGTTGATGCACTCCGTCTCGCAAATTGGGAGGCACAGAAGCCGTCCATCGTCCCCTTCGTCTCTGTGAAGCTTGTAGTTTGGCTCGCAAGTACACTGCTCCTCAACGCACGTCCCGTTCCAGCAGAACTTCTCGCACCAAAATAACAGATCGGGTATCGAGGAGGAAAGCTCTGAATCCGTGGATTCGTCGTACCAGATAGCAGTCGAGGTGGCAGATCCAAGATGACCTGTGCTTCGGCCGCCAGGGAGATCATTCTTCTCAGGGACACACATCCCTGACGAGAACTCATAGACAGAACCATTCTCGCAATTACAAACATTGGGTGCGATGCAGGAGCCATTAACACATCCATTTGGGCAATAGGACTGGCAGGTGCCTTCTCTGATCCTGATGTATCCTTCGATACACGAGCACAGCCCAGGCGCCACGCAGAATCCGTTCTCACATCCGTCCTCGCAGATGGGAACACATCTGTTCTCACTCTCCTTTGCGTATCCTTCGTTGCAGGAACACCTTCCGGGAGACTCGCAGAATCCGTTCTCACATCCGTCCTCACAAATGGGAGCACATCTGTTCGCACTCTCCATTGCGTATCCTTCGTTGCAGGAACACTTTCCGGGAGACTCGCAGAATCCGTTCTGACACCCGCCTTCGCAAATGGGAGCACATCTGTTCTCACTTTCTTTTGCGTATCCTTCGATGCAGGAACACCTTCCGGGAGACTCGCAGAATCCGTTCTCACATCCGTCCTCACAAATGGGAGCACATCTGTTCGCACTCTCCATTGCGTATCCTTCGTTGCAGGAACACTTTCCGGGAGACTCGCAGAATCCGTTCTGACACCCGCCTTCGCAAATGGGAGCACATCTGTTCTCACTTTCTTTTGCGTATCCTTCGATGCAGGAACACCTTCCGGGAGACTCGCAGAATCCGTTCTCACATCCGTCCTCACAAATGGGAGCACATCTGTTCTCACTCTCCATTGCGTATCCTTCGTTGCAGGAACACTTTCCGGGAGACTCGCAGAATCCGTTCTCACATCCGTCCTCACAAATGGGAGCACATCTGTTCTCACTCTCCATTGCGTATCCTTCGTTGCAAGAACATCTTCCGGGAGACTCGCAGAATCCGTTCTCACATCCGCCCTCGCAGATGGGAGCACATCTGTTCTCACTCTCCATTGCGTATCCTTCGTTGCAGGAACACTTTCCGGGAGACTCGCAGAATCCATTCTCACATCCGGCCTCACAAATGGGAGCACATCTGTTCTCACTCTCCATTGCGTATCCTTCGTTGCAGGAACAATTTCCGGGAGACTCGCAGAATCCGTTCTCACATCCGCCCTCACAAATGGGAGCACATCTGTTCTCACTCTCCTTTGCGTATCCTTCGTTGCAGGAACACTTTCCGGGAGACTCGCAGAATCCGTTCTCACATCCATCCTCACAAATAGGAGCACATCTGTTCTCACTCTCCTTTGTGTATCCTTCGTTGCAGGAACACTTTCCGGGAGACTCGCAGAATCCGTTTTTACATCCGCCCTCACAAATGGGGGCACATCTGTTCTCACTCTCCTTTGCGTATCCTTCGTTGCAAGAACATCTTCCGGGAGACTCGCAGAATCCGTTCTCACATCCGCCCTCGCAGATGGGAGCACATCTGTTCTCACTCTCCATTGCGTATCCTTCGTTGCAGGAACACTTTCCGGGAGACTCGCAGAATCCATTCTCACATCCGCCCTCACAAATAGGAGCACATCTGTTCTCACTCTCCATTGCGTATCCTTCGTTGCAGGAACAATTTCCGGGAGACTCGCAGAATCCGTTCTCACATCCGCCCTCACAAATGGGAGCACATCTGTTCTCACTCTCCTCTCCGTATCCTTCGTTGCAGGAACACTTTCCGGGAGACTCGCAGAATCCGTTCTCACATCCATCCTCACAAATAGGAGCACATCTGTTCTCACTCTCCTTTGCGTATCCTTCATTGCAAGAACATCTTCCTGGAGACTCGCAGAATCCGTTCTCACATCCGCCCTCGCAGATGGGAACACATCTGTTCTCACTCTCCTTTGCGTATCCTTCGTTGCAAGAACATCTTCCGGGAGACTCGCAGAATCCGTTCTCACATCCGCCCTCGCAGATGGGAGCACATCTGTTCTCACTCTCCATTGCGTATCCTTCGTTGCAGGAACACTTTCCGGGAGACTCGCAGAATCCATTCTCACATCCGGCCTCACAAATGGGAGCACATCTGTTCTCACTCTCCATTGCGTATCCTTCGTTGCAGGAACAATTTCCGGGAGACTCGCAGAATCCGTTCTCACATCCGCCCTCACAAATGGGAGCACATCTGTTCTCACTCTCCTCTCCGTATCCTTCGTTGCAGGAACACTTTCCGGGAGACTCGCAGAATCCGTTCTCACATCCATCCTCACAAATAGGAGCACATCTGTTCTCACTCTCCTTTGTGTATCCTTCGTTGCAGGAACACTTTCCGGGAGACTCGCAGAATCCGTTTTTACATCCGCCCTCACAAATGGGGGCACATCTGTTCTCACTCTCCTTTGCGTATCCTTCGTTGCAAGAACATCTTCCGGGAGACTCGCAGAATCCGTTCTCACATCCGCCCTCGCAGATGGGAGCACATCTGTTCTCACTCTCCATTGCGTATCCTTCGTTGCAGGAACACTTTCCGGGAGACTCGCAGAATCCATTCTCACATCCGCCCTCACAAATAGGAGCACATCTGTTCTCACTCTCCATTGCGTATCCTTCGTTGCAGGAACAATTTCCGGGAGACTCGCAGAATCCGTTCTCACATCCGCCCTCACAAATGGGAGCACATCTGTTCTCACTCTCCTCTCCGTATCCTTCGTTGCAGGAACACTTTCCGGGAGACTCGCAGAATCCGTTCTCACATCCATCCTCACAAATAGGAGCACATCTGTTCTCACTCTCCTTTGCGTATCCTTCATTGCAAGAACATCTTCCTGGAGACTCGCAGAATCCGTTCTCACATCCGCCCTCGCAGATGGGAACACATCTGTTCTCACTCTCCTTTGCGTATCCTTCGTTGCAGGAACACCTTCCGGGAGACTCGCAGAATCCGTTCTCACATCCGCCCTCACAAATGGGAGCACATCTGTTCTCACTCTCCATTGCGTATCCTTCGTTGCAGGAACACTTTCCGGGAGACTCGCAGAATCCGTTCTCACATCCGTCCTCACAAATGGGAGCACATCTGCTCTCACTCTCCTTCCCGTATCCTTTGTTGCAGGAACACCTTCCGGGAGATTCGCAGAATCCGTTCTCACACCCGCCTTCGCAGATGGGAACACATCTGTTCTCACTCTCGTTTGCGTATCCTTCGTTGCAGGTACACTTTCCGGGAGACTCGCAAAAGCCATTTTCACATCCCCCCTCACAAACTGGCGCACAGATGTTGCCCTGCTTCATATAGCCCTGGTTGCACGTGCAAACATCTGGCGCTTCACATAATCCGTTCAGGCACCCTCCGCTGCAGACGGGTAGGCAGATCGACTCGCTGATGGGGGAGTAACCTTTGTGGCACTCACAGACGTCCGGCGCCGTGCAGTTGCCATTCATGCAACCGTAATCGCAGATGGGCACGCAGTTCCTATCGGGTCCCTTCTGGTAGTTCCTCTTGCACTCGCATACATCGGGTGCCCGACAAACCCCGTTATCGCAGCCCATGCTGCACACTGGTCGACACATAAACGACTTAGATTCTTTGTCCAGCAAGTAGCCTTTCTTGCACTCGCAGTGATTAGGGGCCGCACAGACACCGTTGCCCGAGGCACAGTTCTGATCGCAGATGGGATGGCATGTCTGGCTGGTGGCGTCCAGCGAGTAGCCTTCGTTGCAGTTGCACTTGTTGGGCAGTACGCAGTTGCCGTTGGGACAGCCGCTGGGGCAATGAGGCAGACAGTTGCCGCTGGCGGTGTCCAGAATGTGGTCCTTGGAGCAGACGCACCGTCCGGGAGACTGGCATGTGCCCTTGCTGCAGCCACCCTTGCAGGCCGGAACACAACTGTAATGGGATGGGAAAATCCAATCTTATATTAAGTATATAATATATGGAGCTTCCTACCGATTAGAGGGGACATTGTTGAAATTTTTGTATCCACTGTTGCAGGTGCAAACATTTGGTTTGGAGCACGTGCCACTCCCACAGGGCCGCTGGCAGGTGGCCACACATCTAATCTTTGGCCCCTTTCCCAATCGTCGGTATCCCCTGCAGCAGGTTTGTATTTTCCTTTCCTATAGAAAGACTCTTTTACTGGATGTGGAAAGAGACTCCATTGATCAGCTTACCACACGCTTTCCATTCACACTGCTGAACCGCTTCACCTCGCAGATCTGGGCCTCTAAGAATCCGATAAGTAGGGAAAATATCAAAATTTTGCCAATCAACATGATTGCTCAAGAAATATCCAACAACTGACTCTGATCCATTTAGAAATGTGACTAAAGAGGCCTTAGCAAAAATCACAAAACACTCATAAGTTTGCAAACGCTTCTTGGTTCCCATAAATACACATCAGCGAGTATATACATATGTATATATGTATATGTATATGTATATATGTATATGTATGTATATAGAGCATCCGTTTTAATGAGACTTATCACCAAGGCAGGCGAATGTCGCAATGTCTCGGCATTATAATGGAACATTGTTCCCTCAGAAGAGGTCTACCAAGCTCATTTGGTGCGTGCAATTGGCAAGGGTGGGGAGAGGTCTTCCCGGCTTATCTCAGAGAGCGTGCGCTCCCCTCGCCGAGCGCCAAATAAATGCAATCTCAGGGCATAGAAAAGAGTTCTATACAATGGGAATATACAATATAACGAATTCAACATGCTCTAACCAAATTAAATGGAACAGAAAATAGAGTATAATGATGATGTATCTACAATAAACTCATAAAAAGTCAAAATCATATTTCCATAGAACGTAATAGATATACATAAGGCTTACGACTCACTTTGGTTTTAGATACGAATACAATATAATTTTCTCAGAGATTAAAATAATGAAGAATTTGCAAGTTAAAGTATTCCCTTTTAAATAGAGTAAAAGAAATCCACTCTCTCATTTGCATAAATAAATGGAAAATATATAGTCCAATGCAACTATTATTTTCATTACAAGGCCATTACATCATCGTCGAGTGCGATAATTAAAACTGGACTCTACTGTAGTTTAGTTAAAAGATGATATTAATTTTGGCGGGAGTCACACATTGGATATCTGCAAGGGCAGAGGGGCAGACAGTTGCCGCTGGCGGTATGGGGGGGCAGCTTGAAGCAGAAGAAGATTGAGAAGCCACAAACTATTCCGCCGAAACTAGATTAACAGATTAAATCCACTCTCTCATATGTAAAAATAACATAAAATAAAAATAATCTAGTGATAATATTTACATCATAAACTGCACTCCATATATCCACTGTAGCTTAGTCCAATGATGGAAATACTTTTGGCATTAGTAACGTTGGTAATTTTCTCAACAATGAGCATCCAGATCATTGCGGACTCAGATGTCGAGGAGAGGCGAGGCTCTGGCCATTTAATGTTTTTATTATGGTCGTTAAAATGCAAGTATTTTTTACTTCTCAACCAGACTTTAGCAATTACGTTTGCCTAGGTCCGAACCGAGTGATATTGTCAGTCGACGTATTTTCCAGCTTCTAGTATGAGTTCAAGTAGATATTAAATTAGCTTACCGGTTCGTTCGGTGTTCGGTGGCAAGGTGAAGTCGCTACAGCTTCCCAACAACAACAACGACTACAACGGTTGCTGCAAGTACTCGTATAATATAAATATGGAATACGTTTAAGTAAACGTAGTAAATGAAAATGCCTCGATTCTGGTATTACCCAGGCATCACATCACACTCAATTCATCAATTGCACTCGAGTCGTCGGGAGGTGGCCAGGCCCCACAGGCACATCGGATATATATAGGCCAGATAAAAGCCAGCTCCGCTGCGAGTTATCTCTCATTCGCCAACTGCGACTAACTCGATTAGGCGGTGACTTTAACTGTGATACTGACAGTGACAACTTTTCACAATGTACATAATTGGATTACTCGTGTGCGCGGGCATGTTGATGACGCTTCTCGACGGCATCGAGGGCGTCGAATTCTATACGGAAAAGCGTAAGTGCATCGTTAATGTGTGTGTGTGAGGGTATGGCAAAGGTTAACTCTTGTCGGAAAATTACCTCAAATCATGTTGCACCTTGTCTAATGCGGAAACTTTTAATATTACAGCCGCTTACCTTGAATCGTGTCGGATCTATGAGCCCGAGTTCACCAACTGCTCAACACGTTCGATTCAGAAATTCATGAATCAGGTAATCAAAGGTGAGGCTACAGCTTATCAAAACTTTCCTCGCTCATGGAAATGTTTCATTCGAAAGGTATACCCGAGATATATGAATCTTTTGGACCCATTGACCCCATGAAACAGGATCAGCTGGTGTTCAAGCAGGACAACAGCGATATTGCCACCATTTCGGCCAATCTTACGGAGATGCTGATACACGGCTTTGGCAAGATGGTGATCAAGGAGAGCAAGTGAGTATCGATTGCATCGCCTCGCACTTGGCAACAGTGTTCGCATATCGAGAGCGAACAAAAGCTGTTTCGTGGAGGTTTTTGGTGTGGAACATTGGATTGATTTGAATCTTATTCAAGGGTCAGCAAAAAAGACTTTAGCTGGCTGACAAAGATCTACTTGCCAACAATGCGCTTGGATTGCAAATATAAAATGATCGGACGCATTCTGCTAGTGCCCCTCCGAGGAGGTGGCAACATGTCCATGGAAATAGGTAAATATATCTGTATAATGGTAAATCAGTCACAGTTAAACAACTGAGCTTTACTGATATATAGATGACCTCAACATACTGATGAGCACCAAGACACACCTCTACGAGAGGGGCGGTTACACCTTCTACAACGTGACATCGGTGCGGGTGAGCCTGAAGGTCGGAAAGGTAAAGACCAATATGGAGAATCTGTTCAATGGCCGCAGCAAGGAGGTGGAGCGCGGCACCAATCAGTTCTTCAACGACAATTGGCGGGATCTGTTCGAGGCATTGCGTCCTCTGGTCGCCGAGACTGTGGAACGGACGCTGCTGAAGCTGCTGCAGAAGGTGTTCAATCTGATACCCGCCAACTTTTTCGTGGAGGACATACCCAACTCCCTGACCCTGTACGGCCGAAAGACGGAAATGATCGCGTAGGAAGAAGAGTGTTTGTTTAATTTATACCCTGGATGGTGTTCCAGCTGCTTACGGCTAACTGTTAGTGTAAAGTACGAGTAATAAATGCTAATCTTAGAAGGTAACCTAAACATGGCATGGCACAGTGCTCCTGCTACATCCGGCCACAGTTCGAGTTCAGTAGAACCAGTCGTACTTGAGATAGTCGCCCTCGTGCTTTAGGGCCGCAATCGAGGTGTGCCGCACGTGTCCGGTGCGTGCAAAGATTCGTCGATTGCCCACCGGCTGCAGGGTTCGGAAGTTGTCCACCAGCGCCCCATCCTGCGTGTCCGACAGCTGACGGAAGCGAGAGATCTGCTTCGGGGAGATGGGAATGGGATCGGAGTACAGGATCCAGGTGACGGCCTCCGAGCAGGGAGGCGTTGTCAGGGAACCTAAAATGAAACCAGAGACAGCCAAAGATTAATAGAGATTTGTCATCTCGGATAAACATCTGTTGTTATTGACATCGATTCGCTGTCATCTAATCAGTGGGCTTTCAATTCCACTTAGAGCCTCGCCTGAATGCTAATTGGGTGTGCACATAGATGCTTAATAGTAGATGCTCCCACCCCCTGGGATACGTACCCTTGTAGGTGTAGAACTTGTCCACGTCGACGCCGGCTATCAGGGATGACAGGGAGAAGGTGACATTGAGGGTGGCCTCCTGGTTGGCGTCGGCTATCAAATGCAGATGACGATTAATGGTCACCAGACCCTGACCCTCGTCCTCGTCGAGCTGTGGGGATTCGGGTAGATAGACGTAATGGGTTAACAAATCATTCGCGTTGTTGTTCCTTTCTCAAATCTGTACTCACATTGAAGAAGAATCCGAGAACGGCAGCGCCATCAGGATGATTGAGAGCCTCCCCGATAGTCGCGTACTTCTTGTTGCGATGCACAATGTGCATCTCCATGGTGTAGCGGATGTCGTTGATGACGTGCTCGGAGCCACGGTTGTTCTTGTCGCCCCAGTGGAAGTGCAGGCCCTCCACCTCGTATTCGCCGGACAGCTTCGCCCCCCGAATGTAGGGCAGGAAGTCCTCCTCCGCGTTGCTCGCATTGACCTTGGGTATACCGATGGAGACTGCAAGAGCATGGCCCATCAATCAACAATCCACCGTCACTGGACAAACGTCTTTCTCTCTCTCACTCGCTCTCCACTTACCCGTGTGTCCGTTGTTGACCATTTTCAGGGGATACGGCAGAAGGTTGTGGTAGCCAATCATATCCACGGCAGGCATATGTACGGGTATGGTCTGCAAAAGGGATAATTACGGCCGATTAGTTGTCTTCTTTAGTGGGCTTACGAGGTAATTAGGCGGCCTCTTACCCGGCTCGTGGTGATAGCAATGGGCGACTGTGTCTTGCCGGCACAGTGGCCATGGTGGCGGGCCCAGCGTCGTTGGTTGGGCTCCGAGTAGCCAAACACATGACTGCTGACAGCTGGAAAGGACATCAGGAAACGGTTTGGTTAGCAAGATGATCCTTAATGAAACAAAGCCTGTTCCCCCTTGGAATGTTCACCGATTAAAGTGTTTTCCCCATTTGCAGACACCCCGTCATCGTATTGAACGATCACGTGCCGAGTGTCTTTCACCCCGCACCCATTTCGACCTTCTCGCGGATCCTATCTCTGACATGTAGGAGCACTTGTGAATTACGGCATAATAGATGGCACAGCAAACAAATATGAAATGTTTTTCTGCGGCAGTCAATGGACGGACAGACAGACAGACAAGTGGCTAAATCTATGGGAAAACAACACACAGAAGGCACAAAGAGCATGAGCCCCAAGGGCACGTTCTGGCCGACAAATTAGATATCGCAGTGTTGATTTAGATATATGTAGTATTGTACGATAGATAATGGTGAGCGCAAATAATTTTCATTAATTTTCACAGCTAGCGAACGAAAGTTACGCGAACAATTCCATGAAATGTTCCGCTAAGGCGAAAGGAAATACTTGTTTAAAGGCTAATTTGCATGTGATTGGTGATAATTTCTGTTTGAAAAGCTTCGATCCAAATTAACATATCATATGACACTGTTTTCCATTGAGCGGCGATGGGGAAGGAGACAGAGAGAGAGAGAGGGAGAGAGTGTCTGCAGAACTTTTTGGTGTTGCTGTTTGTGGCAATACGAGTCCCAGTTTGATAAATTAGTTTAATTAGTTGGTTTATTTATTATAATATTATGAATATTATTTATTTGTGGCGCGCTTATAATTGGTTGGGTAATCAATTAATTCAATTTATTCTCCTGTCATCTATGACCATTAGATATTATGTCATCCACCAAGTACATATACCATTTAATTTCATTATTTTGTGACAAGTGTGTTGTAAACAAATTTCGCCGATAGATAGATACTCGTACTCGTAGATAAAATAGATTGCGGAGCTCGTACGCTCGTATAATCAAATTAAAGATTACTTTTAAGGATCCTAGAGATCTTCCGATTATAATCAATCAAATGTTATCTACATACAAAGATACCATTTACATGTTATGCAAGTTCCCATAATAGAACAATCTAAGTAATTCGCCGCACCATGTATGACCATGCTATCTATCAAAATCAATGGGTTGCCATAAAATGTACTAATTGACAGTTTCAAGTGTAATAAATACCATTCAACTGCTCGAAATTAGATTCGTGGAGTGCGTACTTATGACTGTTAATGCCGAGATCCCTCCCGCGAATGACAGGGGAACCCGCCGAATCAGCCAACATATTTACTCGTAATAGATACGAGTATGAGGTGTCACACATCTGGCAATAATTAAACGACGAAATTTCAACGGAATAGATATCGATTTATGGTCGCTATTTCTGTACTATCGTACAAAAACAATATGAATCACATTACAGTGGATCAAACACGAAATGACATACAAAATACTTTAGAACTTTAACTTCAAATCCGTATCCTTGAACTCAATAATTACCTTGAGACCAGCAGATCACCAAGAACGAAGCCTCGAATATTATAGCCAATTTCATGGTTGAGTTGATTATTGTTATTTAGATGTATCTATTGTTTAATGAGAACTGAGCTCCTTTTAAGCGATTGTAGCACCTTACGATCGGGTGACAGATTCTAAACTGCGCGGACGTTCCGTTTGCGAGGCACCTTCACAACTTCCTCAGCAGGCAGTCAACGAACTACTTGAAAATTCGAAAGCTGAAATCCCCGCCCGAAGCGCGTGCACCGCACACAGATACACTTGCACACACACACGCACACACATGGGCTTCGAGGCGCACGAACAGCCGCCGCCGACGACGATCGATCGACCGATGGATGGATGGAGTGCTCTGCTGCCTGCGTAACTCTGTCGGGGATCGGGGAAATCGGAAGGTGCAATAGAATGACCAAAAATCTAAATTGATGCACCACACTGCGTATACTTGACGTGGCAAGAGCCGCCTGCCGATAGAGCCTCCTGGGCAAAGGCCACAGACCGAATCGATCCCACGGGCGTGCGAGTGCGAGTGTGATTGTCAAAATCAAACGGAAAAATTCGTCATAATTCGCACCTAATGCCAATGGCAAACACCAGAGTGGTAACTGCTTTCGATCATTTTTGATAATATTTTGTTTTGCATACAATTTTACTGATTTATTTATTTGCATAAGGCCAAAACGGGGCTGGAACGGGGGTGTTCTTGGTGGTAGCCGTTACTAAGCCAACAAGTCGCGACGTCATGCAGAAAGCCGCTAATTGAACGCGGGGTCTTCAGAGCACACCGAACATCCGTCGCCAGCAATCGGGGCAAAACAGAACAAATTCATTGAGCGTTTTTCGCACGTTTTACAGTTTTTGCGTTCGAAAAACTCTAGTTTTTTGTATGAGCGGGCGATCTGTAACGTCGCATTTACACTTGTATAGGAAGTTCGTGATCTACATGAGAATGTGGGAATCGTAAATGGCATATAGAACAAACTGATAGCTATTTATATCTTTATGATAGGCTATGCACAGCCACGCGAAGTCAGGTAGTTGGAATTGATCGATATGTCTGGGAATTTGAATGCCAAGGCTTACAGCGGACTTCCATTGGAGTGGGCCATATTGCTGAATTTGGGGTTCTTCCAAGGAGAAGTCTGACACTCAACCAGTCCAATTAAAATCGTTTAATCGCGTATTGCCATTAATTTTGGTTACCAGTTCTAGTCGGTCCATTCAGCTTGGCTCTCCGCTGCCCCATTTAATTGTTTGAACACGATTCTGATTGTTTAGAGCCTCGCATCATCATCATTGCCCAAAAAGGTGTCAATCTTCGATGTTCGGCCAGCAAACAATCGTATGATTATCACATGAGCAGCTTGGACAAAGGACTGCCCCATCATCATCCCACATCGATGGGCTTCTTCCAACCAGGCCAATTGATAATGCAAACTGCTGACAAAACACTGATCTACAGATAAACCACCTCATTATTTGCTAGATTACGCCTTCGAATCGATCAACTAAGTCAACTGCCACTCGGCAAATATGTAGGTAAATATGAATACGAGTGGTAGAATAATTAATCAAATATGTTTTTCCTTTTGTGTGGCGGCACAGCACTCACGTGACTGCAATTAGCAACTGCAAAGTAAACTGTTGTTTATCAGCCACCGGGACTTGTGACTAGAACTAGACTAGAGATAGTCGTTTAACCAAGTAGTTACTCTCCGAACATCATTGTGTATTCACAGAACGCACCAATAACTCAATTATTAAGCTATCATCAGAATCCAATTCAAATTGACGCGATTTTATGACCGATCTGTCTGGTAATAAGTAAATTCCCGATCCCATGCATATGCTTAAAAAACCATTAAAAGGGGCGCTTAAATCTGGCGCATACAAATTAGGCCAGCGAAACAGGCGGACGGGCACACATCGGCGTGTTCTCTCCACCTACTAGTTATGCATAGATTCGGCGCACCTGCGGGACGCGACGCCGTGCCAGGCATCCTCAATACGCGCTACAGTTTTATCAATTAAAAAACACCTACATATATAGACGCGAACGCGGGGTCTGGTGCTCCGTATGGAATACTCTATCGGTAGCCAGATATAAGTAGTGCTGACGTCATGCTGCCCGCCGCCCACGGACATGTCCGAAATGTCAGAGGGGAGTTTATTTTTGGCCAGAAATCGCATTCCCTGTCCACGCGGGGGCTTAAAAATAGAAAACGTTCCAGGTAAACCACACATTGATTATCAGTTATAATTGATTAGCGGAGGGACGCTGTCGGATAGGATTTTGTTGCCCTAACTTTTACAATTGATTCCCTGAAGAATGCCTTATCGAGTGTTTTACCGTATCTCCTGGCCAGATCTTGCGGCATACTTTTGCGGGCAGCGCCTAAAAGTCACTATGAAACGTACAAAATCTTTATTACAATTGCAAATAATTAATTAAATACCATAATGAATAATTTAAATAATGGGGGGACAAACATCGTGTAAAGTAACAAATTTCAAATGCAACAAAATATTGGTTAAGGAACCGCTTTAAATGGCAGATTTAGAGGTTAGGATTCCAACTTTGGTAAATAGTTTTTGACTTTTGACTTTTTGGTCGAGAATTTACAAAATCAGTCGAAATAAGGTCTAAGAAGCGTTTTGTCGAAACTAAAAACTACTATTCGACGTGTTTTGCACTTAAGGTCAACGCTGTATGTAGATGTACATATAAATATAAAAGATTTCACTTAATTTCAAGAAAGTCACACGGTTACATTTTGACTTTTTGCTTATTCTGGTTATCTTTTTGGTAGATTCACCGATTGGATGGAAAGTTCTTTCCACAATTCTCCTATCAGCTGCTTTGTAAATATAAATATAGAAAAGGTTCAACTTTATCTCCACTGAGTCGTGATGTGGTCCATGTGATGCATGTTTCTGGTTTGTCATAGTCCTTTAGTCCTCTTTCTGCTCCTTGGCGGACAGGAAGAGCTTCTGGCACGTGTAGGTCAGAGAGTCTATAAAAGCAAACGTAATAAACCCGTAAAAATGCTATACACATGAGAGCGTAGGAAGAAAAACTCACCAATCGTGTGCTGCACCCATTTCGGTTTATTCTGCCACACGACTCCCACATAATAGAATGGTATGCCAATTAGGGTGATTAATACACCCATTCCGACCTCGTAGGGCGCCACATAGATGGGCACGACAACAAGGAAGGCGCAGACGACGACAAACACTGCGGGTATCCACAAAGAGACCTGTCCACCAAGCAATGAAATGGCAATAGATTATATAATATTCATGACTCCACACCGCTGGCTAAACTCACTTTAATTGGCCTCTCCATGCAGGGGCGTGTGTAGCGGAAGTATAGGACAGCCGACACCGAGAGCATGATGAAGAACGACTCCACAATGCTGCTATAGGTGATCAGTACATAAACATCGCTCACCACGAGCATCACAATGGAGAGAAAACACTACGAACGGGAGGGGAGAACAGAACCAATTACAAGGCAATTCGAATACTTCTTTTGTGCGCCAATTTGTGGGCCACACTCACCAGAAAGACCAGCGACGGCAGGGGAGTATAGCTCTTCACACTTATGTGGGACAGAATCGCCGGCATGTGGCCATTGCGGGCGCCTACAAAGCACATGCGCGACGAGGTCATAATGTGCACTGAGAGGCCGCCAAAGGCAGAGATGGCCACCATGACGGGTATGATCAAAGAAAATCCACCGAGAATTTTATTGCCAAATGTCTGCAGAGAGAAAAGAGAGAAGAGTGTGTTTTATATTCCGGCTTCGATTGATGCACACAATTGGTTAAGTGATGCTCACCACAGCAATGGCATTGGATGCCATCATCTCGGATGGGGAGAGAACTGCCAGATAGGCCATATTGGCCAGCACATAGATACCGGTGACCAGAGGCAAGGAAATGTAAATAGCACGTGGCAGATTGCGGTAGGGGTCGCGCAGCTCCTCCGTCATGAAGTTCAAATAGTTCCAGCCGGCATACGAAAAGATGCCCGAGTAGAAAGCCACCGACAGCTTGCCGGGGTCAGTCTGAGTGTTCTCGAAGGGCTTATCAAAGTTCTCCACATGGCCCATTAGCATCCACACCAGGCCAACGATAATTATCAGCACGAGGGCGGCAATCTTCGTAAACATGATGATGTTCTGCATCTTCGTTGTCACTTTCATGTAGTACGAATTTAGGTAGGTGAGGAAGCATATAGTGACGGCAGCCAGCAGCTGCAGGGCAATTTTCGGTATCTCGCAGGCGCTATCGAAGAATGGTTCCAGCACATAGGATGCAAACGTCAGTCCCATAATGGCATTCGTCGTGGGTCTGCAAAAACAAAACAGAGAAGAGATAAGCAAATCGCACCGAATCGTTGGAAAGTTTACTCCGGCTGAATTCTGAGATTATCTCTGATCATTATCTTGTCACAGACTTTAATGCAAACGAATGTTTGGTCTTATCGGCGATTCAAAATAGCAAAAATACCAAACAGTAAAACAGTTAATGCAACACAGACATGGCATGGTCCCCCCCCAATAAATCCATTTGTGGCGTTTCGATGTGTAGGTACCGTGCCGGTGATAGATTACAGGTGATAATGAATGTGTTTCTGTTTTCATGAAATCGCTGGCTTAACCTTGACAGACAGCACGCACTAACTACAGACTGGTTGTTTCCATGTCGATCCGAACCCGTGCCTCAGCCCGGCCCAGCCCGTCCCTCAGTGATCTAATCTGTTCCAGCGATCCAATTAAGTAATTGACCCCATCTGAAATTGAAGCCGAGAGAATCTAATTAAACCAAAAGAGACACTCACACAAATATCATCATTGCATCCCAGAGATACAGGAAAGCCGGCAGTGATCCGTATGCCTCGAAGATGTACGCGTAATCTCCGCCCGACTTCGGTATGGCAGTGCCCAGTTCCGCGTAGCAAAGAGCTCCAATCATGGACAGCAGGCCGCACAGCACCCAAATGACGAGTGAAGCGCCCACCGATTCCACCTCTCGGAGCACACCCTTGGGCGAAACGAATATTCCAGAGCCAAATATGATGCCAAGGATGATGGCCACGCCTTCCAGCAGGCCCAGCTGTTTCTTCATCACCACGCGACTGCTGTCCGACTCGGCGGAGCCCTCGCGTTGTGGATCCTTGACACCTGCCGACGCCCCCGCAGCGGGAACAATGCTGGGCGGATTATCAGAGCTGGGGGTAAGCAGAACCATTTCGCTGGTGGGCGACTGCAGCTCGTTGGAAGGCATGATGATGTGATGTGATGTCCGCAGCCGACGGCAAACACTATCTACGCACGCAACTGTCGACGGTCGAAGCAGAAATGGACTACGGAGCCTCCTCGGCCAGTGTCCAGCTAATTGATTAAGCGCCGCAAGTAGAGTGTGTGTGTGTGTTATTTATATAAGGGCTTGTCTGTGTGTGGGTGTGTGGGCTGCTTCAATTGTCGTTGGCGGCTTATCATTCATTTACTCTCACTCTCGCCCTCTGCTTCTTGCCAACACACAACCATATTCTTCTTATCTGCCGGTTAGCGGACTTTGTTTTGCTCTGCGCTTCGTGTGTGTTGCTATCTCGCTTGCACTTCGAGGGGCACTTCTACTTTGCCGCGTTTAGCATGTGCAAAATGCTACTTTTGCTACAAATTTGCGATTTTCCAGATGAAGGGCGATGATTGCTAATTAACTAATGTCGCTTTAACCATGTAATTATGTAATTTTATTATAAATCAATTAAATTAGGACACTTTTTTTGCTGAGTTTTTTAACCCCACGTTTTCAGCAATACGGCAGTGTGACCATACGATGGCAAAATACAAAATACCAAAGTTTCAGCGGATGGAACAGGGTGTTTTATTTTTAAATGTTACATTATTTTTACAAGAAAATAAGTTTTTGTTCTTTTTACAACTTCCGTCTTTTCCTTGGATTAATAGTTGCTGTACGTCTACTTTTTGTCCTTGGCCTGGAGCTTTGAGTGAATCATGTCCTTGAACTGGGACAGTATCTTGTTCTCCCGCTTCTGACGCTCCTCCTTGCTGAACATAGCCAGGGCCCGCTTCTCGTCCGCGGAGTACAGCTGATTCTCCTTGCGGATACGCACAGCCTCCATGCGTCGGTGCCGACTGCCGCTCATCACGTAACCCACGGATTCGAAGTTGGCGATCTCATCGGATGTGAGGCCGATTTCACCACGACGCGGAATGCGCTTGCCATCGGCTATGTAGGCAGCCATGGCGGCTCCTTCTCCTGGCAGCAGTGCGCGTCCGAAATCCTTTTGGTTTAAGCTGCCAGAAGGGCGCAGTGATGGACCCACATCCTCGTCGTTGTTGCCTCCATCCTTGGACCGTGATTTGCTTCCGCCGGACGATGACTTCTTGGACTTTGCAGCCTTGTCAGACTTGCGCTTCTTCTTTTTGTTTTTCTTGTCTTTTTTTGAGGCAGAAGACTTCTTTTTTGGTTTTTTAATGCCCTCGGCCGTCTTCTCCAGCCACTCGTCCCCGTCCTCGCCTTCAGAGCTTGAGCTGTCGCTGGAGGAGCTATCATCGCTGGAATCGCTGCTCCCAGAGCTGGACGCCGATGAAGATGTTTCCGAGGAACTCGAATCTTTCTTGCTCTTTCTCTTCTTTGACTTTTTGGATTTCTTCTTTGACTTCTTATCCTTTTTCTTGCCCTTTCCCTTCTTCTTCTTCTTTTTCTTCGGACCCACGTAGGAGCCCTTCACAAGTTTCACATCGTCTAGCTCAGCCCGTGTCGGGCTCTTGCTCCAAACCTCTGGTACGCCCTCCTCGCCAATGCGTACACGTTGTTCGCGACGAGCATCGCCAGCTCTGGTGTCAGAATAGGAAGGCGCACCGCCTCCACGGCCTTTGTAGTTTGATGATCGGGTAGATGGCTCCGCTGGATCGTCCATGAAGCTTTTGCCTCCAGAAATCCAACCTTTGAAGGGATTTTTGCTCTTTTCATTATATTCCCTGAAACGGTCATTGGGCCAGCGATCCACAGCCTTGGGCGGTAGTTTCGGTACCCTAGCACTGTTGGACCTGGGGTCACTGCTGCTGGTGCTGCTCCCCTCACTGCTGGTCTCACTCGAGGAGCTGCTCGATGATAGAGAACGGGAGCGGGAGCGACGACGCCGTGGTGCTGATACTTTCTGCTGGGAGCGGCGTCGCTCGCGTTCATTTTTTCTACCTGAATGGGGCGAGCGTGAATTGCGACGAAGTCTGTCCCTCTCCTTAGAGCGAGGTGGCGACGGGCGGCGATCCTGCTTGTTGCTCACTCGTCTGTCGGAGCGGGAGCGTGCCTGGGAAACGGACCTGCTCCTGCGATGGGGCGACCGGCGGCGCACCGGCTTGTTGCTCACATTTCTGTCGGAGCGAGAGCGTTCCTCACGCCTTTCACGACGTCTTTGTGGACTGCGACTTCTGGTGCGCGAGCGCATTCTAATTTGTTATTAACTAAATTGCTTTTTATTTTCAAAACAAAGTGAAAATATATTTCGACCTTTTTAGAGAAAAAAAAAACAACAATGTGACCGCTGGTTATACCGTCTGGCCCTCAGAAATATTCCGAAATACCGTCTTATTTTCAAAACATACCGATAAAAACAAACGATCTTAAAATATTTATTTTTTTATGCCACATGTTCTTTAATATACCTTTAAGCTGAAATTTAATACATTTATTAGTTATATCATTATGCAGATGATTTTTGCTCAAATTAAATCAATTGGTTCAAGGTATATTTACAGTATATTTTTAAAATGTGGCAGCATATTTGGGTATATTTCTGTGGATCGGACAGTATATTTTATTGGTAAATCCGCGGTTACACCGCCTTTGTTTATACAAAATGCTATAAATTATTTAAAAAAGTAGGAGCACATAAACAAACCTCCCCGCAATGGTGCGGATAACGTGGCGTGGCAACTCCACGCAGGAGCTGCTGTAAGTCGCATTTTCTTGCTGGAGGAACCGTTTGTAATTGTTTTGTTATTGTTTTAGCTCGTCGTGTCGGCTGCGTTGGTCCTACATGAAGCACTGCTGGCACTCGCTCACCTTCAATGCCCATATGAACAGCTCCTATGCCTCGGATGTGTGCATGACACCCATCTTTTGGGTTGTGGACAACTACACCCACTGCCTGGGACCGGTACACAGGATAGAACCATATACTGCTAACCATTATGCTGATGCTGTATCCTCTTTCAGTTCTTTGTGATCGGAGTAGCTTGTCTGACCACTGCCGTCGTCAGCATTGCCTATTGGATTGGGTTCCCATTTTGGTTGGCCAAGGGCCAGTTGGCCTTGGCATTTGTTCTAATCGTCGGCAATTGGCTGCTCTTGAATGTCATATTCCACTATGTGATGGCTGTGATCACACCGCCCGGCCATCCGCCTGAGGGTGTATTGCTGGTGGAGGCAGTCACCATGTGTGGCAAGTGTGTGACTCCCAAACCGCCACGGACCCATCATTGTTCGGTGTGCAATCGCTGTGTGCTGAAAATGGATCACCACTGCCGTAGGTATATCAACTTTCAACCAATCCCCTGATATCTTTGAGTGTGCTCTTTCCACATAGCCTGGCTAAACAATTGTGTGGGTTATGGAAATCATCGCTACTTCTTCCTCTATATGCTTTACACCACGTTGGGTTGCCTATTTCTCATTTTGTTCGGCCTGGAGATTGGGTACAAGTATCTTTGGCTTGATCACGGGGAAAATTGGACAGAGCTCGAGCCCCTAGTGGGGCAGCCAGTGAAGTTTAACCTCAGTGGACACATTATTCCAGTGGTAATTCCATTAAAGAATCGTAGAGTGAATATTTAATCTTTTATCTATAATCGTTTTATCCATATGCCATTGTAGACACATCCCCATGAGTACGATGAGTTTGATCTGCCACCAGCCGTACACAATCTGCCCACGCCTGTCCTGGACACAGATGCCCCATCGCCTGGCCGGCGAAAGGCCCTGTGGTTCATGGCCTTCACCAATGTGGCCGTGGTAATAGCCTTAGGCACTCTGTGCGCCTGGCATGCGAAATTAATCACCCGCGGCGAGACAAGCGTGGAGTCGCACATCAATGAGGCTGAACGCAAACGCTTCCTCAAAGAGCAACGCATTTACATAAATCCGTACAATTTCGGAGCCAAAAAGAACTGGAAAATATTCCTGGGCCTTGTGCGTGGCAGGTGAGAGTCTTAGTCCCTGCGACTACGGACTGATTTTTCATTGAGTCTACTTGCAGATCCTTTTGGCGCACAGTTCTGTTGCCCTCGTGGCACAAGCCCGAGGGCAATGGCCTCAGCTTTCACACTGTCCACGATGCTTCCTTCGTGGATGAGTGGCCGTAGTGTCCTTAGGGACTTTTGTGATGTCAAAAACAGTCAATTTAGTGGCATTCCTGCTCTTAAGTTCAATGTCAGTATGCAAATAATTGTGTTCCGTCTTCAGCGCGTAGTCTAGTGTATTAATAATTGATATTCCAAAGTTTCCATAAATATAGTAGATAACTTAAGTGATAGATTATTTTTGTTTCCATAACGACTAAGAGCACAAACGCTTCACTTGCACAGCTGTTTAAAATAAATGACGAAATCCAATCAACAAAATAACCTGTTGTCGTTGCCCCTGGCAGCCTCTGTGCGCCGGTATGGCAACTTGTTGCCAGGACAAGGGTTTTGTCAATAACTTTACAGACGAAAACCACAAACAGGAAGATGTCGAAGGGTTCGGGCTCTGAAGATGAGCCGCTGGTGCCAGATGATTTCGATGATGATTTTTACCGAGAACTGGGCGAAAAGATACCAGAGGTGAGGTGTCAATGTCTTCCAAGCCAAAAATTCAATCTTATGTCTTTTTAATCTGCAGGCCACCAAAGCATTGCGGCAAAAGGACACTCCCAATAATGCGGACAATGTGCAACGGCTGCTCATCTGTGGCACCCGGTACAAGAACGATCTCCGCATGGAGCGGGATCGCGCCCAGGAGCTGCAAAAGACGATCGAGACTCTCGAAGGGCGTTTGGAGAATGCCGCTCGTGTGAGTAAGCTGGACATGGCCACCATTGAAGAGCTGCGTGGGGTTATAGGTGAGTGCATCAAGTGTAGCCACAGAAGAACTTTCTACTTATATCTCTTTTTCAGAGGGTGCTTGGAAGCAGAAGGATGCTGCTCAGATACGGGAACAGTCCGCACAGGATGAGGTGCTGAGTCTGCGCGAGAAACTGGACGAGTCCGAGCAAATGGTGGCCCATCTGAATGAGAAGCGTCTGGCCATGAGCAAGCGCGACGATGGCAAGGAACGGGAGCGTCTCACCGCTGAGATAAACGAGCTGAACAAGCGCCTGCAGATGCAGAGGTCCTGCACAGCAGAGCTGGATAGCACCATAGAGGGACTGGAAGCCAAGAACAAGGAATTGGTGAAGCTATTGGATGTGAGTGGACTCTAGGGAGGTTGTTTTCCGGCCTCAGAATCTATTCTTCGTTTAGGAAACCTCTACCGATGCCTGCAATCTGAAGCGAAAGAGCGATGCTCTGGCCAAAGAGCTGGCCACCATGAAGAGCGATGAGACCAAGTACCAGGAACAAATCTCCCACATGAAGTCCGCCAACGAGCACCTAACCAAAGTCAAAGTCCGTCAGAATCTGCAGATTCTGTCGCTGAAGACAAACCTCGAGCACTTGAATACGCAGCACAATGCGACGAGCAACAAGTTGGCAAAGCTTACCGTAGATCTGGAGTACGCTGTCCAGGAGCGGGACAAGAACAAGCGAGCCCTGAACCAGCGCATTAACCTGCTAAAGGTGCGGGAGGATGAGCTGATCAAAGTGCGGCAGGAAAATGGGAAGCTGGCCAAGTCACAGGAAACCATTGCCCGGAAATACGCAGGCCTGGACGAGTCCAAGCGAGAGGTGGAAGAAGAGAACATACGCCTCAAGTAAGTGCCAGGGTTTTCAAAATGCATCTAACACACTCTACTGCTATTGCTACACAGAACACAGTTGGGAACCCAGGACAAGGAGCTGGAGTCGATGCGTCGGGTGGTCCATCACTTTGAGAAGCACAACGAGAATCTCACCAAGGAGCGGGATGTTTTGCGCAGGGACTTGCAGGCGGAGCATCAACAGCTGGAGCAGATCACCGCCCAGCATCAGGAGTCACAGCACGAGGTGCGCGCCCTAACGGACACCATCACCACCATGGACATCAGGCTGAAGAAGCTCAACGAGGACGCCAACAAGTTGAAGAAGGAGAAGACCAAGAAGATGGATGAAATCCAACACTGGATTGATAAGCTGGATGCCTTGCAGAGTAAATGTTGTCCCAATCTGTCCTTATTTGCTTCTAAGACATGCTTCCCCTCTGTTCAGACGAAATGCGGTTGAAGGAGAACTACGAGATCGAACTAAAGCGCACTATTAGCGATCTGGAGGCCAAGTGTTCCAAGTTTCAGCAGCAGCACGACGTCTTGGCCAACGAGCGGCAGAGTCTGCAGCGGAATCTCCAGCTGGCCGACGATGATCGACAGAAACTTCGCGACCAGCTGGTCAATCTGCAGTCGCACATAGAGAAGCTAAAGGGAAAGATCTCCTATCGGGATGGGGAGCTGAACAAGCTGCAGCTGCAGATCGATCGCATGGAGAAGGAGCGCCGACTGCTGCGGAACGAGGTGCGACAGGCGCAGCTGGGGCAGCAGCACACCAAGGCCGAGCTGCTGGACAAGCGGAAGGAGAACGATCGCCATGCCAAGTCACTGCAGGAGGACGAGCAGCGATTGTCGCGCCTGCGCAAGGATGTGGACAACCTGATGAACGAGAAGAATGCCATTAGTGCGGCACTAACCAAGCGCAACGAGGAGTACGATCGACTGAAGCACACGTTGGAAAACCTGCAGACAGTCTACGACCAGGCGGAGCGTCAGTGCGGCCAGTGCCAGGACGATATGCGGCTGATGGGCGTGGAGATCAAGAATTTACGCACCGAACGCGATGTGCTGCGTGCCGATCGCGAGAGTGCAGCCGACTTGCGGCAGGAGCTGCTGCAAATGCATCGCATGCTCAATCAGGAGCGCATCAAGGCTCGCGCCCTGCAGGACGAAATGGTCACGCCGATGAATGTGCACCGCTGGCGTCTGCTCAGCGGCAAGGATCCCGAGAAAATGGATCTGCTCGAACGCATTCGAATCCTGCGCAAGCAGCTGCTCTCCCAAAACGTGGCCGCCCTGGAGCATGAGCGGGCCCTCAACGAGGCCCAGCAGCTGTATGCGGCCCTGAAAGAGTTTATGCTGAAGCTGCCCAGCCACAAGGTGCGAGCGGAGTTGAACAGCGTCAAGGTGGGTGGGAAACTCCACTGGAATCTATCCTTAATCCCTTAAATCTTTCCTTTCAGGCCACGCTATCTGCCAAGGAGCGTAAGCTGAGGGTTCTCAAGGCAGAGCTGAGTGTCAAGGAGGCGGACGAGAAGTCCAATGTCGTGAAGCTGGAGGAAATGCGCCTCAATCTGGCGCTAACCAAGACACAGCTGCTGGAGGAGAAGAAACGCAAGCAAAAGCTGCTGGAAGAACGCCAGCTCCTAGAGCAAATGCAGGCCCATTGCTACTCGGCGCCCCCACAGCTGCCACGAACACTAGGAGCGGGCTTTAAGATGGTCACCACCTTGATTTAATCACGAGTTACGAGCTGGAGCCGGCTGGAGCACACACAATAAAACCTCAGCTGCCATCGGCACTCAGTTTTCTTTTCTTGCAGTCGCCGTAGGCGGAAACGGAGGATTTCTCGGCGTAGTACTGCTCCGTGTACTTCTCCAGGCAGCGCTTGTGGACGGTTTCAAGACTTGCTTGGCTCTGGCCCTGTTGCTTCATTTTGGTCTGGCACTCCTTGATGAGACAGTCGCGGCTCTTCAGATCGATCTCGTTGATTATCAGCTCGGCCTTGATGACCCGCAACTGGTTTCTCTGCTGACGATTGATGCGCTGCTGGGTGCAGAGCTTCTCCCGGACACTGGGATCCGGCATGTGCTTGATGCGCGCCTTGAAGGTCTCGAACAATCGCTCCGAATCTTGCAGCTTGTTGGCCATATTCAGGCGTTCCACATTGAGGCGCATGTTCTGCTTGAGCAGGGCCTGGATCTTGCGTATGAGCTCGTAGCGTCGGGGGTCCTTGCCGAGTATCACGCGCCAGCGATGAATGTGCAAGGGACTGGCCATCTCCGATGTGAAGGCAGAGATACGTACGCGCTCCTGCATGAGCTGTCGCTCCAGTCGCACCACATCCTGACGCATGGCCGCCCTGTTGCCCACCTCCCGCTGCATGCACTGGTGGGACATTCGCAAGTTCACAATCTCCATTTTGAGCAGGCGAATGTCCTCCAGCCGCTGATTGTACTGCGACGTGCCCCTGTCGATGGCCGACTGCATGATGGCCTCCTTCTCGCGCAGCAGCCGCACCTCGTCGTTGCGCCTCACCATCTGCAGGCCCACCAAGCTCTTCTCCTTGTTCACCTCGTCCAGGGAGCAGGAGATTTGCTTGAAGCGCTTCTCGTCCTCGTCTATCGTGTGCTGTGCCTGCTCGAACCGGATCTTCATTTCGTGCAGATCGACGCGCGTGTTGGCCAGCAGCCGGTCTTTCCCGTGGATCTCGTTCTGCTTCTGCTTTACGGTGCTCTTCAGGTGATCGATCTGATTACTCAGCGAGGAGATCTCCTTCTCGTTCGAGGCCACCGTGCCAGACAGCTGGTTGATCTGGTGCGTCAGCCGGGTCACAGTGGCCTGCAGTATCTGACGATCGCGCGTGCACAGGTCCATCGTTTTGAGCAGCATCACCCGTTCCGAGTGGGCGATCTCCATTTGCTTCTTGGCATTCATGAAATCCTGATGCTTGCGCTGCAGCTCTTCTTGGATAAACTCCAGTCGCTCGGTCTTTATCTGCAGCGTCTCTACGAAAGGAGGAGGTTTTAATGGGTTCCTAAGATCCCGGAAGTCACTTAAATGCCTCACCTTCTATGCTCTCGATCTTCTTGTGCGCTTCATTGATCTCCACGGCCAGCTCTCGCTTCTCCCGGGTAATCCTCTGCACCGTCAGTTCCTTCTCGTCCAGCTTCTTGTTGGCCCGCAAGAGGTCGACATTCACATCCTGAAGTTGAGAACGAATAGAGGCCATTCCATGGCGTAGTCCGGCGACCACATCATTAATGCGACCAATCTCCAGTTGTAGCTTGCCCCGGGCGCGGTTAATGTCGTCCTTCTGCTGGGTAATCTCATCCAGCTTGGCCATCGTTATTGATTGCTTCTTCTCCATGGCTTTGATCTCGTTGCTGCCAACAGAGTGAGGAAGGGAGGGTCATTAGGGTGGTATCCACCCTGGAAGAGGAGACTTACTCTTTAACTATGATCTGATCATTCAAGTCGGAGTTCTTTTTGACAAGCTGAATGAAGCGACGTTCCAGCAGCACAGCATCGTCGGTTTTCTTTTTCAGATCGCGATCAACGTTGCGCCGATAGGCCTCCAGCTCTTCATTGTCCCGGCGAAGGGCATTGTTCATGTCCTCCGACAGCTTGAGGTTCATCACCAGACGGTTCTTCTCCTCCTGCTTGTGGTGGAATGTCCTGCTCACCGTATAGTTCTCGCGGGAGAGACGTTCATTGGTCAACTTGAGCCTGTCGTTCATGGCCATCACTTCGGACTTTTCCTTTTCGATGTACTTTAATATATGCAGGGTCTGCAGGGCTGCATCCAGTTCCTTCTGCACTGACATAATTCTTTCCTCGTAGACCTCGCAGTCCTTGCGATGCTTGGATATAAGCTTGAAGCTGTCGGACTCCAATATCTTGAGGCGAATCTGCTGGCCAGCGATGGTCTCGCGCAGCGACTGGATCACCGAGTCCAGAGTTTCGGAGTAAATGCGATTCAGTTCCAAACGTTTCTGATAATCCTTCAATTCACCTGCCACACGGTCGCGTTCTCTGTAGACCATGCCACGGATGCGGGTCTCCTTCCTGAAAATCGCACAAGGAGAATCCTTAGAAAGGACACTCCTCTTGGATATGTTTCAGTTAACCTACTGACTGAGACGATTCTCCTGGGCCTCGGCCCTTGTGAGACGTGGTGCGCCTTGAACGAGCGTCGATAGTTGATCCTGCATGAGGGCCTCCCGATGCTTCACTGCGTCCGTGGTCCGCCAGGAGTCGGCCAGGGCCTCACGCAGCTTCTCCATCATCGCCTCCGATATGGCCGTTGTCCGCAGGGCCAGGTCCAGCTTCTCGTCTGCCATCACCACCTTCACGTGCATGGCCACGCCGTTTTCCACTTCACTGACGTACCGGGAATGGATCCTCGCCAGAATATCCACATATCGTTTGACCTTGGACGCCACGGAGTTTTGCCGCGCCGACAGGTGCTGCACAAGCTGGTAGGATGTGGCAAAGAATCCCTCGTCTAGATCTTCAATTAGGTCGAGCTGCGCGACCTCCAGTTTGTCCGGAAACAGCTCTTCCAATGGCACCTCTGGCTCTTCCGGGACGACGGCTTTGGTAGACCGGTTTTTGGAAGCATTGCGCTTTCGGGCGGACATTTCTCGACAATGAACGGGGTGGAAACCAAATCAAAGAAATGGACGAATTGAATGCACAAAAGGTGCAACGCAACGAAAGGGTGTGGGTGGGGTGTGTGTGTGTAAGAAGGGAAAAAGAAGCTCCCCTTGCAATTGAAACGAATAGTGTAATGAATGAATTCAAACTAAATCAATACCAACTACATGATTCTGATGTATTCAGAGAGGTCTACTAGACCTCTTGAGGGATGTTACCCTGCTTAGCGGTTATCCTTTTAGCCCAAGATAATTATTTCTAAGTCCAGAAAGATGATGACCTGAAATCCTGAGAGATAATTCTTGGCATGTACAACTTTTGAAGACTCTCATCTACTAGATTCCCAAATATTATTACAATCGATGTTGACAGTCAGAATGCAGAAAATAGGTTTGATTCTCACGCCTCGAAATCTTTCTCTCTCTCTGTGTCTCTTCCAGTGTGACTTAGCTTAGCTTTCCACCGCTCTTTTCTAGTGAGACTTTTACTTGTACGTGTCCGCGATCCTCGACCAAAAGACTACTGCTCTAACCTCACAATATGTTAGGTTAGGTAACCTTCACCTAACCTTACAATATGTATCCTTAATCATATCGTTAGGTTTATGGCAATGGGTATTCCATTTTTGAAGATCTTATAGATCTAAAACAGCGGTGGGCACGCTTCGAGTTAAGCCTCGTCCTGTAAACAATATGTATATTGTTTTTGTATGTAGTATTCTTATAATGAAAACTGCTCAAAACTTGGAGGCACAAATGTGCTCCACAACACAATAAAAACGATTTTTCCTTTTTGATTTTATTTAAGCATAAAATTGCATATATTTCTTAAACAGAGATGTTTACAGATTATTTCGTTTTGTTACACTTTTTTTTGTTGTTTTGTTTTATACAAGTTTGGATCAGAAAATATATATATATTGTATTGTATATATGTATCTTTTGTGGTACTGGATACTGGATACACGGTTACTATTTATTGTTTTGAAATACTTTTGAAATTTAAGGATTCCATATTCCGATTACACACAGATACAGATTACGGATTACACGACAACCATACAATATGCCATCGAAAGTCAAGAAAGAGGTGAACGAACGAACGAACGAACGCGTTTTACAAATAAAATAATTAATACATACGAAAATTACGATAAATCACAAAAAATGTTTCGCAAATTTTTGCTACAATTAACGGCTACTATCATCGCGTGATCATCCTATATATACTTCCTCGAATCAATGCTAGAAAAATATACACTTATACGATATACGATATATATATTTATATATTTGTCCCGATATATATCGTAGGACCTTGGCTAGTGACAAAAAGATTTGCAATGTTTTAAAGCTAGAGCTAGGTGCTCCCGTAAGCCCTCAATAAACAGAAACAGAAACAGCAACAGAAAAGTAAAGACTAACAAAAACGAATACGTATTTTTCGATCTACTATTGAAATGCTGGCCACGACCAAACTTATAGCTGGCGCCATCTGTTGACAAGTCTGAATTGATATGAACCCAATTAAATATATATGTATATACGCATATACTCGTATAGTCTTATATTGTAGACAGAAAATCGAAGCATAACCCGCTCAATGGTTGGTCATTGTTTTTGAAGATAAAAACAAATATATATATACATAATTCATTGATTATGTATAGTCATTTATATATAGTATATATATCTGATCGATCTATTTATGCAAGCTCTCGCTTTGTGCATGGATTTAGGTTTAGGATTACGTATCAAATAAAGAAAACAATTTTTGTAGAACAATTGCGTTTCACAGTTTGCTTTTCCATCTTCTCGCCCTCGTCCTCGCCGTCGTCCGCTCGCGTCACTTATTTTTTGGTCATCAGCTGCGCCGCAAAGCGCCAATGGCCGGTCCTAAGAGGCGGTCGCCGTCTGCACTCGTCCAGCCTGGCTCTGCATCTGAACGCCAACATTGACGCTGACGCTTGTGGTGGTGGAGGAGGAGCGGACCTGGACTTCGCGCACATAGCAGTCGCGACAGACGCGCACCGCCTTCGTGAGGCCGTATTTGGGCAGTGGGGCGGTCGCATTCGAGCAGACACCGCAAAAGACGCCGCCACAGTTGCGACAGTGATGACGGCGCCGGAAGGCAGTGAAGGGCGTCTGGCAGGACATGCAACGTGGCGCCTTGCCATCGGGTATCCAGGCTGGCGGCGCAAGTGTTGCCGCGGCTGTTGCTGTCGATGTGGACGAAGGCATTTGGGTTTCGTTGTTGCTCTGCAGGCGGCGACGGCTGCTGCCGCTTCGTGTGCTCACGGGGGAATTCTGTTCGGAGCTGGAACTGGTCGATGAGGCGCTGGAGGGGGTATTGCTGCCCACGGAATTGTTGCGCTGACGCTGCAGTTGCACTTGAACTTGATGCTGGTGCTGCTGCTGCTGGTGGTCCTGCTGCTGTTGCATCTCCTGCTCCTGCTGGTGCACAGGCGCTGGCATGCTCCTGGCAATAGTCTCCTGATCACCCAGACTTCGACTGCGCGTCACATGGTTGCGGGTCGTGGCGGAACTGCTACTGGTGTTGCTGCTGCTCGGATTATCGATGGTGTTGTTGCGCTGCATCGTGGCGCCGGCAGAGTGACGGGAGCCAGCGCTGAACACATTGTCCAGCTCTGGATTAACCTCCTCGGCTGAGTAAATGCTTTGATTGGAGCCGGCGCTCTCCTGTATCACATCGTTTTCGGAGGCACGGAACTCGAACAGCTCCGACTCCTTTGTCTTTTCCGGTATCTCGATCTGCTCCTCCTCCACGGACGACATATTCATGAGGAACACGCTGCGCAATATCTGCCGCAAGTCGGAGGCAAAGTTCGTCTGCAGCTGATCGGCAACGCCAGCAATGCACACGAATAGACGGTGCAGTAGGTTCTCGGTGCTCCTGGGAAACAGAGATTTAAGGGTTATTGGGGAAATTCCATTACAAAGCAAACAAAACTCACTTGAACTTGAGGCGGGCCGTGGTGTTGCGCATCGCAAGCGATACATCGTCGGAGAGCGAGGATGCGGCACTAGTGTCGCCACTGGCCAGGCCCTGCTCCTGCTGTTCCACCTCCACGGCGGCCTCCATGCTGCACCGCTTACGTCCGCTGCGTGTCAGACGATGTGGATGCGGTTGATGATGGTGTGGCTGGTGTTGCAGCTGTTGCTGGTGCGTCGAGTGATGGTGGTGGTGGTGGTGGCGATGATGATGGCGATGACTGTGACTGTGACTGTGACTATGCCGTTGGCGGCTGCTCTGGAGGGTCTGCTGTTCCTGCTGCTGCTGCTGCTGTTCCTGTTCCTCTGTCGATTTGATTGTCTCTCCTTGGTCTCTGTGTGGTTCGCTGTCATCGCTGCTGGCTAGACGCAGCCGCTGCAATGCAGCGCTCGTACTGGGCTCCTCCTCATCCTCCTTTCTGTGACCCTGCTGCTGCGGCTGCTCTTGCTGCTGGTCCCCCGTTCCGTACTCATCATCATCTTCGCTGGCCACGAAGTTATCCGTGAGTGGAACCTGTTGCGGTTGCAGTAGATTTCCCAGATTCGTGTTGGGTATAAGATACCCAGAGGCACAATCCGCGGCCACAATGTCTTTGAGCAGCTGCTCCTCGTCTGTATCATCCTCTGTATCCTCCAGTTCGTCCTCCTCCTCATCCTCCTCCTCATCCTCATCTTCGTCATCGCCGTCTGACCAATCGGCTGGGGGATGTGTAGAGTTGCTGCTGGCCGCCGACGATGTCGTGGAGGCAATCGAATGCGAGGGCGTTGGCGATGGTGCCGGCGATGCTGTGGGCGTACTGCTGGCCGATAGCGATAACATGGACGGAGAGCGTGGCGGCAACGTCGTTGATTCGTTGCTATTCTGCTGATTGTTGTTGTTATTCCGCTGATCTACCAGTCGCTCCACAGTTCCAGCACCACTGCCACTGCCAGTGCCACTGCTGCTGCTGCTGCTCTTGTTGTTGTTGTTATTGTTGCTGCTTGTTGTCGGAGTGGAGCTATGCTCTGGAGTGGGTGCCTCTATGCTGCTGGAGCCCACAGGCACCTGAAAGGCAGAGAAAACACCATTAAAAACCATAAATAAAAGGTACATCCGTAGGATTCCAACCTTTGTGTTGATATCCTCATTGGTGCACAAGAGTTTCTCCAATTGATAGAGCTCCTGGTTGTTGAGGTTCCTCAGGAGATCCCGTATCTTGATCAGGATCGTGCGAAACGGACGAAACATCTCCGACAGCTGATCCCCCGGCATATCCATATCGAGCGGCCCCTTGGCATAGACCACAAGACCGGCGACAATGGCCAGACGTGGAATGGAGAACATCAGACCCGGATCGAAGGCATCCACCATATCCTGATCGAGCAGACCGATCTTCAGGGCACGCTGCAGCGTCTCCGAGAAGAGGACACCGATCCACTGCTGCATCTCGTACTCGTGCCGGGATTTCACCTGCACCATGGCGCTCACGTAGCTCAGCTCGAACTCGGCAAAGAGGCGATCGAAGATCTTCAAGCTTTCGTACAGCTGCTCGGTGGTGTAGTCGTTGAGGTCCAGATGGAGGGTCTTGCTGTTGGGGACATTATTCCGCAGGCATTGATCTCTGAGGAGGACCCGCACATTGCCCAGACTCTTGGTGACGGCCTGGGCCAGAGGTCGCATCTCCTTGCTCTCCACCTCACGATTCATGATCGAAGAGCCGGCCGCCAGGCACTCGGCGCCGAACCACAGCTGTCCGGCGAGATTCTCCTGCAGCACTTCCTCTGGGAACTTGGCGCGAAATGCGCGCGGATCACGATCCTCGCCGAGCAGCTCCTCCATAATCAGATTCGTGATCGACAGCACCTTGTCCTGTAGAAGAAGAAGGGGTTTAGTGGACGGCGAGACACCTCTACACCGAGCTCCTTGTTCCTCTCGTACCTGATTCTGTCGCAGTCTGCTGACCAATCGGGAGCATCGATCCGGCTCTGCCCGTCCATCGAAGCTGTCCAGTTCGCTGGCCACCGCCGTCAGCGATCGATCGGCATGGAAAAAGCGCGCCAGCAGCGACTTGTCATCGGCCTGCAAGTGCATGTGGGGGAAATGCGGATATTTATGGATGAGTAACAAGTTCCAACGATAAGGCTTATCGCCCCAGAGTCAATTGCAGTGCAAATTATTATCAAGAGGGGTTTGGGGATGGGGAGGTGGCGGGCCATCGCGCTGAACCGCAAAGAGCGTGTGACAAGTGCATGGCGGATGATACCCCGGCGTAGGCGGTGACGATGATTCACGAGCTCCACTAGACACGTAGAAACGCTGTCACACAGAGTGACGTTTAATTAGAGCTCCGCTTTTGTTGTGGTTTGTTTTTTTTGTGGCTTTTTTGTTGGATTTCACAACAAATCATCGAATCACGTATTCATTGTATATAAAGTCGGTTGAGAGGTGGTATCTTTAGTAGATAGTGGACTAAACACGATCCATATGTAAAGCTTAGGACGGGGTTCCCATGTATACCCGGTACTGGGAGAGTAGAGGGGTATATTCGATTTGTTGCGACAAACGGAAGGAAGCGTTTCCGACCCCATTAAGTAAATATATTCCTTATCAGCATCATTAGCCGAGTCGATATAGACAGGCAGACTGTCCGTCTGACTTTTTTGACGCCTAGTACTCATTATTATAACCAGAAGGGGCAAATTGACCTTTCATGGGCATACTCTTTCCCAAATACTGACTGAGTATCGGGGATGTGTAGACCCTAAAAAAACTATCTTTGAATCCACTGCAAACGATCTCATCTTTATTGGCATAATCACTCGAAAGAAACCCAAACAACAGATCTTTAGGAATTCAAATCAATTTTTGTTAACAGAATTTTGTTATAGCAAAACTATAGAAGTTTTTTAAAGAAATGTTAAGAAAAATCATAGGTTTTTTATGGAAAGGCTTTTCTACTAACGATTTGGTTCTAAGGCAAATCAAAGTCGGATTTAGCTTTGCTTTGGGCAGAATACCCATAATCTATAACCCACAACGGCTAGAAAGGTGCATACTATATATTTTAGTGGTACTATTCAAAGGATTGCCATAAACCTGTGACCAAATACTAACCAGAAATCTGAAAAACTACCAAATCAAACGAATTAATGGAGCAATGGAAATGCCTGTTGATGTAATGCTCTCTCTGCAAGCCTCGTCTGCAGTTGAATAATCCAACAATAGAGGTGTTAACAAGCGAAGAAAACTAAAGATGATGCAATGCACTGGTCCCCCAACTTCGGTGTGGAGCCCAAACAACAATACATTTTTGTTATCGAACATGCAACACAGGGCACAGATGGTGATTCGAATTTTAATGATATGGATTCATCGGCAGAATCACGTGGCTGCAATTAAGCGGAGGAGCTGCCTGCCCAAAAGCACGAGATTCTGAGTAGCAGAGAGAGAGAGAGAGAGAGAAGCAGAGATCTATACAGAAGCAGGGGACAGATCCAAAGAGAGACAACAATAAACAGCGTTTTATCGGCAGTTGAACTTGTTTTCTCCTTCGCATGTCTGTGTGGGCTCTCTCTGCTTGGTCTTTGCTCTCTTTAAATTCGAACTACAACAAAAACGGTATAAAACGGAGTACACAGAGTGCCGTAAGATCGAAGGAGGGAACGGCCCATAAGATCAGCTAAATATCGGGAGGGGGAGCAAGGGGAAAGGAAACAAATTGTACGAAATGTGTTTATTATAAAGGTAAACACCAACACCAATCCAAATATCGTTGACTCTTTGCCTTCAAAACTGCGCAGCAGGCGACGACGACGCGTCACTGAGATGGAAATGGGGTTTACCAGGCTGCCCGGCCAAGGTATATTCAAGAGAAGGTGATGCCAATCGTACTCTCCATTTGCATTAGCAGGATTTCTGTAGAGGTTTACTTATAACCTGGTTCTATATTGGGGGGGCCTTCGTGGAATGCAGGGCGAAAGACAGTTTGTTTGCTGTACGAATTACCCATAAGTGAACGGACACATTCGTTTCATAAAAGACACAGACAATATGGTAAACTTTTGTGAAAATCAAAAACAGAGGCTGGCTGAATATTTTGGTAATATTCCAATATTGTAGGAAAAAATACAACCATTTGGGTAGGATTCCTTTATTGCTTCAAAAAACCGATAATCAGCTGTTTTTAGGTGCCATTCACATGTGAACGTCGAAGAATTGTGCCCAAAAGTCTCCGATTCGGCCTCACCTTCTTTATTTACAAACTGTTAAGCCCTGATTCAAGCAAATAAATAATTCAAGGGAAATTTGTGTGCAACAATAACAACAACCAGAAAAGTTAATTACACTTTTAGCTAGATTTCCAGTTACACGATAAAGCCGCAACACAACCACCTCTTCCCACTACATATTCCGGTGTGTTGCAGGTGAATGTCTATGAATGATTCACACACAGAAAATCGATGAATCGATGCAGAAAATTGTATTTGTATTCGTATTGGTTCGATACGATTTCGTCATATGTAAGACCATAGGCCTCAAGGTAAACCACACACACACGAAAAAGGGTAATATGTTTTATTGATGTTTAAACAACAATTTAATGAGCAGAAAATGTTTCTGGAAATGTTTGAAGGTGGAAACCACACAACATTCGTTTTGAAATTGAGAATACTATAGGTTGAGGCAAGGCCATGACTAGTTCAATGACTGGAGACGCACGCTTCGCTCAGTGCCACACACGTTCTCTCCACCTCCCCGCCCGTCGGTGGCACTCAATACAGCACCTCCCTTCTCGCTCGCTCGCTAGCTCTCGCCATCTCCGGTTCTGGCCATCATTTCCCGCTCTCTCTCTCTCGTTCTGGCCGTCATGACAACACTGTTTGGCCAAAACGGTGTGTTGACGCCAGTGAACCAGACTTTTTGTAAGTGTCGTCGTTGTAGCCATTAATTAGCGTCGCAATTTAGGGACAACGAAATAAAACTGGAAAAGTGAGTGGAAGTATGGCACTCTACATACGGATAAGGTACGAGTAATACAGATAACACCCACACACATATGTGCAAACCGCTAATTTATTGGAGCAGCCAGCAGTCAAAGTAATTGTTTTTTTTTTTTTTTTTTTTTTTTTCGTTCTGTCCAAATATTGATCGAAATAATGTGAAAGCTATACAGTGGGGATCTACACCCACGTTGGGGACACAGTAACGGGGGAAAAGTGATCCCAAGACAGTGAAAGTCTCAGAAATTCTTTATTTTCAATCGAAATACAGCGAAATCTTTTGGAAGTTACCCTTAGGAAAGCATTCTGGGGGCTTATTTGCACTGAAAATGTATCGGAAGATCAATAATCGATAAATACGTAAGAAATAATCGATATAATAATAGAAGCTCAGCGCTGAATGTGCGCCCAAAGAGGGTTAATCGATACTAGAAACATATCACTGATAAAACGATAAAAATCGAAAAAATAAAATAAAAATTCATCGATATAAATATATTCATCGAGTCCACAAATATACACCTAATGTATATGGAAGTAATAATCGATAAAAACTATATAAAGTACGCCATAAATAAATATCGAAAGCAGGTTAATCGATAAAGAATCGAAAGAAGATAAGCGAAAGCGGGTTAATCGAAGCAGTATGCGATGAAAATGATGTAAAAACAAATTCCACCATAAAATATCGAACAGCCTTGAATTAAATAATGCATTAAGCAACAAAAGCACTTTACATGCCTCATAAATGCATTAAAAATATTTAGCCAAATCCCAAATGTAATTAAAGAGCCGCATCACTCGCCCCTTCCCCTCCCCCACTATTCGGAGGAAACAACCAGCAGAAAGACTGGCAGACAGACAGGCAGGCAGACAGAAAAAACTACCGACAAAAAAGTTAAATGGTAATTAAAAATTTTAAGCTCGTTTCGAGGCAAGCGGAACGCTCAACCCCACATGGTGCAGCCACGAATGGGGGTGTTGGGAGGGGAGGGAGAATAATGAGATATGTACCTCCAAGGATACCGCCATCTTTTTGAGGCTCTCTTTTGGGCACTTGTTTCAATTTTAAATGAGAGGAAATGACGCTTCCTCGTGACTTATTCATGAGGAATATCATCGCAACGAGAGATAGGAGGGGACCCCAGACCCCATGGAAACAGTGGGAGATGTTTGCACCTCACATTTGCAAGTGGCATGCCAGTCCAACGAAGCAAACATTTGAGAAATTGATTTGCAAGACGGAATAAACAACACATTTTGCCAACGCAAGTTCCATCACATTTCGAAGTGAAACTTTGCTGGAAAGATTGCTTGGGAACGTATGTATATTCCTTACTGAAATTGGAGTAATAATAAGGGGAACCACATACAACCCATTATTATATTTATTCGTTGGATTATAACATTCGTTTAGCACTCAGAAATCAAGAATTTTATCCGAAATTTACACAGATGTTCAAACATTCTAGTACTGAAAGGTTCAGCTACCTTTTCGTTCACTGCAATTTGGATTAGAAATATTTAAGGTATTTTTGTACAAGTTTCTAATAGTTTCTCGTAGTTTCTGGTAGTTTCTAGTTTCAGCTAAAACACAAAGCTGATTATTTGCATAAGGTATGAAGTGGAAAATGCTTTTGTTGAGGTATTTTAATTATTGTTTCAACTGGTTTTTGTGTCCAATCAACTAATTGAAAGGCACAGGCCACATAGCCACAGAGCAGGCTTCTGTTTTTGTTTTCGGAATGATAACGAATCGAAAGGCAACTGGAAAAGACTCTGATACTGATAGCATGGCAGTGAAAACCATATGTTGGAATGCGCTGTTCACGTCACAGATAAAGGTATGCATACTACAGATGTTTCCCAGTCCAAGGAAACCTTAAAATGTACAAGCTTTCAACTGCCTTTGATGCCAATTTCTGTGGAAAATTTCTGTGATTGAATTTGAATAGATTTCCATTTGAAATATGCCACAGGAGTGATTGCAAATAACCTTAACATTAAGGACACAATTTCTGTTTTGACGTCCGAAATGAAACGGCCTCGTGTGCCACGTGCAACAGGCGTCTGCCTGGT